TCCCGCTTCGCACCCATAGCACCACATGTACCCACTAGCCAAGCCACGGATGGAGCATCATCGCCGACGACTGATGACTGCAGACGCCATCTCCATCGAGGATTCTCTAACGTCTGTTCAACAATAATACCCGCTACGCCTGACGACCACAGAGTGCTGCGCAATGCGCATGCTGTGTACAAGCGACATTTGTTACACGGCGAAGAAGCTGGACCGCACCACTACGGCCACTACGACCACCCCGACTCTACCCATCTACACCTCCATCGCTTTCCTTGGCCATCTTTCGCGTCATCCTTTCTGGGCCAAGCGGGAAAGCTGGTGCACGCCATGAGGGAATTGAAGGTTCCCAACGTGCGACTCTATAATCGCGGACAGACCGAAAATGGGACTCTCCATCTGACAAGACATCACCTTATATTTGTCTACCATCCAGGAGCAAAATTGCGTGCAGGGACCGGAGCAAGTACGCCCACTCGAACTGGTGCATCCTTCGACGGCGCCTCTGCGCAGCGAGCATCGGCCGATTCGAGGACCACAGACCCTCACATCACCTCCAAGGCCAAACTCAAGGCAAAGGAAATATGGGTCCCTTATCCCATGATCAACTACTGTCTGCTGCGCCCAAGCAACTCTCATGGACGGCAGACCGAGCACCACCTTCCACTCGAAAGAGATGACCCAGGAATGGAAGATACACAATTTCCGCCCCTGTTTGGAACCAATTCGTACCGACCCTCTTCCGAATCTGCACACCTTGCTCCGCACTCTTCGCCGCAACGATCAATTTCGCCTGATTCAGGTATCGGTGCTGCGACTCCTGGAGATGGATTCAGACCAGCTGCTATCCGACTTAGAAAGCGCGATTTTCAGATGATGGCTTTCCATTTCTTCCCTTCGCCAACGGAGCCAGCTCCCGACAAGGCTGCTAGGGAAGTCTTTTATTGCTTGAGGAGTCATTGTTGCGTGGACAGGGTTCAAGACTTGTACGCATTCCATTTCAAAGCACCTCAACAAGAAGTTGCGGCCGCGACAGCGCCCTACGACGCTCGTCGAGAGTTCGCACGCATGGGAATAGGTGAGAAAGCAGCTGAAGGTCCGGGTAGCGCTTGGAGGGTCACGGACATCAATACGCAGTATCAGTATGCGCCGACATACCCCAGCACCTTATGTGTCCCCCGAGTTGTCAGTGACAATACTCTCAAGCACGGAGCATCTTTTCGGTCAAAGTCGAGGATCCCCACGCTCACTTACTTGCACTTCAATGGAGGCAGTATCTCCAGAGCATCGCAACCATTGGTTGGTATACAGAACAAACGCAGTCCCCAGGATGAGCGGCTGGTCTCCGCGATATTTTCGAGCCATAGCCCGCCACAGCAATCCCCGGAAGACTCACCTCATCTCCGGCCAACCAAGACATCCTATGAACCAGATGCCAGTGGCGATGTGCCAGGTCTCTCGATCAGTCAAAGCGATACAGCTTTGAACGAGAAGTCGGAGGACCAAATGTCGACGCCTCGTCAAAGGATTTACGGCAGCACACGGCGCAACATGATTGTCGACGCTCGCCCACGCGTCAACACTCTGGCCAACCGAGCCGCAGGTGGTGGGATTGAGGATGTTTCCAACTATACTGGCGCAACAGGAACAGCCATTGAAAGGATATTCTTGGACATTCCGAATATTCATTCCATGCGGAAATCGCTCGACAAGGTCATCGAAAGCTTCGCAAACTCCGACTATCTGGATATGAGGCCCAATCAAGATTTGCTACGGAATTCCGGCTGGTTAAAATATGTCGCTGCACTAGTTGATGGTGCCGAACTCGTGGCAAAAGCAATTGGTCTTGGCGGAAGTCATGTACTGCTCCACTGTTCTGATGGCTGGGATCGTACTGCACAGGTAGCTGGGCTGGCGCAAGTAATGCTAGATCCGCATTACCGGACGCTTGACGGCTTCATTACGCTCGTACAGAAGGACTTCGTTTCTTTCGGACACAAGTTCAATCATCGCCACGGCATACAGGGCAGCGAGAAATGGTTCGAGATTGAGAACGAAAAGGTCGCTCCGTCTCGCTCAAAAGAGAATGGGACCTCCGAGTCTCCGGGACTCAATCCTTTCGGATCCAAGGCGTTCTCAGGAGCCAAGAATTGGTTCGAAAAGAGCCGCAGCACCCTTTTTCGCCAGCATGAAAGCAAGACGAGCAACGATGAATCTGGATCTCGACCAGCTTCGCCTCCTCCAAATCCCATCCTACACTCCCCTCCCACGACAAATACAGCAGAAGACAGGAAGCACAAGACGGATCTCGATGAGATAGCACCGATCTTTCATCAGTTCCTAGATGGCGTCTTTCAGTTGCAGTGTCAGTCCCCTGAGGCCTTTCAGTTCAACGAGCGCTTTCTGAGACGGCTGTTCTATCATGCCCATTCTGGGCAGTACGGAGAGTTCTTGTTCAACACAGAGAAGGACAGAAGCGAGAATGATGGCAAGTATTCTTCTGCTTGGCCTCATTTCCTGTCTCGGAGACAAGAGTTCACCAATTCCGACTATATCGCTAAGGTGGACGACCCGCTTCTCTTTCCCCGTCGGCAAGCGAACAACAAGGGATTGGAAATCAGATGGTGGAGCGGGCTCTTCGCGCGCAAAGACGAGGAAATGAACACACCACGTACTCTGGCACCTCCAGATCCCGAGCTTTCGGAAAGCAGCAGCTCGAGAAAGGTCTTGGAATCTTCGGAGACAGCAGCGAAGCCTTCCGGCTCTTTCGAAAACTCGTGTGGGCATGCTGCAGACCCAGATGCGGCTAATGACAATCTATTCAACGGGACAAGAAGTACTTCAAGCTATGACACAATGGAAAACAGCGTTTCCGCCCAGTTCTCCTCAATCAACATGGGGTCAGGAGAGCAACTTGGAGCGCAGCCGCTGGCTCGGGAGGCGAGCGTCCGATCTCAGGAGACGGGCACGGGCACGGAGATGGAAGGCGACCCGTTGGGGGCATCGAAAGGCAGCAAAGTCTCCGCGATGACGGGCTCGAAGCTGGATCTTGCGGCATTTGCCAGAGAAAGTGCATATAGCGACAGATAGAGTACGGGAACGACGTCACGTGCTGGTCCTGGGATGCACACATGTATATCTTGTCATTAATAAGCGTGACCTCATAGTCTGCTTAGCGCGGGGATTCCCAAGGAAACATTTGAAGCGTATCGCCTGCAAGACGACCTGACCACTGACATCCTCTCACCTGCGATCGCAAATACTCCATCATGGCCACGAAACCCGCGGTACGATGCCTCTCGAACGCTCTTACTCGGCCGACGTCCTCAAGTGCGGCGACGCGAGGTGTCCGACTCGCCACGGGCGCCCATAGCCATGGACCAAGTCATGATCGCAGATCTTTCAGCAATGCGCTGCGGGTGACACCTCTCTCGTCTTCGTGCAAGACACATCGGCCTTCTCTGCCATCTCTCAGCCGCGCAATACCTCATCAAGCATCGCCGACTGCGCAAGCCAAGCGAACCATCTTCATCCAGACCGAGGACACACCTAATCCGGATGCTCTCAAGTTTCTACCAAACCATTCAGTACTGCCCGATGACATTCCTTCGACATTCCTGGAATATCTGTCTCCGCGCTCTACCCTCGCGCCTCCTCACCCGTCACCTCTTGCGGCGAATCTCATGAACGTGGACGGAGTGAGCAGTGTATTCTACGGAAAGGACTACATCACGGTGACCAAAGACAGCTCCACGCCATGGGTGCACGTCAAGCCTGAGGTCTTCAGTCTTATCACAGAAGCCGTAACGAGTGGTCAGCCGATTGTCAATACAGTGGAGAACAAGACCGGAGAGGAGGGACAGGGGAGCTCTGTCGGTCAGGACCAAGCCTCCTACGATCCTGAGGACGAGGAGGTGGTGGGGATGATTCAAGAGCTGCTCGAGACACGTATCCGACCGGCAATCCAGGAAGACGGAGGCGATATTGAATTCCGAGGCTTCCACGATGGTCAGGTGTTGCTGAAGCTCCGGGGAGCGTGCAGGACATGCGACAGCAGTACCGTCACACTCAAGAATGGGATTGAAAGCATGTTGATGCATTACATTGAGGAAGTCAAAGGCGTACAGCAAGTGATGGACCAAGAAGAAGAGGTGGCCATGTCTGAATTCGCCAAGTTCGAAGAAAAGCTTCGAGCTCAGAAGGGCGAAGCTCCGCCAACGAGCCCCGGGCCGGGCAGTATCGATACCGTAGGAGCATGAGATGTACCGCCGAACTACAGTTCATGATGCAGCATTGATGATAAGCATGTTTCCAATCATGTGAAGCGGTGGTTGGTGATCTTCATTATCTACTGGAGGTCTGGATCGCGCTCTCTGGGCATCACATTGTAGCAGTAAGCATTCGATCGGGCTGGACCTGGCGGGTACGCGGTTGGAGACACGGTAGTTTTTGCGCGGTAGGTACGTGGGTGATGGTGATCCTCCATCTTGTGATCGCGTGTTGGACAAGGATCCGGAATCTGGTACAGACGCGGCTGTCCCAGAAGGCAAGTTGTACTGTATGTAATATTGAAAGCAGGCAACATCGAATATGTCGAGTTGTCTACTGTGTACAAACCTGATCTTCCTCTCCAAAACGTCCCTTTGAGCGATCATCTTCGGAAGAGTGAGGACTTCGGAGCGTGACCTCGACTTCCTCTCATCGCCGTCGCGCGGTTCTCCTATACTACTATCGAGACGTCGCCACCATCCAAGCAGAATACGCAAAGCGCAGAGGCCGCATGCAGGAGTCCGAAAAGGCATTCCGCATTTCCCCTAAGAGGCCCGGAACCCACCGAACAAGGACGAAGCCAAGTCTGTTTCTGCATCGCGCAGAGTCGAATACGGAAAAGCTTGTGAAGGCATGCTTCTGGGAGACGGCTAACGGTGAATGCAGCGATGATCTGTGGCGTCTGCTGCAGCGTCGGATTGCAGCGATTCCTCTGTCGGCCGTCGGACTGAGTCAGACAGTTGAGCGGAGCGACGTGACCTCCTTTTGACGGCTGTGGCGCAGGTGATGCAGAGGTAGCGGACGTCCTTACGCCAGACTACGGAGTGGTACGGAGCGGATGGAGGTACCGACAAAGCTCTGCCCAAGCATCAAGCCTCGTAGCAGAATACGACCAAACTCCCTGCCTATGCAGGAGCTCTTGCATTATAGCGTGTCCTCGATAAGCTTCTGAAAAATTCAGCTTGCCAGCGGAGAGGTGTTCCTTGTGTCGTTGTAGTATGAAACTTCGACGTCCGCTCGTGGCTACTGGTTAGTGGTTTCACTGGGCCGACGGTGAGTTGGAACCAAAGCAAGTCAACAAGTGTCGTCGGATTGCGAACGGTGTCCAGGCGACACAACCTAAGTGAAAGTCTAAAAAGAAAGGTCAAAACTCTGGGACCCTTTGACGCAGGAGTTTGGTGCGTGACGGCGATGATCTCCCGTAGAAATAGAGAGCGTGCCGCGCTGTGCAGATTGCAGCGGAGCCCAGTCTCGGAGTTTGCATTTCATGGTGGAGGAGCCCGAAGACGTCAGTCCGAAGCATTCTGCATTCTCACATATCTTGCGTTGGACCTACGAAGAAGACGATCGTTCGCAACTGTGGCCGAGAAGTTCGTCGAAGGTTGAATCTGGTGGACTGGGGTCAAATGGCTGCTACCGCAGATCCTCCACCGTCAATGGTAAGATATTGCCCACTCCCCACACCCTGGGTAAGACAATGAATCGCAAATTCATGCTGATTCGCACTTTCCTGCGCAGCCTGTGCCTGTTCACAGAAGCATTGTCAGCGGAGACAGGAAAAGGCCAAAATCAAGAGATGTTGTAGATGTAGCACTGCTGTGCAGCAGGTTAGAGGCCCACAAGCGAGAGCAGGACGCCGCACGAGTCCGCAAAGAAAAACGAGAGGCAGTCCGAAATGGTCGTTATGTCCCAAGAAGCGCTGCTAAGTCCTTTGCGGCCACCACGTCACTTTCCATGAAAGATGTGACCAATTTGGTCAAGGAGCGAAAGCATCAATCCGACACGGTCCTAATCACAGCCGAGCCACTCTCGATAGACGGAAAGATGTGCATTCCTTCCGAGCAGCTCTATTCTGCCCTCAAAGGCAGTTCCCAGACCGAGCGCGCCGTCAGAATGGGCATCATGGGCGAAGCCATCGATGAGAATGTCCCGGACCCTAGCCCGTCAACACAGTGCAACACAATAAACCCGTCTACGCGACACAGCACGACTAGTGTGGGACGAAGGGATGGTTCTCCTGCGAAGTCGATCAAGTCGCAAAAATCTAACAAGTCAACCAAGTCGAATGTACCAACCCTCGCAGAGCGGCGAGGTTCTCCAAAAGTTGCTGAGCTGGTCCTGTCAATGGAGAAGAAGATGGAGTACGCGAAGATGCCAGAGACCCAGATTCTTGCGGATTTCGAAGGCTGGGACACGACCGAGGCTGAAAAGCGCCACTCTGAGGCAAGCGTGAGGAAGGACTCTCTAGAGCTGGAGAGGCGACGTGCTTCGGTCAAATCCGAGAAGCCGAGCTCGATCAAGGCTGAACCGAAACGTGATGCCACGATCCCTGCAGCCAATGACAACAATCCAAAGCCGAGATCCAACTCGCCAGGCAGGTCGGTATTCGGTCGGAGACGACCTTCTTCGGACAGAGGCGCGAGGGTCAGGGCAGCGAAACCAAGCAACGCCTCGCCAGCCCGTGGAAGGCCTCAATACCGGCCAGGAGATGCGGCAAAGCGTCGCTCTTGCCACGACTCCGCGGACTACCGGGCGCTATCCCTTCAGGCATTCCAGTTCCAAGAAGGCCGGGTGTCGAAGTTTAGGGAAAAAGAATCTCATGAAGGGACCATTCCCGAACTGGAGGAGCTTGATCCCAAAAGTCGGCCGAAGATGGCAGCGCAGGACCGCCCCGATTGGTGTCAAAGATCGCAGAACGGAGATGACATGTGGCGAACGCTAAATTTCTTGCCAAAGATGCTGCCCGAGAGGAAGGAAAAGTCATCGTGGAAGGGCAGCGCCGTCGAGGCGAACGGGATGACGCCTCCGGCACTGGGCCGGGAGATGCCCAGAAAGTTGTCCGGCACGCCAAATGATCACTTGATCGCAGATGCGGTGGCCATCATCCAGAGGCAGAAGCGAGATTCGCGGCGGGAGGGTCTTTTTGGGTTGTTCAAAGGCTTGTGATGCATTCCAGAGATGGGAAAAGTTGGTAGACAGTCAGAGACGTGCGTGAATAGGACACGTGCCTCCGAAGTATTTGGCATAGCGTAACATGGCATGATACAGCAATTGGGATGAAGTGCAGGCAATATTAACGAATAGACAATATGGTGTCTCCCAGACGTACGAGTGCGAGTGGACGGTGAAAGATGAAGCTTCATGTCTAGTTGTAACCGATCCGATCCGACCCGATCCGATGGCCGGACCCTCGCGCGGAAATACTTTAATCCGCCCGAGCCTCGAAATTTTGACCTCCAATACAAATTGAAGTGGATGTAGGACATCACCACGAATCAGTATATTGATTAATCCACTGGAGAGTCGCGTCTCTGCACGCCCGACGCCAACATGTCTCTGCCTCTGCAGGAGAGACTGGACAAGATCCGCTCGTCGCCCAAGCTGCAGAACCAGCAGCAGACCTCCGTCGTCCTCAACGCCATCGAAGACACCCTGCGATCCCAAAAGAGCGATCCCACGCCCACCGCATACTTCGCCGCCCTGCTCTCGCTGCTCGCCCAGTACATCTCGGCGGAGAGGGGCCTGGTCAACAAGGACGTCGCCCACTCGGTCGTCTACCTCCTCGATCTCGTGACGCCTCACGTGCCCGCGCCGCTGCTGCGCTCCAAATTCCCACAGATCCTCAGCGGTCTCGCCCCGGGCTTGACAAATCGCGATGCCGAAGCTCCATTACTGCGCGCGAGTATCGGCTGCTTGGAATCGCTTCTGATTGCTCAAGACTCGCAAGCATGGTCCTTGCCGCAATCGCAGACGAGCCCTCGCGGCGCGGTGGGTGGGTTGCTTGCTCTGGCTATGGACCACAGACCGAAGGTCAGGAAGCGAGCCCAGGATGCGCTTAGCAACGTGCTCAAACACCCACCTCCCTCGCCTTCTCTCGACCATCCCGCATCCGACATGGCGGCCGAGACAGCGCTGCGGCACCTGCAATCCGCCGCAGATGAGGTTGGCGGCAAGAAGAAGAAACACAAGCACAAAGATGAGGCGGCCCATGATCCCAACATGATGCATGCCCTACAACTTGTCAACACGGTTGCTTCTGCGCAGAATGGCTGGCCGAGCAAGAAGATCGATGCTCTCTGCGAGCGTCTACTCAACATCTCCCGCGGCAGCAACGAGTTCTTGACAATGGCTGCTTTTGAGATCTTTGAGATCATATTTGCCGGACTAGCAGACGAGGTGTCGTCATCCAAGCTTCCAAGGCTTCTCGAAATCATCACCGAACTGCAGCCGTCGCACAATGATTCTCGGCTACTTCCACCTTGGATTGCTGTTCTCAGCAGAGGCTACGAAGTGTCAGCCCAGATTGAGCCACAGGAGACCTTTGAAAAAGTCCCAGGTCTCTTTGGCAAGATTTCGTCGTTCCTATCATCATCTTCGCAGAATATTCGCGTCTCTGCCTCCGAGTGTTTGGTATCACTGCTACACACCTGCGTCCCCGACTCTGTTCTGCTTGAGCCAACCGTCATGGACGATAAAATGCTGGAGAAAGTCAGTAAGACCCTTCAAGATCTGCTCAGCGTGAAGTATCAGAATGCTTGGATGGAAGTTTTCAACGTCCTTTCCGCTGCCTTTGAGGTCTTGAGATGGCGATCCAGCCCTCTTCTCAACAGCATCATCAAGACGGTGGGAGACTTGCGCAGTGATGATTCCTTTAATGGCAAGAAAGAAGCAGATGTTGTCCTAGCCGCTGCCATCAAGAGTGCAGGGCCGAACAACGTTCTCGCAGTACTTCCGCTGAACTTGGGCAGGAATGCTTCGGGACCTGGCCGCGCCTGGCTACTGCCTGTGATGCGGGATTCTGTCAGCAACACGAGCCTCGCGCACTTCCGCACAGAGTTGGTGCCTCTCAGTGAGTTGATGTTCCAGCGGGTACTGCACCACGGTACCAAGGAGAAGACAATGGAGATCAAGATCTTTGAGACGATCGTCGGCCAGATCTGGTCTTGTCTACCAGGATACTGCGAGCTACCCGTCGACTTGAAGGAGGCCTTTGATCAAACGTTTGCGGAGATGTTGAGCAATCTACTTTATCAGCAACCGCAAATGCGAAGTGACATATGTAAAGCCCTGCAGAACCTCGTGGACACGAACAAGAGCATCGCTGAGCTCGAGGGCGATGAGGAACTCATTAAACAAGGCCGTGTCTCGAAGGACGATGCGCAGAAGAATCTTCAGCATCTCGCTGGGTTTGCAGGCAATCTGCTGGCCGTGCTCTTTAATGTGTACAGTCAGACATTGCCGCACAACCGAGGGAATTTGTTACAATGTATCAATGCATACCTGAGCATCACTCCTGAAGGAGAGCTGCTTGAGACCTTCCAGCGAGTGGCGACCATGTTGGAGGGCTCTCTTGCAGAAGGAGGCCCTCAGACCCAAGCCGACAAGCAGAAAGACCAGACTACAAATAAGGACTCGAGAGATAAGATGCCTCCCACGTCGCATACCCTGATGGACTTGGTCATCACGATTTCGACATATCTCCCCAGAGAGAGCTTTGCAGGCTTATTTCACATGGCGGCAAATATTGTGAACAAGCAAGACGATCCTCAGCTGCAGAAGAAGGCTTACAAGCTTATTCCACGACTATCGGAATCCGAAGTTGGTCGCCAGGCTCTTGCTGAGAGGACTGTCGACTTGCAGCAGCTTATCCTGGAAGCGGCAGAAAAAGCATCTGCGCCGGCTCGCCGAGACCGTCTAGCCTCGATCGCAGAGATTATACCTGGTCTTCCGACTTCTGACCTGCACTTCATTCCATCTATCATTCCGGAAGTTGTGATCGGAGTCAAAGAAGTCAACGAGAAGGCTAGAACCGCTGCATTTGATCTGCTTGTGTTGATGGGCGAGAAGATGGCGGAGGGTGGTACCGTGGTCCAGGCGAAAATTCTCCACATGCCGTCTGATGCTCCTTCTGTGCCTGCAACCTTGGAAGAGTATTTTACGATGGTGTCTGCTGGTCTTGCTGGGTCTACTCCGCACATGATCTCGGCCTCGATCACCGCTCTGACTAGACTGCTTTACGAATTCCACGGCCGCCTGCAGGAGTCCACCGTCACTGACCTCGTACAGACCATGGACCTTTTCTTGACATCTAACAACCGTGAGATCGTACGATCCGTCCTCGGCTTTGTCAAAGTCTGCATCATCTCATTGCCCGGCAAAATTGTGATGCCAAGGCTCCCAACGCTCATTCCTAACCTGATTGTTTGGAGTCACGAGCACAAGCAGCATTTCAAGGCGAAAGTCAAACACATCTTCGAGCGGATGATACGACGATTCGGAGTAGCAGTCGTAGAGAGACACACGCCGGAATCTGACCGAAAGCTGATCTCTAATATTCGCAAGACTCGTGAAAGAAGGAAGAAGAAGCGGGACGTCGACGGCGAAGAAGGAGGCGGAGTTTCGCAAGAGCAGCGGCGGGGCAAGTTCGAGAGCGAGTACGATGAGGCCGTGTATGGCTCTGGTTCGGAGTCGGAATCCGATATTTCCGATGACGAAGTGCTCGGTCGGGCTGCATCGAAGGGTCAGAAAGCAAAGAAGGGCGGCAATCAATACATTGTCGAAGACGAAGACGAGCCGCTGGATCTGCTGGACCGCAAAGCTCTGGCACACGTGTCTTCTACAAAGCCACAAAGGAAACGCGGCGCTTCTGAGGATAAGAGGAACAAGGCCAAGACTGATGTCGATGGTAAACTTGTCTTCAATGAAGACTCGGACGTGGAAGTGATGGAGTTTGACGATCAGGGCATGGTGGGCGGTGCAGAGCCGGGCGACGGTACATTGGAAGGTGGCATCGATGCCTACGTCAGCGCGATCAAGAGCAAGAATGCACCTGAACGTGGGCAGCGCGGTAAGCTGAAGTTCAAGAATGTTCGGGGCAACGATGACGACGAAATGGACATCGACGAGGACGACATTGTGGCGGTCAAGAAGAAGCTCGATGCGAGCAAAAGCCCTCGCGGCGGAGGTAAGCAGAAGCCACAGAGACGAAGTCTTGGCGGAGAGAAATCCAAGAACGGACTCCCTTCGGGCGGTGCCCGTGGTGTCCACAAGGGGCGAGGAGGAGCATTTAAGCATGGGCTGCAGTCTCGGCGTGGTAGGGGCAGAAGGTAAAAAGTTAGGGAAGATGTTTGAAGAGGACTTTTTGATTGTTCATAGCTCATTTCCAGCTCAGATACCCCGTGTGCCGTTGCACCTCTGCTTTCTTGGCTCGAAATGTGGCCGTGAAACAGGCCTTGATAACATGGTCATGTATGCTATCTAGTCATCGTCCTCGTCCTCACCCTCGCCAACAACGTTGAAGAACTTCAAGCTGTACTCGCCCTTGCTGGTGCTGACGACACGGAGCCAGTCGCGCAGCTGCTGCTTCTTGAGGAACTTCTTGGTCAAGTACTTGAGGTAGCGGCCGGAGAAGTCCTGGTGGGCAACGACCTCGATCTTGCCGTCGCCGAGGTTGTTGACGACGATGTTGTCGCCGAGGTTACCGGTGCGGCCCTCGACCTTGATGCGCTGCTGCAGGAAGGTAGCGAAGGCGGATGGGTCGAAGATGCGGTCTTGGGTGGGCTGGGTCGCGTTGATGATGAACTGTAAGACAGACCAGCGCCATCAGCAGACGTCCATGTACACATGGAGAGGGATGATCAGGGGGTCTTGCGGTACCTTCTTGGTCACCTTCTGGCCCTTCTTGCCTGGGGCGCCTTTCAGGCCACCGCCGCCGGCGGTTGGTCTCTTCTATACAAACATTTTGCTCAGCCTACTGCTCTGTGCCGAAGCTGCCAGTCAAGGCGTCGGCGGGCAGCAAAGCGATGTACTCACTGGTCCAGCAACCATGTTTCCGGTGTGGTGTGTGTATGGGAGGATGAGGAGAGGAGGTGTGGTGATCGGCGCAAAGAAATGGATATCCTACGCCTGCGATGGAGTGAAGTCGCGATAGCTTGGGAAAGTGAGCACAGGCGAAAGGGAATTTTGCAATCAAAATCTTGGCGGTGTACGGGCGATGCCGAGGACTTGATGCCTCAGGCCTTTTGAGGCATGCTGAGTGCACGTGCCACGTTCTCGTTCTCGTCGTCCTACATCAAAGCTCAGCTCTGATTCCCAGCAACTGAGATATTCTTTCCTCAAATCTGCCGCCTCGGAAAGGGCATGATTCCCCGTTCCGTCGCCGGCTTCGACGACTGTCCCAAAAACTATGATCTGGGCTCCGAATTGCAGCTTCGGCATCTTTGCTCTCCCTGCCACAGTGTGTGCTGCCATTGAGAACATCAATCCTCTCCACCTCTTAGCCTTAGCATCTGTCCTCATAGCCTGCATCAGCCACACCGTGCTTCGCTACATACGCCTGAAGCGGCAGCGTGCGGTGTTCAAGCAGCAGCATGGATGCAAACCAGCAGCTTCGACATTTCCCAACCGCGATCCTTTCGGCCTGACCTTCACCTATAACTTTCTCGTCGCCGCCAAACAGGCTCGAGCCATGGAGTGGCAGCACAACTGGTTTCAGCAACTAGGCCCTACCTTTGTCAATCAGACATGGCGGGGAGTGACCGCTGTATGGACAAATGACCCTGTCAATGTGAGGCTTCTGCTCACCGACATCGATCGATTCTTGATTGAGCCTTCTCGACATGGACCCTTCAAACATCTCCTCGGCAAGGGCATCTTCACAACAGACGGGGCTTTTTGGAAACATTCTCGCAACTTATTGAGGCCACAGTTCGAGACCAATCAATTCAAGGACTTCGGTCAATTCGAGCATCTCGTGCAGAAGCTGCTGGTCCATTTACAAGACGAAGGGTCGACAGTCGATCTACAACCGCTCTTCAATCGCTTTACCATGGTTAGTACAACGATGCCTGGACGGCACCACATAATGTCCTAGACACTTGCTCATCCCCTATCTCTCTGCAGGACGCGTCGACATGGTTTCTGACGGGTACATGCGCCAATTCACTGGACACCGACGGTCAAGCAGAGCGCGCGAGACGCTTCGTCCGAGAATTCGACTACAGCATGGACGATGCTATCCTCCAAGCACGACTCGGATGGATGTACCATCTAGTGCCACACCCCGAAGCTAGGCGAGCTAATCGAGCGTGCAGGGATTACATCGGCAGTTTTGTAGCAACGGCTGTGGAAAATAGGTCTAAAGAGAGCAAAGCTCCAAGCCACCTGCCCAGATATACGTTCGTCACGGAATTGGCCAACCACACCGAGCTCGATGAGGTTCGCATTCGCGATGAGGCGTGCAATATTCTGCTCGCCGGGAGAGACACGACTGCTTCGCTGCTCACTCATATGTGGTTCCATCTTGCGAGGCGTCCACTCGTGTGGAAAACTCTGCAAGCGGAGGTCGACGAGCTAGATGGTCGAATTCCGACACATAAAGAGCTACAGGGCATGAAGTACCTTGACTATTGCGCGAAAGAAGGTATGCAGCCTCATATGAAGTTTGCGGTCTGAAGACTGACCCAGTCGACAGCGCTCCGCCTACACCCAGCCGTTCCGATACTGTCCAAGTACCCTGCCAGTGACACGTACTTGCCTCGCGGCGGGGGCCCCGACGGCCGAGAGCCCTTGTTCGTTCCCAAGGCGATTCCGGTCTTTTACAACAGCTACTCCATGCAACGGAGCAAACAAGTCTTCGGCGAAGACGCAGACGTTTTTCGGCCTGAGAGATGGGCAGACGAGAGCTTCAAGCCGGGTGACAGCTACATCCCATTCGGATTGGGACCACGCTTGTGTCTGGGACAGCGATACGCACTGAGCGAAGCTTCCTACGCTACTGTCCGTATGATGCAGAACTTTCGCAGGATCGAAAGCCGTGATCCTGGACCGTGGCAGGAGAAGCTGAATGCGTCCATGAGCTCCAGAAATGGTGCAAAGGTTGCACTGTGGAAGGATTGAGGAGATGCTGATGTCGAGTCGGAAGGTGAGACCAGACCCGACCCAGACCTGATGGATGACTGATTGATGATGGGGAGGAGAGGACACCGTGACAATATAGAAAGATGAATCTCGGAAGTTGAAGTTTATGATCTCATGACCGAAAGATATGAAACAATTGTTCTGTAATAATAGTCGTAACACATTGCTCAACCGCCTTCTCGGCAGGAGCAGGAATCCCCCTCAATCCACAAAAACGCCAACCCAATGCATGCTGTGCTTTGATGCTTTCGACGAAAGAGTGATCTAGATCTACCACTTGATGACACGCTCTGTCTCGCCCGCCCTCGGGGGGAAGTAGGTGTTGATGAGCTCCATGTAGTACGGCTTGAGCTCCTCCGCGTCAGGCATATCGTCACTCTTGCTGTACAGGTCGTAGGGGTTGAAAGCCTTGACGGCCTGGAACATCTTCTCGTCCTTCTCGTTCATCATCCACTGGTAGCCGCCGGCCGAGTGCCAGGGGTAGAAGGAGTGGTATCGGATCATGGCCAAGGCCTCATCGGGCAGAGTGCTCTGCTCCTTGCAGATGTGGTACAGGTATTCGTCGTGACCCCAGCTGAGCATGACGTTGTCCATGCCACAGCCCGGGGTGTAGATGCCGTGCTGGGTGCTGTAGATGGGGTCGTTGATGTCGGGGTTCTCCTCGAAGGTGCCCGGGTAGATGATGGATTCGTCGAAGCGGCAGCCGACGGGAAAGGTGTCGCCCACGACATCCCACTGGCCCCGAGCATCGTAGAAGAAGAGGAGCTTGCCGAGGTCGTGGACCAGGCCGACGAGCTGGAACCACTTGGGCTTGCCATCGCGGCGGATCGCCTCGGCGGATTGCAGGAGGTGTTGGATCTGGGAGAGCGAGGTGTCCGGGTCGGACTCGTCGATGAGCGTGTTGAGCTTCTCCATCGCTTGCCAGATGGTCATCTCCGCACGCGTCTTGGAGTTGAAGTCGTTGCGGGCCTTGAGGTTGTAGGCGACGGTCTGCTTGGTGTGTTGCTCCTTGTAGAAGTTCTTGACGCGATCACAGGCGTCCTCGTACTGCCGGAACTGCGTCTTGTCCTTCTCCGAGTCGAACTGGGACTTCTCGTAGATGTCGACTTCCTCTTGGGTGGCGGTCCCGTTCTTCACTCGCATTGCGGCCTTGAGGACGTTGACTTCGTCGACGGCGTCCGACGTTGCTTCGAGAGCGAGACCATCTTTGTGGTCGTTGAAGTTCTCGTTGATGTTGGGCGTCTCGAGGAGGGCTGCTGGTGCCATCTTCCCTGTCTATTGTTTGGATGTCTATGGTTTGGATGGATGTGATACAAGTCAAATAATCTGTTGAGAGAGGGTGACGATTGGAGAAAGTGTAAGTGAAGATGGAAGGGTAAGCAATACGGCACGGCGAGAGGGAGTCGGTATTTATCAGTTCTTCCAGTAGGGCTGCTTACCCAGAGGCACCGAGAGGCCACTTTCCCTCGCCAGACTCAAGAGGCAAGAAACGTAGCAGCGGCCCTACGTCGTGTCGTGGGCCTCGCCCTCGCCTAGGCTGTCGGTCTACGTCGACCAGCTGCGAGTGGGCGATGGGTGGCGCGCGTGAGAACTGGGGGATACGATCGTTTGCGGGACGCCGTCGCAGCCCATCTTGCCCCAATGCATGAGATTGGTCCATGTGGGGTAGCCCATAGGTCAACGGACGGAGAAACTCTGCCACTAGCGCCTTGGACGGAAGCATGGATATTCCTTTCGGACGCCCCAAAGCAGGTGTACCCGCACCTCCGTCCAACCAGATGAGCACACGATGGCGTAGTAGTGGGGCGTCGGAAAGCTTTTCCTGGAAGGACCTCCGCTTTAGCTCAGAAAGAGGCCATTTTCTCCGACGCTCGGCCAAATACTTTTTCCTTCCCCCCCCGCTCGCTCCGGTCGCATGTGACAATCAGGGTCTGCTGGTGTGGCCTTTAGCCGTAATAGGCTACCGAGCGCGGCGTCGGAGGCACAGTTCTTCCTAGCTCATTCTGGGGAAGCCGACGACACGGACAGGGCAGACGCCGTCAGTCGCCCCTCCACGCGACGAGGAAGGAGCTAGGGAGGCAGTCGCGTGGCGGGGCACGTTGGGAGCTGCCCATGTTCAAATGCCGACAAGTGAACTTTTTACACCAACCTGGATGTTTTGCACGCGTCAGTTGCTCGGGATATCGCGCACCGACCCACAGCCATGAATCCCCAACTCGCCAACTTCATGTTGGCTCGCACTCCTGAGCACATTCTCCATCCAAAGACCATGGCGGACACCACCTTCACCCTCAACACTGGCGCCAAAATTCCCGCCGTCGGCCTGGGTACTTGGCAGAGTGGTGAGTATTCTTCTATGCCACGTGTCAGCAATGCTCGCGTGTCCTGACGATCCTGTAGATCCAGGCCAAGTCAAGACGGCTGTTGCCCATGCCCTGAAGAGCGGCTACAGGCACATTGACGCCGTAAGTGTGACCGCGGAGCAGCACGGAAGGCACCGTACTGAGCTATCCTCCAGGCATTCGTCTACGGGAACGAGAGTGAGGTCGGCGAGGGCCTGAAAGAGGCGTTTGACTCTGGTATCAAGGTGCGTTGCGCTGGGTGGGGGAGTACAAGCCGTGTCCAGATGGGTTGCTGATATCTGACAGCGGGAGGATGTTTTCGTTACTTCAAAATTGTGGAACACCTACCACCGGAAGCCAGAGGAGTGCCTTGACGAAGGTCTGAAGCGCCTGGGCTTGGACTATGTCGACCTCTATCTCGTGCACTGGCCGGTACCAATGAGCCCCAACGGCAACCACCCTCTCTTCCCAAAGCATCCGGATGGCTCGCGAGACTTAGACACTGAGTGGTCCCATGTCGAGACCTGGAAGAACATGGAAAAGCTGTTGAAGACTGGCAAAGTGAAGGCAATCGGAGTCTCCAACTATAGTGTCAAGTTCCTCGAGGAGCTTCTGCCGCATGCTTCGGTTGTCCCTGCTGCCAACCAGATCGAGAACCGTGAGTACATGGTAAACGCAAGTATAATCCGTTTGCTGACTTGACCTTCTCGGCTAGACCCCTATCTTCCACAGCAAGACATTGCAGACTACTGCCGCGAGAAGGGTATCTTAATTGAGGCATACAGCCCGCTGGGCAGCACCGGAAGCCCGCTGTTCTCCGAAGCAGGAGTCCAAGAAGTCGCGAAGAAGCACAACGTAGGGCCAGGTACGATCCTGATCAGCTATCAGGTCAACAAGGGGCACGTCGTTCTGCCGAAATCCGTGACACCCACGCGTATCGAGGAGAACCTCAAAACCGTGAAGCTGGACAAATCTGATCTGGATGCATTAGAGGGCATTCACAAGAAGAAGGGTCTAACACGATTTGTGTACCCACCGTTCGGTGTCAACCTTGGCTTCCCTGATAAGCAGTAACGCATCGCGTGCGACATCCGAGGCTGCTTCATGCTTGACGTACGGTCAAGATAGATTAGGTAGACAGATTGTCGAAAGACTTGTGATAATGTCTGGGCTCTCATTTGTCGTGTTTTCGCACATTCTCGGCCTTCTCCTTGAGAACTTCTTGGAGCGCTTCGTTGTGGCGCGCGAGTAGCGAGACGTCTTTGACGTTGATAACAGAGTGCCCAGCGTGCTTCGCAAAGGCCTCCATGTCAGCTGCCGATGTGCTGATCTTCGTATGGACCAGTTCCGTCAGAGCGCCGATGAATATTGGCGTAGAGTTGATATTTTGGTCCAAAGCAACGGCATCGACAGTCTTTCCGATGGAATACCACAGGGCGGCTTTCAACCGTTCGTCGTTGGCAGCGTCATTCTGAGTGAGAGAGGGCATTATGAGCGCTTCGCCGTGTATATTCGCCGTCTATCTCTGTGGAGTTGAACTGGCTCGCGGATTGCTGATCGTTGGTTGTTGGATGTGGCGTTGAATGGAACGCGCTGGAGATACGCGTCACAGGCAAGGCTCGGGAACTCCGAACTCCGAGCTCCGAACTCCCTACCAAGCAAAGCCCTTTCTTCCTCGTCTCCTTCTTCCCCTATCTGTATTATTCCATCAACAACAACATCTGTGACTTCGGGTATTCCCGAATCAGCTCGAAGATTTCTGAAGAAACGACGTCTGGCTCTTGGACCGGGTAGAGGCGCTGGATGACTGAACTCGAATAACCCTTTGCGACTCATCCGACCTCTTCGCGACGCCTGGGTCTGAGGTGTCTCTTGCGCACCACAAAAGGCACAGATCAGAAGATCTCGAACATGCTCCCCGAGAATCATTGGCGTTAGAAAGAGTGGAGTCGGTGCGGCCAGCTTCCATGGCAGGCCGAGGAATGCGGCTTCATCGCGCCCTGCGCGAATCCAAGCGTAAAGAATGCTACACCATCCACCTTCGCGCTTGCTCGTAGATTCAGCCACCATGCCTCCCAGCACAGGACGCGAAAGAAGACGGTCAACGTCTATAGCGCTCCCTTGCACTTTATATGTAGGTTATCGAAGCCCCGTTTCTTGCCTGTTCCTGTCCGGTACGCAAGCACAATGTCTTCAAGAATATGGTCCAAATCTGCATCAGCTACACTATGTCATCTACTACTTTCCGCAGCACCGGCTCTCGGTCACATGGAGATGAGCTGGCCTTACCCTCTGCACAGCAAGTACGATCCCGAGAATACATACCAAAATATCGATTACAGCATGACATCCCCCTTGGATCCGGATGGCTCCAGCTTCCCTTGCAAAGGATATCAGAATGACCGACCGATTCGGACCACGGCGACCTATGCGGCGGGTTCAACGTACAACATGACGTTAGCTGGGACCGCTACGCACCGTGGCGGCTCTTGCCAGATCTCTCTCTCATACGACAATGGCGCGACGTTCAGGGTGATCAAGAGCGTGGTCGGAGGCTGCCCGCTCCAGTCTACTTACGACTTCACAATACCATCCTACGCACCGACCGGGGAGGCGTTACTGGCTTGGACCTGGTCCAACAATGAAGGCAACAGAGAATACTACGTGAGTCCATGTTGCAAGCAGTAGGACTGTGCAGAGATGGCTGACGTGCTCATAGATGAACTGTGCGGAGGTTAATGTGATAACTGGCGCGACCAGACGGCGGCGCAGGCAGACATACAACAGCTTTGAGAGCCTGCCTTTCATCTGGAAGGCCGATCTCGAAGGCTTGAATGACTGCACGACGACCGAGGGCGAAGATCCAGTGTATCCGAACCCGGGTCCGGACGTACAATATGGCAACGGCGTCAGCAGTTCTAGCACTCCTAGTCCGGGCACGTGCGACTCGCCCAGACCATATGGAAAGTCGTACAAGGATCTGGGGGATAGTTCCGAAGCACCCACTGCGGGTAGCACTCCATCATCGCCCTCGCCAGACCAGAACAGCACGTCGATGACGAGGTCTGCGTATTACCCAGGATCGACTGGATTCTCCTCTCATGGTAGCGATAGGGCTGCTTCTCCAAATCAAAATCCGCAGGAGCTCGCAGTGTCAGCAGCGTCTCAATCAACGACAACTGTCTACATTGATTGTACAGATACCGTCACCATCACCGTCGCAGCCACAACGCCATTGCCGCCGACTGCTTCTTCGAGACCTCCTCAGATCATCCCTTCCACCACAAAACCCACGCCGCCTCTCCCAACAGGGCCCAACTCGGGCTCAGGCTCGGGCTCGCCAAATTCCCCCCATCCACCCTACGCGAGCGGCGACGTAAACCGCTACCTCCCCTGTGTCCCCGGCACCTTCCTCTGCACGAACGCAAACATCTGGCTGACCTGCGACTCCAACGACGGCAGCAGTAGTGTCCGCTCCTCCGAGACATGGGTCTACCTGCACTCCCGCCCCGTCGCCGCCGGCATGATGTGTCTGCCCTGGCTTTCGAAATATACCGGCGGCAATGCGCAGTACGCCCAGCAGGCACACGTGGCCCGTGGCAGCTATCGGGACGATCGCGTCGTGCGCGCGAGACCCGATGGGGATTGCGGGAGTGATGGCGCTTTAAGGTGTACCGACGGCGGACGGGCGTTTGAGGTTTGTGATCAGGGGGGTTGGGTTCAGATGGGGAGTGTCGCTGCCGGGACGACTTGTTCTAATGGTGCGATTGTGGCGGCTTGATAAATCGGTTCTGCTTTTTTTTTTTTTTTTTTGAGCGTGGCGTTACCTGGGGACGGAGAGGGGGAAACGAGCTATGAATGTCACAACGAATAATGAACGTCGGGTATGGTGAACGGAGCCACGATGATGTGATGACATGATTCCTTTCTCGCTCACACTATCCACTCCACCACACCCTCTTGCCTAACTACCACGCACAACAAAACACAACATCGATCGAGAACATCCACGGAACGCTCACAGTCTCGCCTTGGCCCCCTCCGAACTATCAATAATGACCTTCAACACCAACTTGCCCTCGGCGTCCTTGGTCTTGCCCGCCATCTCAAACGCCTTGACGGCCTCCTCGAGCCCGGAGAAGCGATGTGTGATGAGTTTGGAAAAGTCCGGACCGTCGGGGGAATTTCGCGCTTGAAGGACAATGTCGATGCTCTCTTGGTAGGTATTCGCGTAGCGGAAGACGCCGACAATGTCGACTTCTCGCAGAGCGGCGGCTCCCAGGGGAATCGTTTGGATGGGATGGCCCATTCCGACGAGCATCAGGCGGCCTCCAGGTCTTGTAGCCTACATAGAGAGAGAGAGAGAGTCGGTCAGTGCATGGTTGGTTGGTTGGTTGGTTGGTTGGTTGGTTGGGGAAAAGGAGCTCTGCTGCTGCGGTACCGCGGGGACACTTACATAAATTCCTGCTTGTACGCAGGATGGAACGCCCGTGCATTCAAAAACGACATCCACCTCTCCCACATTGTCAATCTTGCCGACCTCGGCTGCCGTCTCCTTGGCGATCTGCAGGCTCTCGTCGATATCCTTGCCCCTCTTCATGGGTACAGTGTAGCTGTTGTGTGCGAAGCCATTCTGCACCGCGAAATCCAGCCTACCGGCATCGATATCCGCTATGATGACCCTTCCAGCGCCCTTCAGCTTCGCAACAGCAGCACATAGCAGGCCAACAGCACCGGCTCCAAACACAACCACCGTTGCATTCTCTGGCATGAGACTCCGCCTGAAAGCATGCAGCGCAACGCCCAAGGGTTCCAACAACGCTCCGACATCCAGGTCAATCTCCTCTGGCAGCTTATAGACCCATTTTGCGGGATGGTTGATGCTCTCCTGTAATGTGCCCTGGAAATGGGGGAAAGCCTTCCCACTACTTCGGAATCGAACGTCTTTGCAAATGTTGTATCTTCCTTCTTTGCATCTTTGGCATTGTTCGCACGGGAGCCCGACTTCGAGGGCGACTTTATCGCCAGTCTTGAGGTGTGAGACGGAGGAGCCGACGGCGGTGATTACGCCCGCAGATTCGTGGCCGAGACTCAGAGGTTCGCGGACGAGGATGTCGCCGTTGCGGAAGTGAGAGTAGTAGTGCAAGTCGCTGCCGCAGAGGCCTGTCGAAGCGACGCGAATCTGAACTTCGTCTGGGGCCGGAGAGGGAAGTGTTCTGGTTTCCTGCTCGCGTCAGTGGCTGTTGGTCGTTCTCCAACCGTCTCTACATACTACGCGGAGGTCTTTTGCTGCATGCAGGACAGAGGCTTGGATTTCGGTCGACATGGTTGCTGGAGAGTGACCTTGATGTCCTTGAGAGGATGGGATGGATGTCGCTTCAGCCGGTAGGAAAAGAAGTCAGACCCGCTATCAATGGCTTCTTTACAAAAACAGTCGGGTCATATCCGCCTTTTGTCTATACCCGTCAATATACTTTTCCGATCCAACGTGGAAGTCTCGGGAGACTTCCACTGCTTGAGAACCGCGTCGAGGGGTCTTTTAGTGGGGGCGGCGTCAATTGCCGATGTTTCATCGGCAATTGAAGGAATCAGCAGGGCGTCTATGGCCAGCATTAGATGAGCTCTTGGAGGACATAATAGCTCACACAGCAATCCATCCTGCTTTTTGCGAAGTCAATGCCCTCAATCTCGCGCGCTCAGGATATTGCAGCACACTTGAGCAGTCCAGCGAACAGCAAGATGACGTCCATTCAACAGCTCTTCGGTCTGGAAGGCCAGACGGCTCTCGTGACGGGCGGCACGAGAGGCATTGGACAGGCTATGGCCATTGCTCTGGCTGAAGCAGGAGCCGACGTGTTGCTTGTGCAGGTATGTCGTGGGATATTCAGAACGCAATGCCTTGGATCAGGCTGACGAAGAGAAGCGAGACGAATCACATCAGGAAACCAAGCAAGCAATTGAGGAGCTCGGAAGGAAGTCGCAGATATACGTTGCCGATCTCGCATCGAACGAGTCGATGAAAGCGCTGGTTCCGAGAGTGCTGAACGATGGCCACCAGATCCACATACTCCTGAATTGTGGCGGTATTCAACGAAGACATCCGGCACACCAATTCCCAGACGACGACTGGAACGAAGTGCTGCAGGTCAACCTGAACGCCGTGTTCACGCTCTGCCGGGACGTCGGAGCCCACATGCTGGCGCGGGATGCCGACCGGCATGGCAGGAGAGGGAGCATCATCAACGTGGGAAGTTTGTTGACGTTTCAAGGCGGAATCAACGTGCCGGCGTATGCGGCATCCAAGGGCGCCGTGGGACAGCTCACTAAGGCTCTGTCCAACCAGTGGGCGGACAAGGGCATCACGGTCAACTGCATTGCGCCTGGCTACATCGCGACGGAGATGAACACGGCGCTGATGAATGATGAGAAGAGGGCGACGTCGATCTTGGAGAGGATACCGGCCGGGCGATGGGGGAGCCCGGACGACTTCAAGGGCAGCGTGGTGTATCTGGCGAGCAGGGCCAGTGGCTATGTGACCGGAGAGATTCTGACGGTCGATGGAGGATGGATGGCGCGATGAAAGATGAAAAGGATACAGACAGAGTGTAAGGGTTGGACGCGTCACGGGTATGTTATGTACATGTAGCTTATTAGGTACATGTTGGCGCCTGGAGCGCTTCCTCACCATCTCACGTGTCACCGTGTGCCTCCCGTGCGCCGTCGACCCCCGCAAAGACCGTCGATCGCCGAATCGAATCAAAGTGGACGGAGCGGAGTATTCCCGACTTCTAAGCACTGGGCTTCCTTCGTAGCCGCGAAGGCAAGCGTCTCCGGCTCCATCCCAGACCAGACGATCGACGACGAGTCCTCTTCATCACATCCCGCTCTCTGAGGTCGACGCCGCCCTACCGCTTTACACCACCACACACGTACCTCGGAATTCGAGCGCGAAATGATCGGCAATCGTGGATCCATGGCGCGCACGCGAGACATCTCCAATGCATGGTCAACAGCGCAACAGCGCAAAGGAGATGAAGGGCTGCAACGGCTCGAAGCAGGATCAATTGGCGCCGTGTTGACCTCGTTCGTCGGAGGAATGATACATGGAAGGCGGAGCACATGATCGCAAGGATGAAAAGGGCGAAATCAAGTCGGAGGGACAACAAGCCTCAACAATGGACTCCCGTAGAGAAACATGAAGATAATCACTGGTGTCGGTCGCGACTGCGATCCGTATAGAAGTTCTGGGCTCAAGAGCGACACATCAACATCGTCCTGGTCGGTCAACACCACCAGGGAAACTGCCGTTGCGAGACTGCTGATGGTCTGTCTTCGAACTTGCATCAACGTGAAGTTGAATGGCGTCCTGTCGTTATCATGAAGAGAAGCACCTGAGGCAGCACAGGGCAGCGTCTCTCTGGGGACAGGTACCAGGTAAGAAATAGAGCCATGGGTGGTGGACGCTATGTTGTGGGAATGGGATCTCGCCTGGGGAACGCCCGGACAGATTCTGATTCAGTTCCTCACTATGGAGACACGGTCCTGATTATACGAATCAGACACAGGAGAGATTGGTCTCAGAACCGTCATGTTGGGTGGGCCTCACGAAAAGGCCTTGGCGGACCGCAAAAGGCACATGTTTGGCTTCGTGCCGGGGGTTTCCGGCTTTGCTTGGTGTCAGCACTATCGCGTAGCCTCCAACTTAATAAGCACCCCTCGTGTGATGAGTGCTGTACAAGCTGGCAGTCCAGACTGCAGAGGTGCACTCGGTGGGTGGTCGCTTTGACAGACGGCGCTCGGTGCTTCTGCCTCTGACGGTATAGGGCCGAGATGCGAGACGGCAGCGACTCCACTCCTCGTCTCGTCGCCGCCAGTGACGTCTCGTCGCTGAGGTGGGCTAGAAGCAAGCTTGAATATTCATGCAACCAGCTTCTCCTCTTCTCCTCTTCTCCTCTTCTCCTCTTCTCCTCTTCTTGCCCCGACGGGACCATTCTCTGGGGGGGGGGGGGGCGGCAGACCAGACAAGACCCCGCGCCGGAGGGAAAGTACGTACTGGCGCCGGGGACGGCAGGGACTTGCCTCCAAAAGCCGATCGAGGAGATATGTTCCGTCTGCTCCGTCGGTAGGGGCAAGAGGGTGCGTGTCTTGCCACAGATCGTGCCATCCTGACCGAAGGTGACCATCTCTTATGTCGGGAATGTCGAGTGCGGCGGGCGGCATCTCCACGACGGCGACAAACACCGCGCCATCATCCCATCAGCAGCAGCAGCAGCAGCGGCAACAGCGGCAGCGGGACTCGACGCAGACCCAGACGCAGACGCAGAGGACGAAGACCGGCTGGTAACACACACCTCCCTCACCCGCGCTTGCAAGTTGGCTTGGCCGACTTCTGCTTCTTCTCCCTTCTTTGCTTACCTTGACACTGCTTCTAGCCAGAACTGTCGCCTGAGGCATCTCCGTTGCGATGGTATGACGCACCATCCTTTCTCTCTCTCTCTCAAACACACATACACACATACACACATACACACATACACACACACTCTCTCTCTCTCTCTCTCTCTCTCTCTCTCTCTCTGCCTCTCTCCCTTCCACTCTCTCTCACACCGCCAAGCCAGTCCGATATACTGATGCACGTCCAGAGCAACGACCGTCGTGTGCCCGCTGCGAGAAGGCGGGCATTGAATGTGTGAGGGGATACAACATTCGCTTCCGACACGGCGCAAATCCCAGGTGAGCCCCTCCGTCTTGCCCTGCCCTGCCCTGCCCCGCATCATGTCATGTTCTTCACCACCTCACTGGCTGACATGATTCCATCCTTCAGTGTCGCCAACCTCGAGGGCTCCGGCCTTGCCAAGACCGAGTATGACTTCAGCAAGAAGCAGACTTGGGTCAAGACGGCGAGAAGCCTCACCTTCCTGGACGAGACCCAGGAGCTCATGAACATATACGACCACAGCCCCGACGACGATGGCTCCAACCCGACCCCCTTCCAGTGGCAGAAGAGCTCCCCTTCCTCTCACTGGCCGGTCGAGAATGACAGACCGCCTCCGTTGGAGAGAACCGTCTCGCAGCCAGCCGTCGCGAGTGCTTCACACAATGCTGCCTCACCCGCTGACAGTCCAGCACACTCCTGGCCGGATGGAGGCGATTTTGCCTCGTTACACCTGCCGGAGCAGAGCAGCTATCCTGCGCAGTCGCCCGCCGCCAGTGTAACTCCCTCGGATCGCACGCGTACAGAGCCTGGCAGCTTGACCGACACCCGTCACGTCCCAAAGCGGAGAAGGCTCACGTTCGAGAGCGTCTACCAGAGCTCGGTAGCATCCGAGAGCCCCGTCAATCCCGTTGCTCATCAATCTCCCGCGACCCCGGAACCGTGGTCTGTTGGATGGACTCCCTCAAAGCCCGTCAGCAACGACATGTCCGCTTCGGAAGTGGACCTCGTGACACTCTCAGGCCTGGAGACCTCTGTATCGAGTTCGCTCTCACGTATCTACCTAGAGTCCCCCGCCTGGCCTCTCCCACAGAGGGAGGAAGCCATACTCCTGCGACATTTCGTTGAAACCTTGGCGCGTAATTTCGACCTGACTGATCCACGTGCTCATTTCCGCAATGTCGTGCCGCAGAGAGCAGCGGTCTGTCCGACTCTGATGAACGCCATCTTTGCCCTCTCGGCCCGGCACTTGAGTCGAATAGGTCAGTACGATCCGCTTGTCTCAAATCGATACCATCAGGAGTGCTTGAAGCACCTGATACCCATGCTCGATGACACATCTGCGATACTCGACGAGAATTTACTGGCGTCCACGATCATCCTGCGTCACTTGGAAGAGCTTGAAGTCCCCATCAGCGGTCAGCACCCAAGTGACCAACATAGCCATCTGCTTGGCGCTCAAGCCTTCATCGCTGCGCAAGAAAGGGCGGCGATCACAGGCGGCCTCCGCCAAGCAGCCTTCTGGGTCGGATTGAGACAGGAGGTATACGTAGCATTCGTCAATCAGCGGCCTGCGCTACCCGCTTTGGAGCATTGTAACGTTGATCGATCTTTCGAAGCTGCGGAGGATCATATATGGTCAGTGACATCAACAGCAAAGCACAGCTGCCGTTGCTAACGATGTCGAAGGGCTTGTCGCATCATTGTTCAATGCGCGGATATTCTGCGATACTGTTTCGGAGACGGAACTGCATCCGCGGCATCGTATGCATACCTGGAGCATCAGGTATCTCAATGGTACGTCTTTGCTCACAACACAACTGGAGGAGTCTATCCGCCAAGAGACTTCGCATTTGCTACGTCTCGCGTGATGCTGACATTTTCCGCTGTCTCTCAGGTACGACAGCAAACCAGCCTCTTTCAACCCTGTCTTCTATCGGGCCCCCGAAGGTGATGAGGTCTTTCCCGAGGTACGTAGTACCCGCGCATGCCGGCGTCCGGCTTGCAGCAGTGACAATCGCTCCATCGCGGGTGAGGCGGATTTCAGCTGACATGGCTATTAGATATGGTATGTAGGCGATGACCTTGCAACGGGCATCCAGCACTATCATTTGGCACGAATACTCCTCAGCTCGCATAACCCGGGCATACCCAAGCTGGGCCCAGGGAGAACAGCGGCATTGAGGGCCATGGATGACGAGATCAAACGTCACGTTCGAGCTCTGTGTGGCATGTCTCTGAGCAACCCTTCCAATGCGCCAGCTTTCACATACGCTGCGATGGGAGCTTCGTTGGCTGGAGACAAGTTCGTGGAGTACCGTGAACAGATCGTAAGTGGCGCTATGCACATTTTCCATCGATATCCTGCTGCCGATTCCGTGCTCAAATGTGATATGCTGACAGATCGGTAGGCTTTGCTTGCTGTCCTCCAGCAGTGTGAAAATATGCATGCGTGGCCTACGGGAACCGCGATAACCAACCTGAAAGTAGCCTGGGGTTGGGATGAGACGGAAAACTACATGCTTCCGCACGGCGGACATCCGACCAAGAGTGTCACAGCAGAAATCTAAGTCCACGCACGACGAATGTGCAGCCACGGGGAAATCCTGCCTAGCTGCATGTTGCAGGCGAGATTCTGCACGAGCGCACAATGCATTTGCGACGAGTCGGCTTTGGCAATGCTCCCATCGCTCAGCCGTCCGGCACTGTTTATATCGTCAGGTCACCAACGATTTCCACCAATGTGGCTCTGTTTTCATTCCTGGTCTAGTCGTCGAAATTTCCCTCCCTGTGCGCTTCCTTCACAGCCTGACCCGCTATCAGAGGGATCGCAAGCGTATTACTTTGGGGAAGAAATATGTCAGAGCACGATTCGGGTAGGTCCGCAATATCTGAGATCCCGAACAAGCGCTGACTGGGGTAGTAGCTCGCGCCAGAGAATGTAGAGAGCTTGGAAAGGTTACATGTCGCGAGGATCAGAACCCTCGAAACCGATCCAACGACAAGAATGCTATCGGAATCCAGGGAATGAAGAACGCAACCTCACAAACCACGTTCACGCCGCGCGCTACCCCTTTGGGCCAAGTGGACGACATCATGGAGCTTGTTCGCACCTCACGGATCACTGAAGCCGAGATCCTCTTGCGGCTGTACTGGCCACCCCCAGAGCAAGAGACCAGCTCTCGTACCGAGACTTCGGAGCCTGAGACGGAGCGTTGGCAGAGCGTAATGTCGATCGACCGAACAAGGACTGTGTCCAACCCCGGTGCTAAGCAAACGGCACTGCAACCCCGGTGGAGTAAGGAATCAGACCGAGACACTGGACAGCCAAAGACGGCGGAGCAACTTCGCCAGCAACGCGGAGCGCGGAGAACTGGAGCGGCGAAGGGGCAAAGAGACGTAAGCTGAGAGACCTGCTCCGTCGATGTCTTGAGGAGGCACTTTGTAAACTAGTTCGCGCACTACGTATCTACTCAGAGATCGATATATGTATGATGAGCATCGCGAGAAATGTAATCATCCTACAACACGACTACACGCAAAGCTCAACCATGATATTCCATGCGTGCTCGTGCATTCCTAGTCTTTGCGGCGAGAGTATCTGTCTGCGCAAAGAAAGCAGACCACAGACCGCCGAGGCGGGTCAGAGCATGCATGCATCCATGGTACCCGCCAGACTGGGATTCAAGATGCATCAAATCTCATCATCACGGCAAATGCATTTGCTCGTCTCACTATCTATCTATCAATCTAGATCTTCACACAAGATCAGTCAATTAAACAATCAATCAATCAATCAATCAATCAATCAATCCTCATAAAAAAAAATCCAAACAAACTCACCTTCCCCTTCCCTCCTTTTCCCCCCTTCTTCTCCTTCTCCTTCTTCTTCTTCTTCTCCTTCCTTCTCTAAAATAGACAACCAAAAAACTTCCCGCAAAAAAACTTAACAAATATGTGCTGGTTATCGCCTCGTCGTCTACACGAGATGCGGCCATTCGCGGCGCAAAATCACGCAGGAGTGCGATCGTAGGCCAACAAGAGGAGATTCATCAAGACACACACAGGATGCAGCGCGACGAGGACTTTGAGACGGAGTATCGACGGAAGACGTGCGTCGTGTGTCGGGAGCCGGGGCGCGAGGCGCGGAATTCGTGGGCGACGCTGGTGTTGGCGTATCTTGCGGGGGGTATGAGGTGAAAGAGGAGGGAAGGGAGAGGAGTAGGAGAGAGAAGGAGAGAGCAGGAGGGGGAGGGAAGGGGTGACTTGGATGATTTTGCTTTTGGAATACAATCGGGATCCATCACGCTGGCACAGACTTGTCTCTGCTTTCATGAAAACTTTTGATGCTCATGAGCGTAACACGCGTCTCTCTCTCTCTCTCTCTCTTTTCGGAGGGACCGCCCGATGTCATTTCCTTTCGTTGCATTCACGAGTCCTTTTGCACCCCACAGTGACCAACACAAGTCTTTGCATGAGATGTTCCAAGTGAAGACATGATTTCCTGCATTGCATATTCCAGGCGCCGGGGATATAATAACAACCAAGCAGTACGGGGTCTGTCGATTGCAACCGAGACATCAGACATCGCACACCCAACCAAAACCGAAATGTCCAGCGAACCCGCGCAAGTCCCATGTCCCGACGACGCGGTGCTGTCATCGACCATCTGTAACAGACCGAGCACGTTCGCTTCTTCCGGAACGGCTCAGTCCCACTCGTCTCCCCGACGAACCATCGACAGCGTCTTCAACGCGACACCGCAGGAGAGTACCGATACCCTCGTGTCGTACCAAACAGCGACGAGCCAAATTCCAGATCTTTCAGCTCCAGTTCCTACTCGACCGCCGATTCCCAGTAAAAGGACAACCTTTAATCAGTCACCAGATACTCCACAGCGAACCCACCCAGCGAACTCACACCCGTCCAACGCCGGATCCTGTAAAGCCGTTGTGCTCCCCTGTGTCAACATCTTCAAACCAGCTCCAGTCCCAATTCACGCGCCCCCAGCAAGGATCCGAGAGGTCCATCCACGAATTCTGCCCGGCATGGCAGCAGTAAGTGGAGGACGCCCACCAAGTCGTCGTGCAAATTTGCCAGCGGGGCTGCACGTGAACTGGACGCTGGACAGGACAGGTCCTCATGAGGATGAGCAGACTCGAGAGGCACGCGAGCAGATGTCAGACGAGGAAGAGCAGACGCGAATGAACTCCTGGATCAGGCATTTTCGACGACCGCGGTGATAGTTTGATTGTGGAGACCCCCTGACTTCTTCTGGGTGCATTAGTACCGTACAGTGGTGTACATATATTAGCTATCGGTCGAGAGCATTCGATCCAAGAGATTCTCTTTTCATGTTAGACCGCATTCTCAACATCTAGGTCGTCTTTGAAGAAACAGCCAGCAGCCGAGCTGTACACGTGCGCGGTCGGCCAAGGCCTGTAACGGCGAGGAGGCGGCGATCCTGCAAGAACGCATGTGTCAGGTCCGTTGCTTTCAATCAAGGCTGATAAAACGGCGAGGTCATGAGGAACTCCGAGTCTGTGGCTCTCGGATGGTCAGTTTTGAATTCAATGAGAACCAGGAATACGAGTCATGGCGCCAGCAATGTCTAGTGATGTTTCTGCGAACTGAGGATCGTATGCTGCAATCGCAAAGGAGCTCAGCCTGGCTCCTCGTATGTATAAATTTATCAAGGAGCCATGGACAAAGTGCCACCTACGCCATACAGCATATCGGAGATGGAAGTGTTTGGCGCTCGCGCGAGATCAGATGCCGAACTTTAAAACGACTGGACAAACTCACCGATGTCATCCGTGATCGGGCCTGTTTCGTTCAGTAGATCTACGACTTCTTGACCATCTTTGGGATCGATCCTTCCGGCGTCGTGGTCCTGTTCCTGTGGCGGAATTGTTTGACCGTGCTCAGCTTGCCGGGTATCGACAGTAGCCTGTAAAGGGAGCGGCTGTGGCTTGCCGAAGTAGACACGGTCGGAATTGGCGATGCTAGAGGCGTTTAGTGTGTCGTCTTGGACGGAAGTGGCGGTGGCCTACTCACGAGGTTAGCGAACCGCTCGCTCACTTGTACGGCGATTCCCAATGATCAAACTCATGATCGGAAATGTCACAATCAGGGACTTTGCAGGTGACGGAGGAATGGGTAGATGTGTAATGCTGAGGATGAGAGGTGGGACTGACAGTCTCGACCATCTTGTCGCCTTCCACTCGCACTTCTCTGTCTCTCAACTTCCGCATGAGGCCTAAGAATTGGCTGTTCCGGAACTTGTCCGACTGGTTGTGCTCCACCTTCTCTAGTAGCTCTTGCGCAGTCGCTGCGAGCGCATCGTCCTCATACTGCTTCTGCTCTTGCATCTGCTCCTCTTGTAGAAGCTGCTGTGGTTCGTATTCGAAATCTGAGGTGTGCATCCTGGCAGTGGTAGCCTCTGCAGTAAGCTCCTCTAGATCCTGTTCTGATTGCCTCAACATTTCCGTTGCGCTCTGCTCCGCCGCGGCTTCGATATTCTCGATGATCTCTTCGATGTTTTCCGACTCTTTTGTGTGCTCTACGTCTGCCATCATGTCTTCGCTCGCCTGATCAAACGCACGTGCGAATGCCGCATCGTCGAACCTCTCCGTCATCACCGGCTCTTTGCCCTTGGCCTCAGCAGTGAATGCATAGTTGGGCTGCTGGAAGGAGCTCTGGAAGTCATAGTTGCCAAAGCCTCTCGCTCGTTGTTGGAAGGCGAGTGGCGAAGGGGAAGAAGTTTGCAGCTTGGGAGCGGTATGCGCGAGCTGCTCTCGGAAGCCTTGCGCCCAATCCGCCGTGCTGGGGCCGGGCTGAAGGTGGACATGGTGCTGTGGCTGAGGGGATATCTGCAGTCGCTGGAAATCGGCAGCCCAGGAGGGTGCTGCTTGCGAGGGGCCGTGAAGTCCTCCTGTCGGCCGTTGGAAGGGCGGGGCATGATCAAGCGCTAAAGACGGGTCTATTCCAGCTTGAAAGGCCTCGAATTCGGGATCAAGTAAGCCAGCGCCTGGGGTGTGTGAACGGAAGCCCTGGGCAGGACGTTGGCGAGAGGTGAGACGGTCTTGCTGGAGTGTACGGTCGATATCCGTCTGCTGCTTGAACTGCTGCAGCGCGTTCGAGGGCCCGCACATAGCGTCCGCCATTTCGCCGGTGTCCTAGTGTTGTGATGTCTGAGTATGTACAAGTGATTAGGGAGAGTCGGCGAGGTGTAGAATGCAGGTCGGTCATCACATGGTCGGCGAGATGTGAGCGAGAGATAGAAGGTGTTGCAGCCTCGGTCGCTTTCACATGCCGAGGGCGCTTCGACTTCCCGCATCCCGCACATCCCGCCCCGTCGTAGGGCTGAACGGTCTTGGCATTCCAGGGCAAGCTACGTTTCATCACAAGTGTACAGACATTCATAGCTGCACCAGAACAACGCTTGCATCCATTGTGCTCAGCTGCGCCTGTCACAAGAATCGAACAGCATACCATACCAGTCAGCTACAATGGTATGACACAATCACAGGACTGATCGTCTGTACTTTACAAGTGCTGTTACTGATCGCGGTTACTAGGCGCAAGTAATCTCCAACTCCGGCCACGACGACATGATTGTACGTAGAAAGAGCTTGCTACATGGTGGATGGTTAATATGGATGCGAGACTGACCTTGTATGGCACAGCACGATGCGGTCCTCGACTACTACGGCAGACGACTTGCGACCTGCTCCTCCGACAAGACGATCAAGATATTCGAAATCGACGGCGACCAACACCGCCTGACCGAGACTCTCAAAGGCCATGAGGGTGCAGTCTGGTCCGTCGCCTGGGCCCACCCCAAAGTCGGCACCATCCTCGCCTCTTCCTCCTACGACGGCCGCATACTTGTCTGGCGAGAACAGAGCAATCAATGGCAGCGCATATACGAATTTACCCTCCACTCTGCCTCTGTGAACATCATCTCATGGTCGCCTCCTGAGATAGGCTGCCATCTTGCGGCTGCCAGTAGCGACGGAACCGTGAGCGTACTCACCTTCGAGAACAACACCTTCTCCCACGCCCTCTTCCAAGCGCACGGGTTAGGCGTCAATTCAGTCTCGTGGAGCCCTTCCATTTTGCCGGGTCAGTTGACAAGTGCACAAGCCCCGGGTCAGCCGCCTGCGCCTGTGAGACGCTTCGTGACCGGTGGTTCAGACAACTTGGTCAAGATTTGGAGCTACAATCCCAACACCCAATCCTACGACAACATATGCACGCTGCAGGGTCACTCTGACTGGGTGCGGGATGTCGCATGGTCTCCAACACCACTGTCGAAATCATACATAGCCAGTGCATCCCAAGATCACACCGTGCGGATATGGACACTTCCCGCAGGCGCCGAAGTGAGCGACCCAAATGCCTGGAAGAGTGAGGAGCTCAACCTCGATGTTGTCGTCTGGCGTGTCAGCTGGAGTATGGCGGGAAATGTGCTCGCGGTTTCATGCGGCGACAACAGGGTCAGTCTGTGGAAAGAGAAGCTCAAAGGTGGTTGGGAGGTTGTCAAGACCATTGAAGAATAAGCCCACCGAAGTCTGGCCCATCCGCGCGTTGAGAGTGCAATCGTCTAGTCACGCGGGTGCAGTTGTTCCCCGCAACGGCACTCATCAAAAGCTCATTTATGGAAGATGCAGGCGGCAACCATCGCTCGTTGCCGCGCCTGCCGTGCAAATCAACACCAACACCAACACCAACCGAGCATGGTTGTGGATATGCTCCGCGAAAATGAGGGGAACGAGCTGCCCGTGTGCACAGTCGTGTGCACAGCCTCACTAATCATGATGTTCGTGGGAAGCCATGACAAGGCCAGCGGACAGTCTTACTCAAAATTGTGGCGGACGACTACCCACTGAAACAAAGGTCCACGAACCGCAGATAGTGAACATATCCCAGAGCAAACATGACATCCACCACGAGAACGATGCAGAGATTGATGCAAACATCTACCCAAGGGCCCGTATTCACCATTCGAAGTAAGAAATGCCTATGGCTTATTTATTTCCTTGGCTGTCCCGATTGCAACCCATTCAACCCATCGCTCTCCCCTTTCAACAAAACAACTTTTCCGCTGCAAGCGCCTGCGAACCTTCCTTCCCATCCCTGCCTGTCACAGATCGCTTTGACCTTTTCGCACTTGAGTCAAACTCCATCTCCAGGATCATCCCAGCTGCATTGGGCAACAAAGCCTCACCAATAACCCGCATCCTACGATCATCCTACCCTCATTACCTAACCTTGGCGACACGCATCGATTCAGGCGTCGACGATCTAGGTAACGCAGGCGAAGACCCTGAGAAGTCGCCGCGCTTATTGTTGGGTTGTTGTTTGCGAACGGAACGAGAGATGCCTGGCCGAATCATCCCCGCCCACATTCAGAATTACATTTATTCCTGCGAAGCCGCCGACGCTTACACTCCCACTTCCTATCCGCGCCAATATACCAACCCTAACCATTCGAGACACGCTAGTGGAGACCACTATACCTCGGATAGAATCATGGGTCGAGACAGGCGTTCGGCGCCTCTGCCGCCTCCTGGAATTACTTCTTCTTCCCGTTCCGGAAGGCGTTCTTCCTTTGCCTCGCCGTCTGCACCTCCGGACCTCAGCCGTCTTAGGATCGCGGAAGAGCCACCACCTTCTTGGCCACGGCCTGCTCGTCGTGCGACGCCTCCCTCTCCCACTCCACCTTCCACCAGGGAGAGGCGCAAGAATGTCCACTTCGATGCCCCATCAACCACCACCTCCGCCACCCCCAGCGGCCCCGTGCCCCAACGGCCCAAAGCTTTCGCCTGTGATGCGCCCCCCGTAGCCATTTCAGAATCTGCCAAGGATACCGCGCGACGATTGTACCATCGCAAGAACAGTGACGGCGGGCCGGTACGGGAATCGGCAAGGCCAGGCGCCAGTCTGAGGCGATCGGAGTCGACGTGGACGTTGAATTCCACCCGGGCGGAGATGGGGACGACTGTAGGTGGTGGCGGGAGGAAGGAGAGGAGGGGCGCAGGGGAGAGGGAGAGGGAGAGGGAACGGAGGGACCGGCCGTCGAGGAGGCGGTAGTGTGGGCTCTGGCCGCTCAAGGCTTTGATGGAGGTGCTGCTTTTGCTGGGATTCCTGAGAGTTGCATGGCATCTTGAGGAGTTGCGATGACCATGGATCGATGATGGCTTGTTTGCTTGCTGATTGCTGGTTGCTTCGGCGCTTCTTGTTGGGCACTGATACCCATGACCTAAAAGTTTTCCGTTGCTTGGGGGCGGTTCGAAGATGGTACCGAGCATGTGTCGGCTCCTTGGGATGTTGTACAGCGTTTCGTGTATTCTTATAGCTAGTAATACTTAATCTGCAATACTGCCTACAACAGCGATAGTCGCATTTCTTCTTTGCGTTCCCACGTGTGCGGCAAGTATAGGGGGCTCGATTTGACAGATATCTCGGTGGCTACTGAGTTCCCAACTCGGTGGCCCACTTCACGAAACGCTTGTTGCGCCCAGAGTCATAGTCGGTGGCCCCTGCCTGCGTATGATCATCAGAGGCCTGGAGTGTAGATTTGCCACCATCCGCCACGCTGCCTTCTCCGGCAGCCTGTTGAACTCGTTGGCCTCTCTTCAACGCTTTGCGCTGAGACCTGCTGAGCCCTTGGCGCACTTCATCCTGGCCCTTGTTGCTGGCCGACGGCTTGGCATACTGTTCCTCGACCTTTGCTACCAGACTGCCAGGCTGTCGTTGCTCACAGACGGCCATTTTCAACAAGGCCTGCAGCGTGTAGGCGGCATCGTTTCCTGCATTATGTAGAAACCGGGGCTCGATGTCGAGCGCCGCCAATAATTTTTTCAAGGCGATCAAACGCTTCTTGGTTCCCGCGACCCGCTGAGTATCGACCCGGCGCGAGATGGCCGTGACGCCGGCGAGCGAGAAGTCGAGGTGTTTCAGGAACTGGTCATCGTTGCTGAGATCATGGCCGACCAGGATGATGGGACGTCCAAGGGTCGCCTTCTTCTCTCCGGACTTATGCGCTTGAGAGAGCATGGTTGGGTCTGCGAAGACTCGTAGGAGGACTTCTGAGGCTTGGCCTTTGCGAACGGTCTGGGTGCGGCCGAAAGAGAAGGACTCCGGGCAGCCCTTGACGAAGCGCTTGTTCTTCAGGTGGGCGTATTCCTCGATCAAGTAATGGGCCGATTCGATCTTGGACAGCCAGGCGGCGCCATTCTCACCGGGAGAGAGCTGCCCGCGATCATCAGTCAAACGTTCACTCGAGATGACGCGATAAGACGATGAAAACATACGGCTTGGAGGGCTCTGGTGTCTACGACCGAAACACCAACCTCGGTGATCTTGTCTGGGGCGAACTCGAAGGCCTAGAGGCAGATGAGGTCAGCGACCTGGACGTTGCCTCAAGCCTGTCACATGCACGCGTGAGTTGAGCGCAAGTTTCGTACCTCACAGTCGACGCACACAAAGATGGCGTCGGCCAAGCCTGCCGTTTTCTTGCTCCCTTCTTTCAGGCCCAGCAGCTCTTGCACGACGAGCAGCTCGTCTGCACCGTGTTTCGATGCCATAGTGGTGGTGGTTGGTGCCAGTGAAGGGAAGAGAAATGTCGTCAAGCAATGCAAGTTGTGTTTAATGGAGCCGAGGACATGTCGACGATTCGACGTCGAATGGAAAGTACACCTCCAATTTCCTCCTGCTCCGGGTTTGCTCGTTGTGGCGACCACAACACTTCTACGCAAGGCGCGACTTGCGATCGCTGTGACGCCTACACGCCTGTTCAGGCATGGCAACATAGACCGAGACGGCAGAAGCGGGTCACGGCGGTTCGCAAGAGAGCGAGAGCGAGAGCGAGAGAGAATGAGAGCGCGCGCGCGCGAGAGGACGTGTATGTGTTGGTTTAGATGGTGGTCAAGGTGGAACATTGATGGCCGGCCACGAGGCGGATGGAAATTATTGAGAACAAGGCGAGGGCGAGGGTTGGACGTTGCGTAGCTTGAGCCAAGAAAGTCCTGACAGCCACGGCCCTGAGCCTGAATACCGGATATCGAATCTAACGCAGCCTCACAGACAGAGACACTGCCTTATGCCGTGATAATCTTACAACCGACGACGCGCTTCGTCCTCGTCTTTCGAACTCCTCGCTAACCCAATGTCAAACCCAAAGCTCCCAGCAAAAGTCCTACTTTTCGCTCAGCTTGATCGCCCTGAACACGGCGCCGACATAGTCTCGGATGGTCTTGCTGTACGACATGGCATAGAACAGACGATCTCGCACCTCGCCGTCAAATACGCTTTCGACGAGATCAGTCTTGTCGGATTCTTGCTTGTGCCCGCTCTTGATGGCATTTGCCCCCTTGACGATCTCCAAGCGCCGCGGCATGAAGCGCGCTATGTTCCTCAGCACCAGTACTGCTCGCAATGGCACTCCGGTAGCGTCGCCTCGCTCGTCCTCCAACATCGTGAGCCGCATGTGCTCGATCGGCTTGGATGCCGCCGCCTCATCTGGCTTGAGGTTGTGCTTCGATCGTGACGCCTCTGTCTCGGGCAGGTGCGTCTCTATATGCCGCGCGAAGAGTAGTGTCCGAGGTACGCCGCCTGTAGCGAAGTTGGTAGATGTTCGATCGCATTGGGCCCACCGACATCGATATGTGGCCTTGTCTGCAGATTCAAAGTCGAAAGTTTCCCGCGTTGCATGTCCGTTCGCCATGCCGTTCGAGAGCGTAGAAGAAGCGCGAGACGGCCGAGAATCGATGTCCATCTTGTCTCCGTCTGCAACGTCGCCTGACTTCCTCGGGAGCTGCAAATGGTTGTGCAAGATGTGTTGGAGCATATCCTCACCATTCCTGAACCACTCTGCACATTCGACCTCACGAGTTTTTGGCGCCGACGTGAGACCCGTGACGGGGTCTCTACTGCCTTCCACGGGAACGGTCATCTTCCAGTGACACCGACACAGTTCCTTGCCCTTGTCTGTGGCCTTTGAGCCCGCCAACGTGCCCGTATCGATTGGAACCTTCCGAGACTTGATGCCTCTTATGACATACTTGTTCGAGCCGGCGACCTGGGCTGTGGCGCCTTGAAAGGTGCTGCTCACGTTTTTAATGAAGTCGCCGGCAATCAAGTGGGGATGAGTGCCGTGATATGGCGCGAATGTCCCCTGATATGCCTGCCAAAGGGAAATCTGTGTCATCTCCGCGTTGGGGTCCGCCAAGAAGCACATCCGCAGCCACTCTGAAGATCGCTCCGGCTCTTCCATCTTCAACAAGGCCTCAACCAAGCTTTTGGACAGGCGAGGTACGGGCACAAAACCTGCTTCCGGCTCTCGACGCTTGGGAAAGCGAAATTCTTTCTGTTCCTTGGCTGTGGAAGTGACCAGCCGACTGAGGTGATTGGCCAGTGCTTCAACATTGGTGGACCTGATGAGGTTCTCGACATTGTCGCTGAACGAGGTGTAAGTGCCGAGAAAATCTAAGCACGCTGACCGTAACTCCTCGTCATCGATGAGCAGATATTCCTGAGCATGCCGAAGTAGATGCACGGGCACCTCATCAAGCCGTTTCGGCTCCGGATGGGTCATGGCAATCCTGGCGAGTGCGCGGAACGCCGTGGTGACAGCGCCTCTATCCAAGCCACTAGCCTGCTCTATCAAACCCTGATATAACGCATCTTGCGAACCTATGTCCAGAAATTTGAGCATTTGCTCCGCAATTTCGAGCACGTAATGGCGTAGCTCCGTGATACTAGCATGGTGTGGAAGGTGAAGCACAACGGCGATGAGATCCCGCATTAGCGGCAGACGGGCCAGATATGCTGCATTCTCGTCCTGCAAAGACATGTTGCGCACAACCAGACTTGCTCCCGTGATTCTGTCAAGCCGAGTGAGAAAATCTGCGTCCAATACAGTATCGTCAGAGATGATGGGAATGTGCGATCTGAGTCTCTGAACAATATCCGGGGTTCCGTCCAGTCCGTTTAGAGTTTCGTCGTCGCCAGCGAAGTATTCCTCATCGTACATGATGTCCCAATCGATGTCATAGAAAAGACTTGTCACTTGCAAGATCTTCTTGGCGAGCGCGTCCGCGAGTCCAGGAAACTGGTCGAATCGGTACTTGTCGCCTCTTTCGTGGCTGATTTTGACAAGGTGATGTAGTGCATATCGCTCTTCGTCCGGGATGCCGCTTTGTAGGGCAAGCTGTGCGCGCACGTATATGTTTGGACCGATAAACCCGGTCCCGGGCAACATGATGTTCCTGTACTTCCTAGCCAAAGGACCGGAGTTGGCTTCCAACTTCCGTTTGCGCTCATTGTGGTAGAAGTCTGGATTGTTTGCGGGCGTAATGACGGGCTTCAGGGACAGCGGATACGCCTGAGAGGGCTCGTATGATGCCAGTGTGGAGGAGGCGCCGTTGCTGAGGGACGAAGCGTTCACAACGCCATTTATGCCAGAATGGGGCGTGGGCGAGGCATGTGAAGCTGAAGGGTTCTGACCTCTGGTCTGACGTGCCGATGTAAGGTCCGGCTGGAACAGCACTCGCTGCGGAGGTTGCTGTCTCAAACCTCTTGTCGATCGTCCCGTTGCGCTGCCAGGATCCTCTCCACCTTCTGTCTTCTCCTCTTTCGGTGTCTTCTGCTCGACTTCCTCCTCTCCTTCTTCGCCGTTCTGCAGATTCTCTTGCTCTCTGGGCTTGGGACGCTCGTAATTGTCCAACGTACGCGTCATGACGTTCCCACCCTTGGCCGTAACGTCCTCGAGTATCTCCTTTGGCGGCGGCTCTTTCTGCCAGTGATTGCTTATCTCGTATGCGCAAAGGTTCTTGTAGTAGACGTTCTTGATTTGGAACGCCTGCGCTGCTGTGTATTGATTCTTGCCAATGAACTCTTCGGCAAATTTGCGCCACATCAACGGCTTTGCTTTTGTGTCGGACACGAGATCATAACCGCCCTCATCCACTACGCGCCTGTAAAGCTTGAAAAGGTCGATGTGTCGGATGCCGACTTTAGGCTCTGGGTCGAGACTGGTGCTGGAGAGGAAGCGTGTCAGTGCTGTAGCTACATTCCAACAAGCAGGCGCGATTGTCCTCTTACCCGCGCTTTTCGTGATATGCGGCAAGCTCTTTCAAAAACTCATCGCGTTCTTCCGAGCCTTCGATCGACTGGCCTCGTTTGGGCGCCATCTCGAATTGGCCTTGTTGCCAGATGTCGGCGTGCCGGCGAAGGCACGGCCGGGGTTGTGGTGTCACACAGAATGCGCAGACTCAGCAGCAGGGCTATCGCGAGCAATATACAGCGTGCGAAGGCATCCGCGACTTCCGATCCTCCTCGAACGCGTCTGTCTACTGGCATCAAGGTGGGCTGGGACGAGGTGGACTGCGCGACGCTCGCATGCAGAAGATCGCAGCACCTCGCGCCTGCCTCGCAGGGATGTCGATACTAGCTCCGGCTCGGCCCGGCCCCTGGAACTCCATCCCCCTCCCCGGTCTTTCACGTGCCTTCCTCGACTTGCACCAACGTTGACATCCCTTCCCTTTACTTTCATTCTCTCCAGTCATTCATCCACTTCAACGACTGGTCGTGTACTCACACGACGATTTACGCCTTGGGCGGGACAATGTTACATCGGCTCTGAGAGAGTCTTTTGCTATTAGAACTAATACCCAGCACTAACCTACTGTTCACGCAGCGACACCATGCCCATCGACATCACGCTTCCACTGCACAAGTACTCGTACGCTCCGGGAAAACCTGAAGGACCTCTCTCGTGGACACACCTCTATGACGGCGACCTGTTCCTGCTCCTGAGGGGCGACGGGGAGCGTCCTCATCGTGGGGCATTGACCCTTCAGATAGTCCATGCAACCAAAGTCAAGGTCGGCGCCTATCCTATCGGCGTCCATCACATACGCAGTCTCAGCTGATTTCTGTGTCAGGAGCAAATCAATGTCGGGGACCTGGTCGATCAAGCCTTCGACATGCGCCGCCGCCATTATGAAGCGGGCGGCGGCGACATTCAGAATGATCACCTGCCCATTTTCGGGATTACCAAGGACTCCGCATTGGCCATCCGATGGAAACGTATGGGACTTGTAAGTATAATCGTCCACGAGAAAAGCTGTGCTTGAGACTAATGAATTCTCTAGTCCGACAGAATCCAGCTACGCCTGAGCAGTCCCGCGCAATGTCAAGAGGTCAAAGGCGTTCTCTCGCGTCGCGGCATGGAATTCGAAGAGCGATCATCACGGCCCGTCCATCCCGATCTAGCTTCAGACCGCCCAAGCTCAGCATTGCTAGACAATCAGTCGGCGAACAAGCAACAGAGCTCGCCGTTCTTCCCATCCGAACAAACCACGAACAGTAGAAGTCCGTTTCGTCTACAGGATGTGGAAGCCGGAAGTCTGTCACACCCTTACACCTCGCGTCACGACGACGGCAGACCACCAAGTTCCGCCCATGGTAGTCGTGCGCGGCCGCAACCTCCAACTCCGCCACGTTTCAACACCGAAATGGAAGCTAGAACGACCACAGCCACTTTTAGTGGGCACTCTGGCAACGCTCAGATGCCGAGATCATATACCACGCCGTCACAGCCAGTGGCAACTGCGACTTCGGATATTCGAGGGGCCCCGGCTGAAAGTGGTGCTGAGCGGCCATCCTCGAGCTCTCAGACTGTGACCGTAGACCTGATCCGTCAGGCAGTCGAGGCGGACGAGTCATCAGGCACGTGTTCTCCAAGCCGACCAGTCTGGTCCTCTACGGCAGAACACGACCGCTTATCAGGACCTTTCGGACCCTCCTCTAATTCAGGTGAACCTCGCCCAGGGACTGCCGCATCTGCAGCTTCAGCGACCGGCTCACAGATGCCACCGTTTGAATACCAGCGCGATGACAGCCAACGCAGCAGTGGCGGTAACTCATCGCGACCCAGCAGCTCAGCGCTAGCACTTCCAGACCTTGTGAGACCCAGAGCTGTGGAAAACCGACCTTCATCTTCAGCGAGGGCGGAGTCGTCCAATGTCGCAACTGCCTCTCACAATTCTCGGCCCGGGAGTGCCATGCCGCAGCCTCGGTCTCCTGCTGTCATGGAGATTGTCGGTAAGGAAACACAGAACCAAAGCCATCATCGTACGCAGCCAGATCTTCGGCCATCGCTAAATGCCACTGCAGCTGCAATTCGAGACCAAGGCAGACCGCTAGAACAGACAATCCCTATGGATGAGCTGATCTATGGTAACGGCAGTATCCTCGCACAAAGGTCAAACAAGTTCCGTATTCAGCGCAAGCCAAGCTCAATCGATGCACCGCATGAATTCGAGTCTCCACCGCCGACAGCAAGGCCATCAGAATCGGAGAACATGGTCTTGCGAAGCAATTACTCGTCAGAGGATGTCAATACTTATCGCGCGTATACTGCCTCTAGCTCGCCTGACCGCGGCAAGGGTAATGAGGCGCTTCTCGAGAAATGGCATTCACAGCCTCAACATGAAAGACAAGCTGCGCTGGAGCAATTCATGGTGGACAACCTGGAGAACCCGCTTTTCACTACGCTCTGCGAAGAGATCGAGGGATGTTGGTCCAGGCTCTCCAAGGGCCTTTGAATCACCTTCCGCATGTTCGCCATCATCATCTGCTGCTTCTGGGGGCTTCGATTGCACAGCGATATGAAGGGATGAGGTCTTTGGTCATGATTTGCTCAATCTCCTCGAAGTACAGCTTTTAGCCTCTCCATTTGATCAACATAGCAGATTCAGCTTCGCTCTGCAATCCTGAGGTCCGCTTCAACCTTCGCTCACATCTGAGGTGCTCGGGCTCAAAAGCTCCACAGGTGCCGCATCGATCATGGTACTCTTCAATGACTCTGCTTCTCGATGTGTCAGGCCGATGGCACCCCCTGGATGGTTGCGCTTGAAAACGTCACCCGTCTTGCCAGCATGAATTTCGTCCGCAGTGGTCAAAGCGAGCATGTCTGCAACAGCCAGTGCAACTGTCGTCGATGTGGTGGGTGCCCCGACGCCAAACGAATTCTCTTCCCTTTCGTGAATTGGCGTAGGAAGAAGGATTGCGCCTTTTCGGCCCCTTAGTAGCTGGCACTCTCTCTCGTCGCGATGGGAGGACATGGCGATCGTCCTTGTCGCATCCGGAATATGGGGCAGTACGTTTAACAATTCAGGAGTTCGGCCGCTGAAGGAAACAAAGAGCAATACGTCCCAAGGTTTAACGTCGCCGAGGTCGCCGTGGGCTGCTTCAGTAGCATGCATGAACGATGCGCTGATTCCAAGCGATTTGCAGGTGGCCTGGAGCTTCATCCCGATGTAGGCAGACTTTCCTACTCCGCAGATTATCAATTTGCCTCGTTGCTCCTGTGCTGTGAGGATTGCGTCTACCGCGGAGGACAAAGCGGTTCTTGCTGTCGGGTCGGTTTCGTAGAGTGCTGCAATTGAGGCCAGGGCTTCGGCTTCTACTTTGAGCACGTTGATCGCTCTTGTCAATCGAGTACAACTGTCATCCTTGCTGTGTTGCTGATCGATGGCATACTCGTCTCCGGAAGGTGGTGAGATGTAGCCCGACGTTCGCCGCCTTTTCGCTGGCCGTACAGACTGCATCGCCAGGGCTGGAGGTGGAGACAAAAGGATCAGGCAGTAGGTAGGCCAAACAGGACGCAACGCCAGATGCTTGTCGAGATGAGGAGCAAGAAGATGACGACTTCGACGAACAACGAAAAAGGACCAGACGTGTGAGCATCCGAGAAAGACATACAAACAAAGCCCTTTCCCCAGGCTCGTAAACGTATCACGTATCGGGAATTCACGCTACGCGTTCCCGGCCGAAGCCACGAATCCGGGCTAGGGGCACATGGAAACTCCGCTAGACATCCACGGTTGCGATTTGTAAGTCAGGCACTAGGTACGGTGCCACCGCCCATGCCCACACAACCGATCTTCACATCGAAACGTGCTCGTCATCGATTATGCGATACGGTAACTGGGACAAGCAGGTTTCCTCTGTGCTCGCCATCGGGGACCGGTCGAAGGAGCAGCGACCAGGGAATGGAGTCAAAGCTAAAAAGCACGTTATTGCGAAGATGGGGATCTTGGCGGCGATAGGGCTCCGAGGCGACCGGCCAATTGGATGCCGGACATGTCGAGAGGTAATGCGCGATGTCAAGCCTGCTGACACGGCTGATGAGAGGGCGTGTTTTGAAGGCTTGCATGGGCTGCAGCAGTAGGATCTCGTACGATGGTGGTCGAATAATGGCAACAATGGGTGAAGTGTAGGTTGCGAATAGAGTTGCCGCCGCTAATTCGGAGCAGATGCGAGGTCAGCTTCAGCTTTCCACGGTCTGCTACTGCTGCTGCTGCTGCTGATGACGATGACGCTTATAAGTAATAGCAGTTTTACATGCTGAACAGCAGTAAGGTGGTGCCTGTATGACAGCCACGGAGGCGCGGCAGTAGTTGGTAGATCGGCAGCAAAGAGTACGAAGCGCATCGTCTCTCAGCAGCTCGTCCTGGGTCGATTTAATACATATAGTACACGCTACTCAACATCTACAATGGCTTGACGCCCTTGTGTATCGCTGCAATACCCATGCTAAGATTCTCCCAGCCGCTTTCAATGCATGATCCATCCGGCTTCTGACCCGGAATCAGGAATCCAGCGTCTTGGATCATTCGCGCAAACTCCGGCTGAGACGGGAATCGCTCGATGCTCTCCACAAGATACTGGTAGCTATCCCTGTCCGCGGCCACAATCTGCCCGATGAGGGGTATTGCGCTGAATGACCACCTCTTGTACAGACCGTTCAGCAGCGGATTGGAGAGGTGCGGGGCGAATTCCAGGCAAGCAAAGACTCCTCCTGGCTTCAGTACGCGAAAGGCTTCCTTCAGCGCCTTCTCCTTGTGGGTAAAATTGCGAATGCCAAATGCAACAGTGTAGAGATCTATGCTGTTACTCCCAATAGAATTCAACTCCTCAGCGTTCGCTTCCAAATAGTCAACTCTTCCCTCGGCCTGATATGGTGTTTGTGACAGCCTCTTGCGACCCTCGCCAAGCATGTCCGGATTGATATCGGATATGGTTACGTGCGTCTTGTTGTCCTTGTTGATGTTCGTCGCATGATCGAGCATTCGGATTGCAATGTCTCCACTGCCACCGGCGATGTCCAGTATCCTTTGCCCTTTATGCTCATCGTGTAGCGAAGCGTAGCGTATGCCGGGATTGAGAGATCGGACAAAATGGTCTTTCCATACGCGGTGGATGCCCAGGGACATCATATCGTTCATCGTGTCATAGCTGCCGGCGACGGAGGAGAAGACCTGGCCCACTGCAAGACGATGAGCATGTGCTGCGGATCTCTACCGGGTGTTCGCCGTACCTCTCGATGCTTTCACCGATTCCGCCACCGTCTCGAAGCCGAAGTGTGTTGTTTTCTCATTTTGCCCGGATGGCTGCTGAGCTTTGGGAATGGTAGTGGCGAAAGTGCGGCGGCACTCTGAACAGATCGAAGGACTATTAGGTACGAGGCGTAGTCGCTTGGCGGCACGCGGTATCTGCACAGACATGGCAGTGGTTTTGTGTTGGTTGCGAATCTTGCCTGGCAGCATGCATCTGGAGCTCCCAGAAATCGATGAGGCTCTGCCGCTAGCGCGCAGATCTCGGTGGCACGTCCCGGGCCCGACTCCAATGCGGAGAAGCCAAAGCCGAAAGGCCGCTGGTAACCGTAGCGGGATGTTTCTCACTTGCCATTCTACAACACCCGTTCTTGTCTTGTGACCATGTAACAGTTGTCTTGCCCTATAGAAGAGTCAAAATGGCTACAAAGCGATCACTGACACTTGTAGGACGGCATTCCATCTCGTTCGGAGCCAGCTGGAATTCCCGCCGACGGGTCTTATGCTCCAGCTGTCAGCGAAGATGGAACTCGATATCACAGAAACCGGGTTCAGATCGGTAGAGGTACTCCCAGATAGACCGCCGATTCTAAGTCTGATCAGAATCATAGAGTGCAATTTCCAGGCGCCGTTAATTCCCGCTTCACCACCGCCTTAAGGTTCCAGCGCGCAACGGAAGACGATGCTATGGCTACATACCGTATCCTGGACCAAGAAGGCCAGATCATTGATAAGGAACGATCTCCCCCTGATATCACAGACGAAGAGGCCTTGAAACTGTATAGAGATATGGTCAGCGTGTCGATCATGGACCTGATCATGTTCGATGCGCAACGCCAGGGAAAGATTAGCTTCTACATGGTCTCGGCCGGTGAAGAGGGAATCGCAGTGGGGAGTGCCAGCTCCTTGAACGCGAGAGATCCTGTATTCGCACAGTATCGAGAGCATGGCGTGTTTCAATACCGCGGCTTCACGCTGGACAACTTCATGTCGCAACTCTTCGCGACAAAGGACGACCCTGGACAGGGTATCAATATGCCGGTACACTATGGGAGCAAGGAATTTCACATCCATACAATCAGTAGTCCTCTAGCGACGCAGATCCCGCATGCCTCTGGAGCGGCATATGCGGTCAAGATGCAAGATATGCAGAATCCAACCGAAGAGCCGAGGGTAGTCGCATGCTATTTCGGCGAAGGCGCTGCGTCCGAGGGAGACTTCCATGCTGCGCTGAATATTGCCGCGACTCGAGCATGTCCCGTGCTCTTCATCTGCCGCAATAATGGCTACGCGATCAGCACGCCCACTCTGGAACAGTACCGCGGCGATGGCATCGCATCTCGCGGAGTGGGATACGGAATCGACACGATCCGCGTCGACGGAAACGACATCTTGGCCGTGCGAGAAGTGACAAAGTACGCCCGAGATCTGGCATTAAGTGATGGTGGTAAACCAGTCTTGATCGAGGCCATGAGCTATCGCATCTCCCACCACAGCACATCTGACGATTCCTTCGCGTATCGCGCCAAGGTGGAGGTCGAAGACTGGAAACGGAGGGACAATCCCATCACCCGACTCCGAAAATGGCTCGAAGGGAAAGGCATCTGGAGTGAAGACAAGGAGAAGGAGCTTCGAGCCGACACTCGCAAGAATATCCTCGACGCATACCGGAAAGCCGAGAAAGAGAAACGCCCGCCGATAAGTACCTTGATGAAGAATGTGTACGCGGAACCAACCGAGGAGCAGATTGAGCAAATGGGCAAGCTCAAGAAGATGATTGAGAAATACCCGAATGAATACGACGTGTCAGGTTTTGAGGACGGTGTGCATGGGTTGACGCTAGACAAGAAGTAGTCTGTTCAAAGGTCGTCCAGCCCAATCCCGCTCACTGTTCCCAAGAAATCTCCAGTCTTACCACCGGCATCCTGTTGACGCAGCAGTTCATCGATATCGACACGGCCGGCTGTCAAGTAGCGTTCGCTGACGCCCACATTCACCCTTTGACCGAGCAGCTGTTTCAATTCCGCCTTCATCGCTCCAACTTCCGCCTTACTCAATCCGCGAACTTCTCGCTCCTTCTTTTTCCTTCCCGCTCCACGGCCTCTCTTGCCAGGCGCTTTGTCGAATTCTTCACTGTCGTAATCCACCCCCAGCTCTTCGGCAGCAGCGCGCATGAAATCGTCTTCTTTGTGTTGCTTCTCCTTTGCAATGGACGCATCCGCGAGGTTTTTGGCCAGATTAGCCCTCTCTTTCAGCCGCGATACCACCCTGCGGTCGATGTCTAGAGTGCGAATGTAGTATCCCTGCTTGGCGGCATCGGAAGCGTTCTGATCTTTCGCTACGGCGGACTGAGCGTGGACTTTGGCTACGAGTCTTCGCACACCCGCGACTTCTTCCGGCCCACAGATCAGGATGGAAGCGCCTTGTTGGCCTGCGCGCGCTGTGCGCCCTGAGCGATGGACGTAGGTATCGGCTGCTCGTGGAAGATGATAATGCACCACCAGATCCACGTTCGGAATATCCAGCCCTCTCGCGGCCACGTCTGTGGCGACGAGAACCACTGGTGATGGTTTCTCGGAGCTTTTGCCCTGGCTGAATCGCTCGACAGAGCGTAAGCGTGCTTTCTGCGGCATTCCCGAGTGAAGCGCCAAGGCATTGAGATTTAGATTCTGGAGCAAAGGCGTGATACGACGGACTGCGCTGATGGAATTTGTGAAGACCATGGCTCGGTTGGCCTGGTTGAGGAGCAACAGAGCGTACAAGTATAGATCTTTCTCTGTCCCTCCACATTCGATAAGTCCTTCCTTCAGACCCGTAGCGAGTTGATTGACTGGATTGACGTCGATGAATTTAGGCGCCTCTTCACGGAAGTTGAGCTTTGACAGAAGATATTCCATTGTTTCTTTCTTCCCAAGTAGATTGTCCTTGCGATTAAGCTTGCCAACGAGCTTTTTCTGGAGACCTCGATCAAACGTGGCGGAGAAGACGAGAGTTTGACGCTCTGCGGAATGGTTTGTCGTTTCCATGGCATCGGCACTGTCTTCAATCTCCTCGTCGTTCTCAACGACGCGGTCCAGAGTATTCAGGATCTCCTCCACTTCCTTGAAATGACCCTCACTCAACAATCGATCGGCTTCATCGACGACTAGGAATTGAATTTTCTTGAGGGAAGAGCCAACGCCCTGTCCAGAGCCAATGATCTCCCACAGACGGCCGGGCGTGCCAATCACAACGTCCGCGTCCTTGAGTAACCTCTGCTGTTTCTGCAGTGAAAGACCACCAGTCAATGTGGCAATCGAAGGTGCTCTCGCAAATATGCCAGTGAAGAGCGCCGTCAGATGCTTGTCCAGCTGATGTGCCAGTTCTCGCGTGGGTGAGAGGATGAGTGCCAGAGGGGTAGATTTTGCTCCTTCCGAGTCGTTCATTCGGCCTCTCGTCTCCAGGTATCGCTCAAGAATTGGGAGGCCAAATGCAAGCGTCTTACCAGATCCTGTCGAAGCCTTACCAACCACATCGTGGCCGTTCACTGCTTCGGGAATGACTGCTGCCTGGATAGGAGTAGGTTTTGTGAATTTTAGCTTTCCTAGAGATGCCATGGTGTCTGGAGACAGCTTGAGGCTTTTCCATGCTGATAGTTCCACATCCTCAGCATCAGCGTCTTCGGTAAGAGCCTCGAAGTGGCTATTCGGGGCGGAGGCCTCTTTGGATCCATTTGCTTGCTTGGTGCGCTTTGGTTTCGCCTCCGACTTGGGCTTTTCCTTTGCTTTCGACCCCTGGGCAACGGCCACGTCTTCGTTTTCAGCATCCTCGTCTCCCAATCCAGACCATGATGATGCGCCTTCGCTGTCGTTGGTCTCATCCCCAGACACTGCAGCACCGCCAGCGGATTCCCCTGGCACTTTAGAGTGATAGGATATTGTTCCAGCAGACTCGTCGCGCACAACATCGACGTCATCTATCTCCTCGAGGCCGAAGAATCCCTCGTAGTCCTCCATTTTGTCGGGCAGAGACACCTCCTTCCACTGGAGCGCATTGAGGTTCACCTTGCGCTTGGGAGCCGACGTCGATGTTGGAATTTTCTTTCCATTATCTGCTGCGCTTTGGTCCAGCTTCTGACGCTTTCGGGCCTTCATGAGGGCCACTTTTGGAGGTAACGATCGCTTCTTGTCCGCCATGATTGTGGTAGTTGATGAGGGTCAAAGAAATTCTCTCGAGAGAAGTCCAAGCTTGGGTGTTGGAAGTGTGGCGGTGGCTGGTTCATCAGCCACCTCGGTCGCTCCCAGGATCTCGAGCTTAAACTAGACCTCAGCGCACCTTCCTCCACTTCCTCTTCTCATAGGATCCACCGTTGCGTCGCTCTTTCCGCCTGTTTCCGCGACGATCATCTCAAACAGAAGGAGCTCGACTGGACCGCGTGACGGGAGCGGAACGGTAATTACGGGAGTCATGTGTTGCGGTCACGTGCGACAGTCATCAGAGCGTATTGTGCATGTCATCCCGGGGGGAACATGAAGTACATGTACCTGTGCTACCTTAGATGATATCGCGAGATATGACCGGATAAGGAATCAACTGCAAGACCACCTGCAAGATCATCCAAAGAACACCCAATGCCTCTCTCCGCCTCCTCCGCCATCCCCGCAACACATCATGGCAGCACCTCTCAAGACTCCGACCCTCGTGTCGACGAGGCAGCTCATGAGCTCTTGGAGCTGTTCACACGATTCGTGCAGCAGGCCCTCGGTGGATGCGGTGATTCCAGGTGCACCGAGGTGGCCTGTCATACCGGCCGTGTCAACACCAGCGAGCGTCCCGTCCGACGGTACACGGCCAGATCCGCTCGTGCAGTCGCCCTGACCATCTGCTCTCTCCCGGATCCTCGCTGTCGTCTCTGTCCCTACTTTGAGCCAGCCCCTGATGACGTCGGCCACCAGCCAGAGGACAAGGCAGTGGGCGCGGCCGCGGCACACGACCCGTCCAACTTGATGCAGCTCTTCTGCGACACAAACCTCATTGCTCGGCTTCCGCAACATGCCGCCACCCTCGCCTCGGACCATGAACTTGGACGCATTCACGACAAAGTCTCCAGAATGCTGAAGCTGGCTGCACGCCTACCTTCCTTGGACGGTGAGGGCTTCCTCTCCAACAGTCAACTCGCTGATGGGCTTTTCGAATGCCTCGAATGGCTGCTCAGCAGAACACCCTTGCAGAGGATGGCCCCATGGAAAATGGTCAACCGTGAGTTCATCAGCAAAGGCTACGCGTATCCCCCACAGCACGGCAATCTACCCGTCGATGAGACTTACAACACGTGGCTTACCATTCTCGATTTGCTGGAGCACGGACCCTATCTATACCTTTGGAAGCGCATGCTACACGTCATCATCCGTCGGCGAGCACTCCAGCAGGCTCTGGGTGCCGTCGCAACGAGAGTAGGCAGCAAGACTACGTTCAAGAGGCTAGACGAATCAGTCCCCCATCTGCTCGCGGCCAAGGTATGCAGAAATTATGCCTCGGATCCGACACGAGTCCTCGCCCTCATAGTCTGGCTTAAAAAGGTCTTTACCAAAACATGGGACTCCCAACCGATGGTCCTTGAGCACGATCCCATCTACGCAGCGGTGGAAATCCTGGCGCAGATTCAGGATCAAGGCATACCCGGGCTACCTCCAGACACTTTCTACATGCCCTTTATTGTTTCGCGAATTGGCATCGGTGAGCTCGCAAGCTCATTCTCTTCGGAAGGCAGGAAGAGAGCACTTCACATTGCACAGTACAATGCCTTCATCGCATTTTCAGATCTATCCCTCATGTTTCGATCTGTGAATCATCTCACGATGAGGTAATACCAGCGAGCAAATCTCCATGCTTCGGCGAATTTCTGGCTGACAGGAATGCACAGAGAAGCACACGCAGCTGTTGAGAAAGCGCATGCATTGCGAAGACGTACTGACCTACAGGTACAGGAAGACCTTCTCCCTGAACAGATCCAGCATGCTGAGCAATATTATCTTCTGCTAAACGTCAGCCGTGCCAATGTTCTCAGGGATGCCTTTGATCACTTGTGGCACCGTCGGAAGGGCGAACTCCGCCGTCCACTTCGAGTTCGGCTTGGAGAGGCGGACGAGCTCGAGATCGGGCATGATTTAGGAGGTGTACAGATCGAATTCTTCAATCTGGTCTGCAAAGACGCCTTTGCAGAGGAAGCCCGTATGTGGTCGCGCCCTCGATTGCGTCTTCGGAGCTAACGCAAGAATCAGAGATGTTCACAACCGATTCCACGACAGGCTTGAGCTATTTCGCACCCGGCTCTTTGCAGCCACTCTACATGTTTGAGCTGCTGGGCATGCTTATGGCTCTTGCCGTGTACAATGGAATCACCTTGCCCGTTACCCTCCCCTGGGTCTTCTATGCCCTGCTTGACGGGGCCATTCTTCCGCCAGAGTATCCACAGCTAGGAGTGTCTGGGATTCAAGACGGATGGCCGGTGGTTGCGAATTCACTACAAAGCATTCTTGAGCAAGATCTCGAAGGCCTCGATTTCACTTTTCCGCTCGAAGCGAATGGTGTGCGCCTGACCGTCCTACTTCCCTGTGCCGGAATTAGAAAGACGGGTGAGCGAAGGGAGTTGAAAGTGGTCAGCTGCGTAGGCGTCGCCGGAGCACCGGTCAACTTGGATGATATCTCGGAATCATGGCCTGGCTGGAAACTCGTCAAGGCAACCAGCGAAGACGTGATCTCAGATGTAACGCCAGAGAACAAGCACGCGTATGTCCAGGATTACTCCAAATTCCTCTGCTACGGGTCCGTTGCGCCTCAATGCGATGCCTTCTTCCGGGGCTTCTACGATTCCAGCGTGCTGGACGCCCGGGCCATTGATCTCTTCACTCCCGAACAGCTCAAACTCCACATTGAGGGATCCAACCACATCGACATCAACGACCTGCGAAGCTGCGCCAAGTACGAAGGGTACGAGCCGCATTCCCGCTACGTGTCGATGTTCTGGCGCATCGTGGCCTCGTGGCCCGAAGCGAAACACCGACAACTGCTCAAATTCGTCACGGCCGCGGAGCGCACGCCGATCACCGGCGCGAAGAACCTGACGTTTGTGATCAAGCGGAATTGGCCCGGCAACCCGGACGCCCTGCCTACGAGTTCGACGTGTTTCGGGACCCTGTATCTGCCCAAGTATCCGAGTGCGGAGGTGCTGGCTGCCAAGTTGAACCTGGCGTTGAAGTATGGCACGGAAGGGTTTGGCACGGGATAGAGAGATAGATAGATTTGGATGTTGTTGTTGGTGTTAATGTTGGCCGACTGACTGACGAACTGAGTCGCCGTCGTGCACTGCGGGACGTTATTGTTTGATGAATCCGTTTGCGGAGCTGATGGAATATCACGAGCAAAAGGCCCAGATGGCAGTGCCAAAAGAATCTTGAAGGCGTTGTATTATTGGAAGGGATGCATGCGTTGTCATGGGTGGGGAATCTCATATCATAAGAAACCCCTTTAGGCGAGCCTATTGATTCAGGTTGGTAGACAGTTAGATTGGTAGACAGAATTGCAAGAAGGAGATTCTCGATTGGAGTGTGGTGTCTGTAGATCTGGCCACAAGCCAAGAGGTAATCAATGTCAGGCTGCATGAGTGAGGACACATTTGTAGTAGTAGTGAAGCAACCACCAACATAGGACATAGGAGAGACCACTCCCAAATCAAGGTAACTCATGGCCTAGTAAGATTATGATTATTGCTATTGTTATTATTATGATTATGATTGACCGCATCTCATCATCATGATTATCATCATCAATGACAGATCCGTCGTGACCTCGTTCATCTGTGATCAGAGAGAGTTCACCAACGTCCCATAGTCTCAGCTTTCGATGACCTTTATATATATAAGTTTTGGCCTCGGCAATTTTTTTTTCTGGGGGGGGGTTTTCGACCGACCGCTGGGGATAGGCTTCCACACCGCCTCCTCCGCTCTAGCAATTGCCATTTCCAACGACGCGGCGTGTGGAGGGGGAAAAACTTAAAGATATCAAGCCGATAAAGGTTCTTTGTTTCTTCTCTTTCTTGCTTGTTTGGGATTTGAAAAGCAGACCGGACGGGAGAGCACAGTTCTTGACCTTAAGGTGATCGCATGTGTTTTGACATGTGATGAGAGACGGAATGCCTCACCAATCGAAGCCCTTCAGGAACCAGTCGGGTTGTTGTGCCTCATCCCTGGCTGCCTTACCTTGACCAGCAGCGTCCTCTGGCGACTGCTGCTCACCTACCGTCGGAGCGTCTTTGAGGGTGGTAAACCTCTCTCGCGCGTCACCTGGGCACCAATCTCTCTCACAGTGAGTGCGGTGCTTGTAACCAGGCGGAGGCTGTACCATCGTCGGCGGGTCCGTCAATGCATGTAAGAACCCGCATCGGTGGCCATTTCGAGGATCCTTGGACCGCGCACATGAGCCGTGATACCAGAAGAAGCATGTAGTGTCCGAGTCGGGGTTGCCCGAGCCTTCGCCTTCACCTTCGCCTTTACCTTCACCAGGTGTTGAGGGCTCGCTCGAGCTCTCTCTTGCTTGATGACCGGCTAGCGAAGAGGTGTACTGGTGCTCGCTGGTAGCATCACGACCAATCGGGCACCATTGTTTGCCACAAGCAATGCCACCGTGGTGGTCTCTGGGTGGATACTGCACCATAGTAGGGCGATCAGTCAGGGAATGCCTATAATCACAAGGTGGGCCAAGGCCACGAGCAGCATCACTCTCTTTCGGGCACCATCCATGATACCAGAAGAAGCAGGTTCGATCCTTCACAATATTCGCTCCATTTGAGATATCATCATCGTAGTCCAGGTCCGTGCGTCTTCGCTTGACGGGCTGATCCGGATGGCGATAGGCGCACTTCCTCTTCTTGTCGCCTTTGCGGTCGGTGTTAGAGAGTTCCAGCTGGTAGGTGATATTGGTGTTAATCGGCCCAGTGGTAGAGTTTCTTCGTCCTTCTTCCACCAATACTGGCTCCTGCGCTGTCTTAATCTTGTTTTTATGATTTCTCTTCTTTGACTTCTTCGTCGCTCCAGCTGATATAGACTGCTGCGCTGACGAATCATTGCCTGCACTCTGGCTGGCTCGTACAGCATCATCGTATGTGCTTGAATCAGAAGACCTGCTTTGAGCCTGTCGAGCCTTCGCCGAGTCTTCTTTGAGTGGACATAGCTCAAGCCCGCACGGCACCTCGTGCGCCGGCTTCTGCGGAGTGATCTTCATGTGAGATCCTTCCATCTGGTGGAGAAATTTGCATGTGTTCCCAGACGTGCTGCCATCCTTGGTACATGCGCCATGATACCAGTAGGCGCAGATGAGCCGTGACTTTGGGAGACCGTCTTTGAATGGACACAGCTCCAGTCCGCATGAGCATGGATGAGTTGACGGCTTCTGCCAAGTGAGTCTGCTGCTTGAACCTTCAATTTGATGGAGAAAGCGGCAGGTATTCTCAGGTGAGCTGCCGTCGTTAGTGCACGCGCCGTGATACCACTTGGCACATATCTTTCGCAATGGCGTCACCAGTTCCGTGCTGTTCGTATTTGAGCTGCCCTGATGTTGCCTTTTCGGATCTTGATTTGTCTGCGTCTGGAGTGTTGTGGTTCCGGCGGTGGCCGCTTGCTGAGCACCGAGCTCTGATATGAGGCGGAGCCCGGGCAGAGTTGGGCGCTTGTCAGAGAGTATGTGAGATCGAGTTAATCGACTCAGGGCGTCCATTTATGGAAATGAAGCACGACGTCAGGGGTAGAAATCCGATGATGGTTCGATAGAAATACTGGTAATGCCAGGCCTATCTAGCGAGGCGTCAGTGTTTCTGTTCGCCAACAGAAAGCGCGATCAAAGTAGAGATGAAATGACTGCTGCACGTGATCATGTGCACGCGATCATGTGCACGCTCAGTCTATCCGGTGTGTTCCCTTGTGGGACGAACGCATGTGAATTCGGCGAAATGGAGCCAAGTATGATGGATCATGGAAGCTGGCCAAGGGCATGTTGGCCTCTCAGTGCGAGTGGAGTGGTAGGGAGTGATATTGGTGGTAAGGTTTAGGGTTGAGTGCGCGGGCTGTGCCGTTCTGTACGAGCAGGGGGAAAGAGCGGATGGTATATGTGTGGGAAGACTGTGCATGTGAGACAATTGGTGTAGGAGCAGCGTCTGTTCTTCCGATTCCGATTCCGATGGGCGGCCGTTGGGACGTAAGAGAGCAGTGGGCAGTCCTTGCAATGATGAGGACCGTATAGTAATAATAATAATAATAATAGTATAGGTCGATTGCTTTGACGATGCACAATAATGATCGCTGATGATGGTGGGTGGAATAAGGTTTCGCTATGCTTCCGCATCGGTCGCGCAGCACGAGGCATGATTCGTGTGAAGTGGGAGATATCATGCAGGTCAGCAAATGGCGGCGCGTTATGCATATCCATCGTATCTGGCAGGAGTTCAGATACGCGAGGCTTACCTTCCCGTCGGGTGGGCGCGGTGCATGTACTGGAAGGAAGGTGCCCTCTGCCCGCCTGCCCGCCTGCCTGCCGGCCGAAGATCGTACTGGACCCGCATCGTGCAGGAACGACAGCACAGGTCGGGTCGACACGGCTTCTCACGAGAATAGTGATGATGAAGGAGGTCAAATCAGTCGCACCATGTGATGATGAAGCAGTTGTGCAGTACATGTACCTCTGCGAACCCGATGCCGATGCCGATGCCGATGCCGATGACACGGCGATGGTGCCGCGCGAAGGTGCATGAGAAGGAAGGAGAGAGGTGGAGGGGCCGAAATGATTGCGAGGATGACCAGGGATGAAGCCTGCGAGGCGAGGCGAGGCGAGGCGAGGAGGCGACTGACCTCCCGAGGCGCCTTTCCCCCCCGGGCCTGCATGACTCGAGACCGTTGAGGAGGGATGTGATGAGAGGGAGAGAGAGCTGAGAGAGGCAGGGCAGACAGAGACGGGAGGGAGCTGTGGTGGGTCGGGAGATGTGGTCTCTACCGAAACCTTGTGCCTGGGCGTTGAGCGGGGAGACTAAGGAAGATAAGTAAGTTAGTGCTGCGGAGAGGAGAGTTTCTTGACATGGGCCTATCTGGCAGGGGCACCGCATATACCGTCCATAGTCTCGCACACATGTGCAGCGCAGGCTGTCCTTTGTTGTATTGCCCTGGTCTCCTGGACATGATGGCGACGGCAGGCGAGTACTAGCAGTCGAGCTAGGCGGTGCCCTACGCACGAGCTGTCAATAAGAAGCGCGACTGCTCCCGCATCTCATTCTCGTCGGTTTCGAATCTAATGCGCGCCCCATCACACCCGCCGATTCACTGACACCCACCCTACCACCACCACCGCTCACTCTCCACTCCACTACTCGCATCGCGTACTCCGCTCCCCTTCTGCGTGTCCGCGTCCGTGTCCGTGTCCGTGTCAGTGTGTCCGTGTGTCCGTGTGTCAGTGTGTCAGTGTCACTGTCATGCTTAAGACCACCTACACCCTCGACCCACCCCCTCACCACCCTCTCACCACCCACGCCCACGCCCACCACGCCCACCACGCCTGAGACTGAACAACCACCGAGTGGCACTCGCACCACCCACTGCCCACTGCCCTCTGCCCTCTGCCCTCTGCCCTCTGCCTCGACATGCCGTCTGCTTAACGACCTCCTTCCTACCTCGCCTGCTTGTCGGAGAGAGCGAGGCAGCTGTGGCAGCATCGACCTACCTACCTTCCACGCCGGCATGGAGCGCGGAGTCCCCTCCTCGCCGACGCGGATGCCGATGCCGACGTCCAGTACCGGGAGCTCCTCCGTCCGCAAGTCCTCCGCCTACCGACTCTTCCCCATCCTCGAGCCCACGCCGCCTCCCACTCCCGTCACGCTGCAGAAGCCCACCCTCACCAAGCCGGCCGCACCTGCTCTCACTCGCATCCCCTCGGACCTGCCACTTGTCCCGGTCGCGGTCGAAGAGAGATCATTGCCCCCGCTGCTGCAATCGCGCTCGAGAACTCGACCCAACCTCACCATCAGAGTCGACAGAGATGGCCGACAAGACCATGACGACCATCACAACGACCTCCAGCTGCCTCCTCCACCGCCTCCCATCGCCCCGCCACCGCCACCGCCACCGCCACCACCTCCACCTCCACCTCCACCCCGCTCCCCCTCTCGAGATCTCGACCATGTAGCACAATCGCCTCCTGCTCTACCCAAGAGGGACTCTCACTCTCCTCTCAAGTCCAGACTCGCCTCCGACTTGTCTCGCACGCCAAACGACCAAAGTGTCGCATTTCACCAGTCCCATGTGCCTCTCAGTGCAGGTCTCAAAGTGATGCCCCCCCGGCCCCCGCCCAAGGACCTCTTGGAAGAGCCGCTCCCGCCTGAACCTCAAACGTCCTTGGATCTCCCTGCGTCCCAGACCAGCGCATCGAACTCGACGCCTTTCTCCAGCGATGTTAGGAGAAATCCAGGCACGACTTCGTCCACTGGTAGCGTCTCTCCACACAGCCAGCGGATGGCGCTGGTCAGTTCAAGATCAACCGAACAATTAAGCCAGCCGCCGCGCACTTCACTCAGAAGCATGCTATTTTCCGGATCCAGAGGGAGGACTACGCCGGAGCCTCAAGTGGTGGGAGATCGCCTGGCCAGCCCAGAGACAGTACGGCCGACCCCTAAAGCAGACTGGGAAGACCTTCACGATCCCACATCACACTATCCCCGTCGGGTCATCACACCAGAACCGTCTCTTGGTCATGCTGATCAGGGTCGACTTTCAGCGCCTCCGGACGTTGCTCGGCCTGCCTCTGCGCACTCCAGCTACGCCGACCCCGCAAGATCTGGCAATCGGCAGTCTCGTATCACTCTGGGATCCGCGGCAGCGAGCATGGGGCTTCCACCCAGCGCTGCACTCGCTGCTGCCCGAGCCAACGTTGCGGCGCTACGGAACTCAGCCTCGTCCATCGGCAGTTCCGCCGGAACAGAGCGAAGCAGCAGATTATCCGGTCCCGATCTACCGGGCCTCAGACGTGTGCGGTCCGATTTCCTGCTTCGACGGTCATCTAGTCCCGGTCAGCAAGACGCGATCGACGCTCTGAAGGAGCTTAGCGAAGAATACGAGTCCCTGCACGCTCGCTATGCCATGCTGCGAGCCGAACGACAAAAGCTCAGCGGTAGCATTATAGCCACCCTCAGAGATGAAGCGCCCAGTGCAGAACAAGCCAACATGCTGCTTGATGGTCAACTATCTCTCGCGGCCGTGACCTCTTCCATGGACATCTGTTTTGCCAAGCTGAAGTCTCTGGATTGTAGAAGGGAAGATGCGATCGCGCAACTGATTGCGAAGACCACGCAGAGCCAGAGATCGCCACCTGACAACATAGCGGCTATGATTGCTTCAATGGCAGTCCCGCGCAAGACATCCATGGCACTGTCGCTCACCGGCCGCTCGACGCCAGAGATGTGCGATAATAACAGCGTCAATCGCTTGACGCAGTTCAGTATGAGGACGGTTTCGTGCGGCAGTGAGCCTGAAAGCTTGGACTATCGGTACTCCTCCCCGTCACGTAAATACTCCTATGGCAGTGACATTGTTCTTCGTCCCGACAGCTTGGAACGAGCGGCACCCGAGACCATCCCCGAAGTTGTGGAAAGTCCGCGATCCAAGGATTGGCAGCGCTCCAATGGCGAGCATCTTCCAGCATTGGGCAACGGGAAGCACATGGCGGATTCCATTCCAGAGGCTTCTTCTGACAGGCCGCAAGACGTCACCACCGACGTGAAGCGAGCATCTGAGGCGGATGCGGAAGTAGACCTGGAGGTCATTGACCATTATGCAAAAAGGATACATGTGACTAGCAAAAAAGCAGCGAAGATTCTTGGACTCCTGGCGGAAAGTGCGAACAGCTCGTCAGTTCCCCCAGCAAATAGCGGGGAAGAGAACGAGCTGGCCACGTCCAACAAGCAGACCCAGGTTGACAATGGCCTCCTCTCTGCTACCAAAGCTGACGATGACATTGCGGCTTCTTTGGACCCTTTCCGCCTCGATGATTCTGGATTCGATTCCGAGCAGCTGGCTTCATCTGACGTACACGATCTCGAAGACCAACTCAAGTACTTTCCGAAGCCCAATGCACCGCTGGAGCCCACACCGGATCATCGCAGAGATACGGGTGGCTCGTTCTTGACGAACGGGTCCTCCGCCGACTCCTTGTCGGAACCGGAGTCGGTCTCACCACGCCGACGAGGCACCAAGAAGGCAGCCTCAGATGCGGTGCGGAAAGAGGATCCTTCGGCTCACACCGTTCACGTTCATCTGGACCACAATGTTCACCACGAGGAAGTTTTGGAATACTACCGGGAGCTACGACACGACCTCGACTCTCATCACTCTTAAGATTTTGTTTTATTGATACCCATCGTCCATCGTCTGGTTCTACCCCCCCAAAACATCTTGGCGTCTCGCGACGAACATTGTCTCGTGTATTATTATTACCACCCTTCACGAATATTTACGATTACTCTTGTACGAAGTAGTAGACCGACATGAGAGGGGAATATAAGCTGCGCGCTGCGAGCTTCATTTGAATGGCCACCTTGCTGAGGAGTCGCGCAATGGCTCGAAATAAAAGTAGACTTGAATGAAACGGACGAACGAGGCGAGAAAAGCTCGCTCATCAGTTCAGATGCTCACTCATCATATCATATGCACATGAACCATACTTGGTCATCTCACATCAACTGTCGTCGTCGTCGTCGTCGTCGTCTTTCACTTGTTGCTCTCGCCAACTCCAGTCAAGCGAAGCACTCTCCCGACCGCCTTCACGCCTTCCTTGAGTCCGCCGGGGTGGTGGCTCCCTTTCTTCCGCCCAATACTCTTCTCCAGCGGCGCACTCTTGGGAGGCCATTCTCCGTCGTCCTTCCAGCCTTGTATGAGCGCCTTCACCAGTGCCTGCAGGTTGATGGGTACCGAAGGCGTCCTGGACTGTAAGATGATTTTGGTGTAGATCTCGGGATACATGTTGGGGGTGATCTTTCGCCGGATGGGATGGTTGGGCAGGATGCAGGGCGCGATGGGGACGAGGACCTCCTCCACGGGAGATGCGACGGTGGTGGGTGTTGCTTCGGTTCGTGCTGCGGTGATGTCGGGCGTCGTGGCGAGGCTGGAGCCGGGTGTAGAAGAGGGCTGGTGACCAGCTGCCGAGGATGTCGAGGAGCGAGGACTGGAGCTCGCCGATGCAGAGGTGTAGTCGACGTGTTCCTGTTGAGAATTCGCGCTCGCACTGCTCCTCTCGGACATGTGCACCTGCGCGGCAGTCCTCGCGCAGCACCACGCATCCCGCCTGCGCATCCAATGCGCCAGCCCGTCATTCCATTGCATTTCTTCCTCCTTTGCCCGAGAGCGCTTCCTCTTCTTCGCCAGTCGTCGGTCCTTCAACTGCGCACCCACACTATCCGGGCCCTCAAACTTGTACGTCGTGCTGCTCTTGCTCCGCGCAGAGCTCGTCGCGGCGGGCGCCGCGGCGCTCGCATTCTCGTCCACCTCTGTATCCGACTCGCTCGAGTACTGTCTCTCCCGCCATCCCACCGGATCAAAGTCCAGCCCCAATGCCTGTCCGCTCCCGTCTCGCGTACGGTTATCCAAATGGTGCGTGCCCGGCGTATGGAATCGAAATCCTGCAATCCTCTCTTCCACCGACAGATTCTCGTCCTCGTCTTCCTCGCCGCCGCCGCCGCCGCTGACCAGCGGGTCCCTGCTGCGTCCGCAGGATTTGTATGCAGGCAGGGTCGGGAAGTCCCAGTCGTTGCGGATGCGCTCTCTCAAGAGCCGGCGTGCTTCTCGCACTTCCTGCGCCTGTTCACCGTTACTGCTGCTGCTGCTGTGGTTGTGACGCGCGGTCGCGAGGCCCAGGTGGAGCGTCATTGCATAATCAATTCGTGTCGCTCCCCTTTCCGATGCAGCCGCTTGAAACACGCAACAGGATTGGCAGCAAGAATTCGTGCGGATGCGTTCGGCTCGTTCGTGTGTGCTGCGCTGGCTCCGGGTATAGGGAATGGAGGTCTCGTGTTTGTCGCGTGAGGGGGGGTAAAAAGTCTAAGAAGCTCTCTGGGCGGCTCTTTCTGTGCTCGCTCGCTGCCGTGAAGGTGATGTATAGATATTACACTGTGCGGGTGAGGCCGTTTTGTTGAAGTACGCAAGGTGGGATAGAAAGGAATGCTGATGATGAGAGGACGTGGATCTACGCTTTGGCTGGCTGACGAGTGGAGCGATGGGCACACGACGAGGATCTGGAATCCGGTAATGTGTGCCGTGAGGAGGAGTTGCCCGCTTGCCTCTTTTGCCCTGGTGCGTCATTTCCCCGTCGTTCTGATCGATCGGAAATAGAAGGTGCCAATGCAAGCTTATTAATCGACTTATATGATGGGCACGGGAACGTGAGAAATCACCGAGAAGTATGTGCGAATTGGTCAATTCCTGTTGTAACCTACATATCAACGTTTTCATGATCGCACCTCCGCCAACGGCTGCTAGCGCCATCGAGTTACTGGACATGTGAAAGGCAAGAAAACCCCCAGCCATGGCGAGAGACATTGAATACTGCCGAAGCTGTAGCAGGCAACACGAGACTACTTCTACTCGTACACTATCTCATTAACACTCTTCAAGGACGATCTAGATGCCCTCCCCAGCCTACGCCCGAGGTCTTCGACAAGCCCATCGACTCCTCATAGCCAACAAGAGTATCGTTCACGAACGTCCCAATCGCACTCCACGCCTTTCCCAACATCCCAGAAGGCTTGGTGGGCGTGGAAGCATCCTTTCGCGCCTTCACGGGACGCGCGCCGTGTTCCGATTCTTGAGGCACAACCTTTGACGACGCACCGAGTGGCGGTCTCTGGTACACCTCAGCCGCCGGGATCATTTCGATCTCTTCATGCTTTACCTCAGTGCTTCCGCCGTGCCGCTCCAAGGGGTATGTTCTTGGCCTGCCACCCTGCCGCTGTAAGGCCGGTCTCGGTGGAGCGATCGTTGGCTCAGGGATACTTATTCCAACGTCGTACAGCTCGTGAGCTTTGCTGAGGATTTCGTCAAACGAGTTCGATCGAGTGGGCTGCTGGAGGTTCGCACTGCGTGTAAGCTCTTCTGTCACGTCGAGATCTTCCAGCTCGTAGTCTTCGACTTTGGTATCTGCAGCATTCTGCTGCGGCTCCTCGCTCGCGGTGTAGAGTGCACTAGCGTCGTCCAAGCTATCACCGGCGTACTGCATAGCTGCCGGGTTCGTAGGCCGTACTGGAATCGCAGACTCTCCAATGCTGAGTCGGTTTATAAACAAGACCTGCTGGTTTCACAAAACTGTTGCCAGCTTCGCAGTCGGTGAGTGAGCCTGTAGAATGTGAGCGTGGAAAGTGTGCACCGGATGGAACAAGACACCGATGCTCGAGGGGGCCGCCATTTATGAGAGATGTGTCAGGGAACAACGCATTGTGGCGGACGATGAATAATGGAAAGGCAGTGAATAACCCACTGTCAGCAGAACAAAGCTTCACAGATGGGGTTTGAAGCATGATCTTGGCAAGTCTGAGTGAACGACCAGGACAATCGATCTCTCAACTTCCGCGCTATGCAATCCCAAGGAACCGATCAAGTACGTACACTTCGCGGGCATCATATGCAAGTATGCACATTCCTCTACCCATAAGTAACACAGAGGAGACGTCCACCAACTCCGTGCCGGATAACACAGACGCCAGCAAGAGCCATGTAGCAGTATTATCGCTTTCGGACCAAGTTGCTCGCCTTTGCTGGTGGATTTGCATTCGAGTCGTCGTCGCTTTCGTCTTCAGACGTATCTCCATCAACTTCGTCATCCTCGTCTTCCGATTGCTCTTCATCGTCTTCAGAACCTTCCTCAGCCTCGTCATCGACAAGGTCATTGCCCACATTGTCCTCCTCATCGCCCGAAGTGTCTTCATCGCCCTCATGAACACCATTCGGCATACCAATGTTCATATCCTCGTCCTCGCTTTGATGATCCTTCCCGCGCTGATGGCTCCCCTTCCGCTTCGGTGATTGATTGTTATGTGCCGCTGCATCTGCTTCATCATCGGTATCGGAGAAGGCTTCTTCTTGTCCTTCCACGTAGATTACCCCGGACGGATCGTCCAGATTATCCATGTTGACTTGCTGGGTCTCTGCTTGCAGGGTTCGTCTGCCGTCCAGCTGGGCGCTGAGAAGGTCCAGCTTGCCTTTCAGATGCAGAAGCGGTTGCAGGCCGCTAGCGCGCTCTCTGATGACTTGGTAGAGAGCCTTGAGCTTCTTCATTAATTCAGGTTGATTTGCGAGGTATCCTCCATGCGCAACCAGCGACAGCTGAATCCATACCATCAAATTTCCAGCTCTTCCTGGACGCCTATGTATCCGTTCGGCAATGCGGTCTAGTAGTACAACAATCTCTTGGGACCGTTGGCGTTGTATGGTAGCGCGTATGGTTTGCGTATCGCCCAGAGCGAAGCATGTCTCCAGCGAGTCTTTGTCGTTGTTCCTAAGGGCCTGCGACAGCAAAGTTCCTAGCGAATGTCCCACCGGGATGGTCTGACTTCCAGAGGCGGGCACGAGGCTGCGCGAGTGGAAACCCGCGTCACCAAGTGACATTTGGACATCGATAGGCGCAGGATGTCGCGCCTGGAGAAGGTCTCCAAATGTGGGTTCATGGGCTTGGTCGGCCTTCTCTTCTGCGTCTGGCATATCTGCATCTCCATCGTCGATGTTGGTGGGCACCAGTTCATTTTGAGAATGGGAGTTGTGGCCGTTGACCAGAGGCTTGTCGAGTTTCGCGGCCTGAGAACCATCTCCATCCTCGGCGTCGTCTTCGGGCAGTTCGCTGGACGATTCTTCTGCACTCGATATGTCGATGATTTCTGCTTCTGGTTTCCCTGTCGCCCGTGAAATCTCCCTCTCCCCTCTCTTTCTCGGCGGCATTGGTCTTGACTTCTGGCCCGCTGTTGCATTGGGCCGTGCCTCATCCCGCTCCTCGTTCACTCCCTCCACATCGTCGCTGTCTCCTTCACTACCAGAGTCCGGGCTATGCTGTGCCACGACCGCACCTGACTCGTCCACCGCCGATGCTCTTGCCCGCGAAACGCCATTTGTGAGCTTGGCCTCGAGGCCTTCCCCTTGCCTCGTGTTGTCATTCACCAGATCCTCCAGTCCCTTCTTCTTGACAGGCACGTGAGACGTCTTTGATCTTTTAGACAGCGGAGACGCAGACCGTTGCGTTCCTGATTGCCGCTCTCGCAGCCGCTTCGCGCTCATGGCAGCGGCATGGTCCAGCGAAAGGTACGAAAAGTGAGTCGGAGGAGCTGACCTGAGATGAGGTCGACTGAGTTGATGACCTCAAAAAGGTAAAACGATCACATTATGCTTCCTGAGATTTTCTTGAGCACGGACCCATGAACGCACAGACCAAAGAAAATCTTGGCAGTCATTCTTGGGGGGCTATGTAAGGAAGAGCCGAACCCAGGGTTACGTTGTTTCCTGTAATGTCTAAGCCGCGACGCTAGAGTACCGGCCGCGGGTGTGTTGCGAAGGACTTGTGACGAGGCGTAAAGGAAATGCCGAGCGAAAGAGCTGCCTGAGGCGTTTGTACCGCCACGGCGAGAAATTGGGAGCAAGAAAAGGGGTTGTCAAGTAAAACGGAGTCCTGCCGAAGCAGCGACCAATCAAAGATCCCGACGTTGATGCACGATCCGGGATGGATGTTTTGTTTCTCGCCGCCGTGGGTTTATCAGGGCACGCTGCTCCCGCTCCGATCTGTTTGCTCTTTCTTTCATTCTGAGCTTCTAGCTACCCCGCCTCGTCGTCTCGCGGCTCCGCTACCTCACCGCCGTCCGCACCGTCGCCTCTACCCTCGCTGCACTTTCGATTTCGACACTGTTCCCTGGTCGCTGCGCCCGCAACAATTTATTTTTGCGCCTGGCTCGGGTGCATAAAAGCCGTGCACAAAGAGGCCTAGCGATCGCTTTTACTAGCCTGATCGCGCCTCCCGGCCCAGCTGCGAGCTGCTTCATTCATCCGACGTCGCCTTCCACTGCTTCGCTGCTCGCCACACCGCGCGCATTCACGAGCCAGGCGGGAACTGCGCGTCATTAACCCGGGCGAAGCTTCCACAAGGCTGCTTCATTAGTTGGTGTTTGATTGGACGGTCACGTGCGGCACAAAGCGGGTCGTCCCGAAATGGTCAGTGCGCACAGAACAATTTTACCTTCTATTTGAAGTCCTCTCGAAAGCTCGTCTGTAATTGTTCAGATCGGAGCTGCAAGCGCCTTCCGCCGAGAACACGGCTTCATCCACCACACCCCGAGACATCAGCAACCACGTCCCGCTATCACGTGCGCGCGTCTCTGTTTACATTTCGCCCACGCGCTTTCTCCACCTACCAGCCAAACAAATATTCGGCGCGCATATTTACCACCAACAACAGCACTACCGCGCGCGTCGTCACGTGCTTCTCGTGCACACATTTACCCTACATCATCCGTCAACATGGCCTCGGAAGTTGCGCATCCTGAAGCCATAGTACCTAACGGAGACGCCCCCATCACGAATGGGTAAGTTGTTTTCCACATGGAGCTGCCTGGCCGTGAAAAGCCTCGAACATCGCTGCACCTTCTGTTAGACACGTCAACAAACATGCTGACGATTTCCAGTGATCAAACACACAACGAAGATGCATTCGCCGAAAATGCAAATCTCCCCAAGAGCGACACTGCCCTTGACGTGAATGTTGCAGCCGACCCTAATCCAGGTGGACCCACGCCAGTTGAAGATGTGGCGCCAGGTATAACACCAGTCGCCAGCTTCATACCCAAGGAAGCTCCAGTCTCACACCCCACGCCACCACCTGATGAGCCGCTCAACACCTCCGAAGCTAATGTCGAGACGGTGACAGCAGCAACAGAGGATGCACCAATGGAGGATGTATCTTCCAAGATGGAGGCTGAGCCCGCTGAGCCTACAGCTTCCACGGCACAACCCACTTTGCCATCGTCTGAATCGAGCCTCGTACGCCCACGCGAAGACGACGACGATGACGGCGAGGGTGAGCGTGCAGCGAAGCGAAGCAAGGTAGACAGCGACATCGAGCATGTTGCTACCACCGCAGACACAGATCCAGCGGATGTGGCACCAGTCGATGTGACTCCAGCTGAGCAAACAGCAGCGTCCGCTCACGAGTCTGCTCCCTCTCAGACACATGATCAAGTCGTTGAGACACAGCTTCCGGTCGCTGCGCCCGAGTCGGCGATTGTCAAGGACGAAGCCAGCATTCCGGAGAAGCCCGTGGAGTCGGGCGCGAAGTCAGCAGATATGGACGTCAAGATGGCCGAGCCCGATGCAAAGCCAGTGGGGAAGCCTGCAGGAGCACAGCCTGAGTCTTCAGCACAGCCTGCAACACAGTCAGCAGCAGCTCTGCCGAAGCCAGCTTACAGCGAAAAGCCCCTCACTCAAACGCAGACCAAATTCCTCGCAGAGAAGATGAAGAACATGAAGAAGACAAAGCACGCGGCGGCTTTTCTGGCTCCTGTTGATCCTGTAGCGCTGAACATTCCCCACTATACGAACGTGATCTCCAATCCAATGGATCTGGGCACCATGGAGGCCAAGCTGAAGTCGAGTAAATACGCATCGGTGCAGGCTTTCGTAGACGACTTCAACCTCATCATCAGCAACACGCGCACCTTCAATGGTGACAACCATGCGGTGACGCAAGCTGGACTGTCGATGGAAGCGTACTTCAAGAAGATGTTAGAGACTGTGCCCAGTGCAGACCAGCCAGTCGTGCAAAAGGCGCACGCGAAGAAGGCATCCCCAAAGCCACACGGTCAGACGGCACGGCGTGAGTCCCGTTCTGCAACAGTACCAGCGCCGCAACCAGCGAGTGCCGCCGTAGGCAACAACAGCTCCAGCGAAGCGTTTGCACTCCAGGCAGATGGTACTCCGCAGATCCGCCGTGAATCCACGACCAATAGGCCAGCGCGTGCCATCAAGCCTCCACCGGCTCGCGAGCTCTCGTACGCCAAACCAAAGCGCAAGGAGCATCAACTTGAGCTGAAGTTTTGCGAGCACGTTTTGGACGAGGTGAAGAATCCGAAGCATGCCAAACAAAATTACTTGTTCCTGCACCCCGTTGATCCCGTCGCTCTGAACATCCCACACTATCGGCAAATCGTGAAGCAACCCATGGACCTGTCGACCATGACGCAGAAGCTCAAGCAGGGTCAATATGGTAAGGCAGCCGAGTTCAAGAAGGACTTCGAACTCATGATCGCGAATTGTCTGGCCTTCAATCCTCCCGGCAATGTCGTGCGAGACCTTGGTATCGAGTTCCAGCGCATCTTCGAGGCTCTTTGGAAGCAGAAGGATCGTTGGGAGCAAGCTCGCAAGAATGAGGGGCCACGCGGGAATTCTGCTTCCGCTGATGAGGATAGTGAGGAAGAAGACGAGGACGATGAGCAAGGCACCGATGTCAATGACCCAAATGCGGCAGCCAAGACGATTGCCGATCTTCAGAAGCAGCTTGCGGATATGCAGAGCAGCCTTGCTGCACTGGGTCAAGGCCAGCCTCCGGCCGCAAAGAACAACAAGAAGGCCAAGACGACTGCGAAGGCAAGCGGGCGTAAGGCTGGTGGCGGCGCGGCAGCGACCAAATCCAAGGCTCCAGCACCCAAGGCCAAGGCACCACCGAAGAAGGTGAAGCAGGTGACGTACGAGGAGAAGCAGGAGATCTCCGAGGCGGTCGGCAACATGAACGAGGAGCAGGTTGCGAAGCTGACCAAGATCATCACCGAAAACTGCTCCAAGTACGCCGACCAAGAAGAGATGGAGCTCGAGATTGACGACTTGCCGAATGATGTTCAGGCCATGCTCTTGAAGTACGTTCGCAGCATCTTCGGGAACCCAAACCGGGGACGTGCTGCCTCTCCGGATGATGGAGCAGCACTGGACGACGATGACTTTGAGCCAGGTGGACGCAGCGGCTACGGGACAGGCGCCGCCAACAAGCGCAAGAAGCATAAGCCGATGGGTAAGGAAGAGCAGCAGGAGAGGATCAACACTCTGCAGAAGCAGCTCTCGCAGTTCGCGGGCGGTGCTGGTGGTGCTGGCGCGAGCCAGGGAGGATCTCAGGCCGGCGGTGACTCGAGCGGTGATGACAGCGAGGAGTCGGAAGAGGAGTAATGGTTGGATGGCGACCCGTTTTGGTCTTTTGAAAGCAGCCGCCTAGAGCGAGCGCGGCTGTATCCTTGACTTGTATGATGAAATAATACCCACGAGATGAGCGAGCTCGGGCACAGCGTAGCATATTTTGAATGAATTCGTGTCCGGCTCCTTGAATCTCCAATGGCAGCGGCGCCATGGTCGTATACATCCATTCTGCTTCAGTTTCCTTTGACGCTCTCGAGCAACCCTGGTTCTTTTCCGAGTGAAACTCCGACGCGATGGTGGTGGCGACCTGCTGTGGCTCGGACCTATCGCGGCATCGCAGACGGTGCGACTGAGTCTCTTCAAAAGACGAAGAGGTGTGTTTTCAGATCAGTCCTGTAGATGGGGAACCAGGCTTACCGTCGAGCAGCCCATGTGCCATTTTGGATCTTCTTTGTCTTCAGTGCGACACCGTTACCCCTCCTCATGGCGGAGGTGTCGTGATTGCGAGGATATGGTAGAGTGGGTGCGCGCCCGAGCAGGAGAGCAGGTTGCGAGAGCAGGTCGCCGGCTGGCATTCCGCCGCAGGAGAAGAATTGGCAGGCGAATGTGTGCGAAGAGATCTGTCTGGGTGGGTGGTGTTGAGAGAAGGAGGGAGGTGGATCGGGCAGCAGCTTGCAGGTGGTGGGCAAGCGGGATTCAAGCCTCTTGTCACCTGATTCAGCACTGCGGCTGACTACGCGACAGCGTGACCTGGCACCACACCCCCTTCTCCTCTTCTTGCTTTTCCGCGCGATCGCCTCTCTCTCGTTGGGCACGTCCACACGTCCGTACCTATCGCCGAATATCAGCACAGCCAGTCGGCACAGAGAGGACTCGTGGGCACGTGATGCTCGCGATTGGTCACCTTTCATCGGTCAATTGAGTGTCTTGAAGAGACATTGACGCAGCATACCTCTCAGCCCAAGCGCTATTCTCGGCTCGTCGCTCCTCGAGCAAACCAAAATAGGAGCATAGCATGGCATGGCATGCCAATCCTTTGTCCTGTCTTGTCGTCGCTTAATCTACTATTGGATCGCGTGCACCTGCATTAGCGCCAGCTGCTGCTGCCGTGCGACACTCTCACTACTACCCACTACACAGTGACCATAACCTTTCGGCCCCATCATCACCAACATGTCCGACGAAAGAAAAGCTCTCCGTCCTCATCGGTGTCACTGGCAATCAAGGATGCTCCGTCGCCGGAACATTTCTCAGCGACCCAGAGCTGCGCCGAGAGATATCGCTCGAGAGGCATCTCCTGCCAATTCTCCTCCATAGCCTCAACTCTCTTCCCTGGAAGGCAACGAAATGGTGCCAAGCAGACCTCCAGCACTCCGAACCCTTGACCCCGTTCCAACGTGATTTTCTCCGTAACACATTTCGGGGCACCATTTCTCCACCCCAACAATACTTACGAAGTGGAATATGAACAAGATGGCAACATAGCAGACGCTGCGTCACGAGCTCCCACATCGGAACGCCTCGTCGTTCCCATGCTCTCCAGTCCCAAGAAATGGAGCAACGGCCGGTACCGAAACCTCTGGCACTACGAAAGTACAGCAGCTATGATGAGCTACATCAAAGCCGAACCTGCCAACCCCGCCGTGTAGATGAGCTATTTGAACATGGACGTGTTCTGCTATTCTTGGCGGTTTGTCAATCTCATGGCGCCGAGAAAGATGGAAGACGGAATACACATTCTGGCGTTACCGTGCAAAGGAGAAACGCCATGTCCGCTGGAGGATCCGAGGGACGACGACACCGGTCCATTCGTGTGTGCTTTGCCGCAGCTTGCGCCAGGTGCGCAGCTGTACGGGGAGACTTCGCTCATCAGTTAGAGAGCATGGATGGAGCTGCGGAGAAAGATCTTGGGAAAAGAATTTCGCTACGAACAAGCAAGCATCGACTTTTATGAAAGAGAATTGTCAGCTTAGGGGTTTACCGCCCGGGTTTGGCACCGAGGTCGCGGAGATGTTTGAAAATGTAAGCCGTTTCTTTGCCTAAACAGAACCAGGGAGTCTTCTGATTTACTCGGGATGGATATCCATGGTTACAACGGCAATGCGAAAAAGGATGTCTGATCGTGAGAGCATTGTCCGTGAGTCGCTATCAACGTATTGCGAAGTTCGGCGTTGTCGTCTCTGACTTGAGCAAAGTGGAGGAACACAATCCGCAACGAAGGCTGGTCTCCCTTGGAGGCCTGACCGCCACAAACGGTCATTTAGGGGGAGCTTGTGGTAGCTAGGTTTTGAAGCCTTGAAAATACTACACCGTGTTAGTACTGCTGTAGGGGCCATAGGCGAATGGATACATGCCTTTCGCCGGAAATCATTCAACTCGTCTGCGGTTGCCCCGCCATCGCTTCTGTGAGTTTCATACTCAAGCCGTTGCATTCGATATATGGCCATGCTGTCCGAGTCGATGGAAGCGTCCGCGAGTCTCTTGTAAGTCAGAAGGCGTCTTGACCCTAATGTAAAGTAAAAGTCAACTAGAGTGCAGTAGATAGAAAGTCAGGTTTAAGCATACATTTGTTGAAGTCTTGTCGGCAAGAGCTCACAAGAAGCAAAGCGGGATGCTGAGGTATAGAGTATTCAGCTTCCTCCACTTGGTCTGCCTCTGCCAACTCAGCACCCGCTTCTGCTGCAGCTCCATCATCTGGCGCGCCAGCGACGGGCATCCACATGCACAAGCGACCTCCATCCACCAGCAACTCGCTAGCAAAGTCGAGAATATCGTCCAGCATGCGCACAAAGCTGTAAGGCCGCTTAGGCGGGATATATCCCGCTCCGAGATGAGCTGGCGTCCCGTCGGCAAGCAGTACTTCTTGTTGCAGATGCGCCTTGGAGCTGCCGAGGACCTTGAGACCTTCCCGAACACCGTAAGGAGGATCGCAAACCATCGAATCCAGGAATCGTGATCTGCGAAGAGGCGTGTTGGTGACATCGGCCGTGAAGCCGTCTAGGTATAGCGAGGAGGTTCCATATTGCTCGAAATTGGCTCTGACAGTGCGGCCTTTCTTTCCACGAATGCTTCGTCCGTCCATATCGCTGCCAAAGACAGCTGAACCAAAATGAGCGCAAGCCAATGGGAAAGAGCCCGTGCCCATGAACGGGTCATAGCCTAGCCTCCCAGGCGCAGAGAGGGCCAGATTTGCGGTCACCAAGGACAGTTCCGCATCCATCGAGGTAGTGGAAATGTACTTGCGCTTCTTCAAAGTGTACTTCGCGACAGCTTTGCGCCCACTTTCGGCGACTTGTCTGCCGAAGAACAGACGATGAGGCTTCGGCGCATCCAATTTGTAGTCTTCGAAGATGGTGAAGTGATGCTCAGCTTTGGTCATGCGTATGGGTCCTTGAAATCCCATATAGCCAAGCGATTCCATGAGGTCACGCTGCTCGTTGGTAGAGCGACTGCCATGGAAACTATCCACCTCGAAGCGGAACGACGCATGTCGATACTGCTCCCAGAGCGACTCCGTCCGGCCGCGGATGTTGGTGTGAAGGGAGTCGTAGTCATGTCCTTCACCCCACAATTCGTATATGGCAAATGTCAAGATCGAACGAGAGATCAGAGATTTTGCTGCCGCTTCGTGATTGTCGCCGTGGAATCGAATGACGGCAAAGGGCGACTGAGGACACGTTAGTTAGCTAGAGCCGAGTTGGCGTTCCAGCGGCGAATGGCGAGAACAGAGGGCGTATACCAACCTTGTGGGCAGACAGCGTTACCTTGCAAGATGAGCCGCATACTGAACGTCAGGGACACCATTCGCGAGCATCTTCACGCTGTTCTCGCCTTCCGCCTCTTCTGGATAGTCAACCTACATCATGGGAATACGCGAGCCACTCGAACTTGATACAGTTCAGTTCGGCCACGGCCTCAATCTCTGGCTGGCGGAACGTCTCATGTGTTTGGATAAAGCGAATCAGATAATCCATGACAGTCGCATGCATAGGGCATATCTGTGTGAGTCTGGACTGCGACGAGAATTCCTCCGAACAAAGCTTGAATTGCAGTTGCCGATGTAGTCGAATTTGCTCGTGTCTACCCTAGTCGGATCCCACGACTTCCGTCGGCGGGGCCACTTTGACAAAAGTACGAGTGAGCTGTCACATGAGAGCAATGTTGTAGTACACATTCTCTGGGCGAATGTCATGACAAGAGCAACCTTTCCAGTGGGGACTTTTCAAATGGTGAATTCTTGAAATGCATGCAGCTATCAACATTACAGGCGTGCTTTGCACACCTCAAAGCCAAAAATATCAGCGCTCCTGTACTCGGATTCAATGCCGAAGTGGTATCATCGCGGATCCAATTGTAATCTGTGTCGGCAGCTTCTGTGTCATAAAGAGCCGTTGCTCGTGTACGCGTAAACACGTCAGCTCAGCCATACTGTAGCTGACTTTCGTTCGGGAATCACTCTTAGAGAGCGAGGACAGCCATCGCGGCCATGCCGAGGAGGCCAGGCGCAGCAGTGACAAGGGCGTTGGCACCACCCGAAGAAGTGGCAGAGGTTCCTGAGGCAGCGGTGGAAGCGCGAGAAGCCTGAGAAGAGAGGGGTCAGTCAGCGGCTCCAAGCATCGCCAAAAAAAACATATCTGATCCGATTTACTTACTCCAGATGATGCGGCAGAGCCCGCGGCGCCTCCAGCAGAAGTCACGGCATTGCTGGCGGTCGCCATAGCTCCGCTAGCGCCAGTCGAGGCTCGGGATGCGGCCGAGTTGGCACCTTCGGACGCGGTGGAAGCAGCTGAGTTACCTGCTCCAGCAGCTCCTCCAACGATACCTCCTCCAATTTCTGTTGAATCAGTTAGCGAAATTCAGGTTCGGCGCGTGCGCTGAAGCTTACCGGAGTAGATGGTGGTCGAGCCTGTGGTCGTTGTGAAGGTCGAACCGGAGGCAGAGACGAGAGCCGTGAGCGCAGAGGTGGTGATGGCGGTGCTGCTTCCACCGGTGGAGTTGGTCGAGCCAGCAGCAGTGGAGTTGGCGCTACCGGTACCCGTCGCTGCTCCGCTGGTCGTTCCTGCATCCGAGGCAGTGCTGGTCGTTGAGCCAGAGCCTGAGGTAGCTCCAGCGAGAGGAATGGTGGCGGAACCCGAGTTGGTAGAGGCGGCAGAAGAAGCAAGGGCATCTGCTCTCCAAGTCAGCACAAACTTGCCAGAGTGTTTTCGCATGGTTACTCACTTTTGCAGTAGGTTGCGCCGTAGGAAATGGCTTGTTGAGCGGCCTGGGTATCACTCGCACAGGCCGCATTGGCACAGTCGCGGACGCCGTAGCCAAAGTCGACCTTGCTGCAAAGGCAGGCGGCATCGCTAGCGCTGCAGCCCAGGCTCTCTGCCTTGGCCATCATGTTGTTGATGCAGAGCTGTCCGCATTGTGCGAGGCTGTTGAGGTCCTGGGCGCTGGCCACAGCAACGGCAAGCGCGAGGAGGGTGAAAGATGCCTTCATTGTGCGCGGTTGGAGATGGAATGTCGAGCGAGGTTGCTTGGGATGTTGTTGCGAAGAGCTACCTTGCGCAGCACGAATGAATGAGGAGATGGTTGGTCAAAGCGGAGGAAGAGCTTGTGACGACCTGGTCTTTGCTTTGGTGTGAGTAAAGCTGAGAAGCGAGTTGAGGAGGTGTGTGGAGGACGAGGAGTTGAAGAGGAAGGAGCAACAACAGTGTCGGGGAGGCGGCCGGGGGAAGGTGCGACGTTTATTTGCGTCTGGGTGGCTGTTGCCCGTTGCCCTCTCTACTGCGCGCAGGCAGTTTGACCAGCAGACGGAAGAGGAACAGGTAGTATAGTACCGGTACCTAGCGAATGGCGGGAGTCTAGAACCCACCGAGCGTCTTGCGCAGCGACCGACAGCGACGACAAGTTCCCAGTTTTTGGATGGTCAACTGGCAGCTGCATGCTGGCGATCGCAACAAGAGAGCATGTCTACCGCGCTTTGACCAGTCGTGAGAGCTTAAAGGGTGTCTGCCGGTTGGTTAGCTGGTTTTGTCTGTGCTTATGAGCTAAGTGAATGACTTTTAGGTGATCAAACTCTGCCTGTCCACCGCCTACCAATTCGGTTAGCGTCAGCTCGAGCAGTACAACACGCTACTACTAGGTAGTAGCGACCTTTAGCGCTTTAATATAGTAAGATTAGCGATATAGTGTTTAAGCTATCGCTAAAGGAGGGTAAGTAAGCAGCCTAGCGTTGTCTTTGTTAAGGCACGCGTACTACTACTCTAGACGCGTCGTCGACAGATCTGTATACTATTATTAGTACTACTTTAGATAGGTAAATTATATATATACTATAGTATCTAGTAATAGGCCTACGGCCTACTTTAGCTAAGTTCGTAGTAGCTAGTTCTTAGCCGCCTAGTAGTCAAGAGCTACCGCCTTCTTTACAGTAGTAGTAGTAGTAGTAGTAGTCTTAAAATCTACTATATTACTCGTAGTAGATTAGCTATTAGTATATTAGATAGTAGTATATTAGCTATTAAAACGTCGGCTACTAGTAGTTCGGCTATTAAGGGCTATATAGTAGCACCTATCCGACGAGCAGCCCTTTCGAATTAGCCTCTTCGCCGCCGGCCTATTAAGTAGTAATACTATAGCGCGTACTAACGTACTTCGACCGCGGCGTAAACGGTGTCTATATAGGTACCGTACTACCGATTGTGTTGTCGTCTAATCTATAGTAACCGCCTACGCCGCAATCGTAGGGCTGGAGTAACGCGCTATTCGTAGGCCCTCTAAGTAGTTTACTAATACTACTACTACCTATCTAGTAATAGCTAGCTCCGAGCTCTTACTCGGTTGTTAATACTACTAGCTCTTAGCCTATGTATATATACTACTATAGTAAGTAAGGGTAGCGGAACTAAGAGCTAGTATAGGCGGCATAGTAGGCTAATACTATACTACTAAATCTATCGTACGTACGCTAAGAGAAGGTTAATAAGGCGCCGTAGGGCTACGAAGGACCGACATAGGGTGTAGTAAGCTCTACTAACGTAGTAGATAGTAGCTAAAACACTACTAAACCTGCCGATTTTGACGTTATCCGAGAGAACCCTAGACTAGCGACAGGTGTAGTAATACTAGTTAATACTATATCTAGCTCTTCTACTTATTAACCGGATACTACTTCTTCCTCTCTATAAGTTAGTATACCTACTTTCGATCCGAATCCGAGCGTGACCGTAATATAAGAGGTGGTATAGGGCCTACGGGAGGAGGATATACCTAATAGTAATTAGTAGTACGTAAATAATATAGTAAACGATATAGACGTATGTTAAGGTGTCCTAAGCCGTAATAAGAACGGCAAACAGTACTAGAAGAAGATGCCTTATTAGTAGACAGAGAAAACGTAGGAAGTAGTAGTTGCCTACCTTAATAAGAATATATACCCTTTAAGTAACGGCGTGTCGATTACTATATAGCTCGGTAAGATACAGAAGGAGCTTAGTAAGTATAGAGCTATATATGTGACGTACCTATATCGTACTATGTTTAGTAGCTCGTATAGTACGCGCAAACCGCCGTTAGTTAGATAGATTCCGGTACGAATTAACAAGCTAAAGGGCCTTAAGGCTAGTACTAGCCGGTAGCGCTCGGAATTCGAACGACGACTAGACAGCCTTATTATTAAGCTTAAGGTAGTTAAGACAGAGCGAAAGCTAAATAGTAAGGGCTACGAGTCGATCTAGCGGTACCAAACGGCCTAAGACGAGTTCCGGAAGGGCTTGATTACCGGTACTAATAGTAAACTAGTAGACAATCTACTTAGTTACGTAGGCTACGTTAGTATAAAGCGTAAACAGGCTCTTAAAGCTAAGGATAGACTTAGTGCTCGTACGGACGGCTAACTTAAGGCTCTTTAAGAGTAGTAGGCCTCTATTTACTAGGCAAAGATAGCTAAAAAGAGGCGTTAACACCGAGAGGAGATAGAGCTCCGGCGTAAAGAGCTATAGGCGCGGATTAATAGTAGTAGTAGTACCGACAGCGTAGTAACCGCCTTACGAGTAGATCTTAATAGATTAAGCAGTCGCTATATTACGCTCGAATCTAAGGTAGATAGCGGCTTCGACAGGCTTCTAGCGGCTATTCGAGGTACTAGGTATAGTAGTAGTAGTAGTAGAAGGCCTCCGGTAACTCCTAGTATAGATTAGTTAATATAGTAGTAGTTTGTTCGCTAGTATAGTACGAAATTAGTAGTACGATTAATAAGGTAAGGTCTAATTTGAGTCTATAAGTTACTACTTTTACTGTCCGTAGACGAAGAGATAGGCGTAGGTAGTAGTAGAGTAGGCGGTACTTCGAGGTAATAATACCTTTATATAAATTTATAGTATAGCTTACTAAAAATGGCCGGAAAGTTCCGTCCGACAGTACCTACGACTCTTTAGAACCCTTAGAACGCCTACTACTATCTCTCGTCTAACGAATAGGCCTTAAAAAGGTAACGTAATCGCTATTACGACTATAGCGCTTCGTAAAGCTACGTACGGCTTTACGACACTACTAACCCTCCGGTACCTATAAACAGTACTATACTATCGATACTATTACTAAACTCGCGCTAGAGCTTCTTCTTATTACTAAGAAGGCCTACTAATCGATCCGGAAGGTCGCCGTAACGTTAGTCGGCGCGGGCTACGCTAGCGAGGTAATCGTCTAGAGTCGGTAGTAGGCAACTAAACATGCCGTTTATAGTCCCCTATTTGCTCTCCTTACTACGTATATACGTTAGACAGTTCTAAAGTAGTATTAACACTAAGAAGTAGGTACTAACTAGCTATACTGTCGCCCTTACTACCTTACTAAAGTAGACGTACGTAAACTAGTTAAAGTTATTACTAAACGCTATCTCGATACCGATTCGCGTCTTCGAGAGCTAGTAATTCGTACGCTATATCTCGTTAGTAAGGAACTACCGGCCTACGTAGTAGCGGAACGGATTAATTATACTAAACTTCGATTAATAGGTACTATCGCTAAATAAGAAGAATACCGGTTAGTCTAGATTAGCTTCCTCTATAGTCTTATATACGCTCTACTATACCGGATTCGTTATATATAGTACTATCGTTTACCGGCCCTAGATCCGGTATAGACGAAGACACTACTAGCCTATTAGGTACGGTAATACACTGGATTTTCTAGCCGTTTACTCTATAATAGCTAGAGTAAGTAGCTATCTATAACCTATTATCTACCGGCCTTATAAACTTAAGGAACGTACTATTAACAAAACCCTATATACGCCCTTGTCTATAGCTAGCTTATTACGACTTAAGGGCGTATCTAGCTAAGGTAGCTCGATTACTTAACGCCGGCTACTAGTAGATAAGGTAGCTCTAGTCTTAGTATAGCTTTTTATACGTACTATTAAAGATACGAGATATCTAGTTATAGCTACGTCCGACACGAAAGTCGTAGTAACGAGCCGGATAGGCTAATCGTTTATAGACTAAGAATAGAGCCTATAGTAGTGTCGCTACGTAATAGTAGCCTATTAACGACTTAATCCGGATTGGCTCCTTACCTAGTAATAGCGGTACTAATCGTTCTAGCTATACTAGATAGAAGCGTGTTTCTTTACGGTAGTTAACTAGATCTATGCCTTGTAGGCCCTATTAGAAGTAAGAGTAGGTATACGACTCTTACCCTAGTATATATCTAACCTACTACTAGGCTTCTTAAACTGTAAGGTTACGCTATTCTAGTATTAGTACGATTTGAGCTATATCTAGTGCGTCTATAGCGGCTGTAGTAGGTAGTAAAGGAGCAGTTACGAGCTATAATACGAGCTATAACACGAGCTATAACACGAGCTATAATACGAGCTACACTATACGCGACTAGAAGACGCGTCTTTCTACCGCCAAGCACTGCTGACTAAGCTCGAATCAACCGTTACGCTATAGACACACGCTTAACGCAAAAAGGCTAGCAACAGGCTAGCTACTCGTGCTTGCAGTAGCGCGAAAGAGCCTCTCACGACTGGTCAAAGCGCGGTAGACATGCTCTAAGGCAGGCACCGACGCACCACGGACAATTTGTGCCTGCCAAGGGGGCGGCTAGCGCGTGGCGGCAGGAACCCGCCCAACCGCCCTCGCCCAATCACCGCCGCCTCACGCCGCCGTCTCTCCACACATGGCGGCAGGGATCTGTGCAGAGTCCGAATCAGTGCTGCAGATGCTCTGCGCTGTTCGACATCACCATCATCATAACCATCATCATCATCATCATCATCATCATCGTCATGATGATTCTCACTGCATGCTCGCAACGTGTACCACTCCCGACCGCTCTTCACACTGCGTGAAGTTGGAATGCCATGTCCCCAGCTACCAGACGGTCCAGATCGCGATCGGACGCGATACATGCACTCCGCCTGTAATTCGTCCTGCCCGCTTGCGTGAAGTCACGTCCCGCGCCACCAGAGATCCGAAATGGCGTAAGTCGCGTGCGCGCTCGGGTGCTCGTCTGGCACGGGCGAAGACGATTGATTAATTCATGGGAGCACAGGAGCATGCTGTCGTTCCCTGGCCAACAGCGTTCCTCTGGCTCACAGCTCCTTCCATGAAACCACGGCCACCTAGTCAGGAGCGAAACTCTCCCGCGACAACTCAATTTGCGCAGACTCGTCGCGACATGGCACCAATAATGTCCACACCTCTTGCGCGTTGAGCAAGACTACCGCCGCCCGCAAGAGCACTAGACGTCATCTTCTCCTTGTCGTTGCGCCGCCAGTGACACCAGACGACTCCCAACAAGAGGTGCAGTCCAAGCTTGCTGTGCCACACCGCACCCGCCTGGATGAGGTGGATCCCCGGTACTACGGAGATCCCCGTTTTGGTCTGTCCAACCTTAACTCCCACTGTGATGGATTTCGCTACTTCTCATCATGAACGCATATACCATCCAGAATGAGACATCTGATTTGGAAGCCTCTGGGTACGTATTGAGTAATAACATTGCGCCGGCTCCTGCACCGTCAGAGGCTCTGCAGTGTCTCCGTTCGGTGTACTGGAGCACAGCACGCCAACGCGATCGATCTTTCCGCGGAGCGCAAACCATTCATGAGAGATCAGAGATGAGAGAAAGCAGCGTTGTTCCACGCAGCAACGTAGCAGAAACCAAGCTTCGGGCTCGCTTATCTGCAAACGATTCCAACTGTCTGGATGTACGAGCATTTGCCAAACGAACGCTTCATCAGCCGCCGGATCCCATCTGTGCATCACTCGTGAAACGCACAATTTACTCCCGAGCGTCCACGTGCCTGAGGCTCTGCACGACTCGCACGATGCGCAAACGACCGGCGTGCTGCGGTGCACAGGACAAATTCAGACACTCTCCTCATTCCTGACTTCTCTGTCTGTGTAGCCAGCATCGCGCTTTAGTGAAATCCTGGACGCCGCAGTAAACTCTGTGCTGTGCTGCCCCACGAGACGACGTCCTGCTGGTATAGTCGCGAGTGAACTCTCAAACAACCACAATGTGAACCAATCCCACGGCTCCCGTCCGCTGTTGATGTAGCATCGGAAGAGACGCTACTGCGACACACTCAGAGCATGTGGCAGCAATTCGACAGCGAGCAACCCGTGACTCGCTCAATCCTCCATCTTATCGAGAATATCAGAGTCCTGGATGGACACGGCGTTGCTATCATCGCTGCCATCGGACTCCTGACCATCCCCATCAACATCCACATCCATCGCATCCGACTCGGCCGCAGCATCGTCCGTGTCTTTGCCGTCGTCGAGCTTGGCACGCTTGCTGGGCTTTCTGCTGCTCGGTCCCTCACCCCCCGAGCCAGAGTCTTTCGTCTCCTGCTCCGCTCTCTCCTTCATCTTCTGCTTGCGCTTCTCGCCCTGCATCTGGATCTTGAGCATGTTGCGGTGACTGCTGCGCTTCCCGAAGTAGTCGATGTACTTGGCGAAGTCTTTGACGTTCTCCTCGTACCACTCCCACTCGCCGTCGCCGTACCCCTTGGACTTGGGCTGCTGCTGCTTCTGTCCGAGCGCAGCAGAGATGCGCTTGGTGATGGTGGCCTTGTCGCAGTAGCATCCGTTGTAGCAAAATCGATCGCGAACGTCTTTGTTGCCGTGACCGCCTTCACTGCAAATCCGCAGGAGCATACCACGCCAGAGGAGATCCGGACAGAAGTCGATGACGCACTCCGCCGCACGATGCGTCAAGATCTTAACCTGACCCAGTTGCTTGCGAGTGACCACCGTGTCCTTGACCGAGAACTTGACCTGCTCGAGATTCTCCGTCATGCCCTTCTTGCCGGGATTCCAGCAGATCTTGATCTTCGCGAGCTCGTCCAGCTCATGTTTGCCGGCTTTGCCGGCTTCGATAGCCTCGTCGGGTGCCTTGAACCCCATACTGACGGCCTTTTGCTCGTCTTCCTCTGAAGCAAAGGCAAAAGCACCAGAATGATAGGGGTCGCCCCCCGACTCGCCCTTGCGCTGTCCGCGCTGCATCTTCTTCTTCTCCTTCGAGTCGTCCTCCGTCTCATCGCCTTTCTCTCCATCTTTGTCCTTCTTCTTCTTTGCTTGACGTGCAATGCCTGATGAAATGGTTAGTGACCTGTACTTGGAATCGCTGCTCGTCAGGAACACTTACGTTGCTGCTCTTGGACCTTCGCATCGAGATCGTCGATGATGGGGACGTTGCGGGCTCGGACGGCATCCATCTCTGCAAGCTCCTCAGCATCGTAGATCGTGTCGTCCCACTTCGCTTTGGCCTTCTCCTGAGGAAAGTCGATGAGTGTGCGTGTCCACGGAAACTCCTCAGCTTCCGCCTGACGGCGCTGAACACGCTGTCGCGCGGGTTTAGCGATCTTGATGCTAGCGTGAGTGCTTTCCTTCTTTTCAGCTGAAGCTGAAGCTGAAGCTGGTCCAGGTCTTTGTCGGGCGGGATACGGCGGTGTAGGTGGGGGCGGCGGCGGAGTGGAGTTGATTGGGGTCTCTCGCTTCTGACGAACACCTCCCCTGCTTTAGAACGTCAGCTCGTAGTCAAATCCCACGGTTTTCTCCTGCTTACCCTGTTGGACGCCGAGTCGATTCTGACGGCGGAAAGCTGCTGGGGAGACCGTGAGGTGGAAAGTTTGGCGGCATTCCATAAGGAATAGTCTGCGGAGCTCCCACGGGTCGACCCATGCCTGGTTGCATATGCATTGGCTGGGCGACGTAGTGTTGAGGAGGAAGTAAATTTCCAGAAGCCGGCGGAGGAGGTGGACCCTGACGAGCAGCGTATGGAGGATAGCCTGGAGCATAACCAGGGGCAGGTCCGTGACTTGGTGGACCGGGTGGTGGCAGTGGCGGCTGTTGACGAGGTGGCATTTGCTGTGCATGCTGCTGTTGGGGAGGTGGCCCAGATGGCGGGCCTGGAGGAGGTGGACGAGGGACAGCGCTCTGAGGCTCTCGCGGATACTTGTTGCGCGGAACGTTCAGCGCCGACTGTATCTGAGGTCCGCTCAGGCCTCCCGACATGGTCTCCGAAGCGGGTTGGTAGATCGGAATTCCCAGCGTTCGCCATCGTGCGCGCTCTAGGGCGTGGTGATAAGTGTTGAGGGCTAGATCGCGCGGAATGACCCACGTATCCAGCGGATGATCCTCCAGATAGCTTTGCATCTCCTCATCCTTCTCTCGCTGATAATTCTCGGTGGTTTCCCAGCTACCACCTATGGGGCGAGTGGCGACATTGGCGTACATGAGTTCCCACTCCTTGCGCTCGCCAAGCGAGAAGAGCTTCCAAGGACGAGAGGGAATATCAAACTCCAAGTCATCTGAATCGTCAGAAGACAGTGTGATTACGGAGTTGACATCGTCGAGTTCGTCCTCTCCATCGATAACTTCGTCCTCGGAAGTGAACTCGTACTCCAGGACTTGATCTTCGTCGTCGTCGTCAAGAGTATCATGAGCCAGTGCCTGGATGCGCTATCAGTATCGACGCCTCAAGTGAATCGCTAGGGTGGAAAGACAGACGTACCTTGCCCTTGCCAAGCGATGAGCGCGTGAATCTGCCTGGTGTAGTGCTGACGACCGGCCCACCCTTACCGCCGGCTTTAGGTGGAGGTGCGTCGTCGCTGTTATCCGAGATAGTGATGGTCTGGAGCTTCTGCTTAAGGACGTTGTTGTCGCCCGACTTGCGCCGAGAGGTGCGGCGCCTGCCTGAACTGGACGGTGAGTCCATATGGTGATTATCGGGTTTATCTTGTTTGAGTCTGTTAAAGTGTCCGTCAGCACCAAGTCGCCACTATTTATGTGGCTCTGCTCGACAATTCTTGGCGATATATGGAATTCTGACGTAGCTTGAGTAGCGTGCAGGCCCGAGTGAATGTTAGGAAGGTAGAGGAAGCAGACTCGGGTCCTGAGGGCCCCCGCGAAGAATGTTTTTGCAGGAAATGGTTTTTCTCTCCTGTGCATCCGCTCGACGAGTCTTGGTGTCGAAGGTGCCGCTCTGGTCTTGTTGTATTGTGTCCAAATTGGTTGTTGTGATTTCTTTCGTGGAAGAAGCCACCAAGCTGGGTGGGGCCCGGCAGGGATTTTCATTCACTCAACTTCGCAACTGCCTTGGAGCGCGAAAACGGCCGGATCGCGTTTGAGAGATGCACATTCACAGATCCGAAATCTTAAATGCTGATGGTCCAAAGAAGTCGCGAGACAGGTCTTTTGAAAATGCTTGGAGACTCACCCTGTATTGCCGTCGCAATTGCTTTCGCCGTCACGTGAGTGGCCAAACAATACGTCGATCACCACGTGTTGGACTCGTCACGAAGACCCAGTTGAATCGTCCAATCGTCGTGAGCGTGTTTTGCGCGCGATTGATGAAGAATTAGAGGTGATAGAGAGCGCGAAGGTGGTGAGTGTGTGAGAATCACAGGGAAGAGATGCACTGGAGCAGATGAAGGGGAAAAAGGTCCGAGCTGCCGCTAGCGCTGCCAAGCTTTCGCCAGATGAATCTGTTCGAAGCTTGGTCTGTGCGTCGACTAAAGCCATTTTGTGACATGTGATTCGCAGATGTGGTGAGACTGCTTGATCTCCGCGTGCTGCGCAAACTATATCCATTCCTGGTCGACACCCCCATATTCCACATAGATGAGTCGATGTCGCCCTGGTAGAAAAGGACCCAGCCGAAAGCGTACTTGCAAAGTGGACGTTCTTCTTTGCCCCGATATCTAACTTGCTTTCTCCAAGCGAACCTGGTCGCGTAGTCGAAGGTCCTGGTGGCACGCCTGCATGTTCAAGGCGTTATGACTTCATGAATAGCAGCGTCCATGGCATCATTCGATGCATTGATACGCGCTGCGTTTCTGCGTTGTGCTCAAAAAATGACCTCCCCAGAATGCTCGCCCTCGAACCCGAATTCAGCCAGCTTCTTCTGTTTCGACTTGTCGGTTCCCTTTCTATCTTGATCATGCTGCTTTTTCAAAGCAAACACCTTCTCCACGGGCGCCTGCTCGAATGGCTCGGGGACATAATCGTCTTTGTCGAGATCCTAATCATGGCTTTAGTGACGAATTCAAAAAAACCCAGCTGGCGGGGCACGTACGATTTCGCCGAGAAGAAGAACGTTCTCGCCACGAACCAAGAATAAGCCGCGCTCGATGTCTGCGTAGAGGTTCTGAACGAACAGTCGCTCAACGGTATCCTGCAGGACGAGGTTGCCTGAGCGCGCTCTGTCAATCGAAGTCGATGAGGTCCATGGTCGGTGAACGCACCAAATTGATCCCAGCTCCTCAGAACGCCAATGAGTTTCCTGCCATCGCGCAAGGCGATCATGAGTTTCTCTGAGGATAACGCTAGTTGGTCCCACCACTCAAGTGTATAATGTTCGCCCCGACTCACTATCGGTAAGGTCTAGCAGCTGCGCAGCGGTGGTGAACATCTGAGGAGGCAGCTGGGGAACGGGCGGAGGGCCAGGCGGCATGGGCATGGGCGAGCCGCTGGAGGGGCGGGCATCATGAAGATTGGGATTCTCCATGAGCTCATTTGCGAGGACGAGGGCGACGGAGGCAGAGGGTGGAGGTGAAGTCGGTCGTGTCTGCGTCTCAAGCCATGCGAGTAGACGATTGCCGTTGTTCTGGTGTCGCTCGTTCGTCATGGTGGTGGGCGCTTCGGCTCACTTGCCGCGGCCGGGTGTCTGTGCAGCGGCAGCTTGGTAGGTACGTTGTGCCAGTTCACATCACATGCGAACAAACAACACATGAACGGCGAATACCATATCGGCAAGAGAAGGGAGGAATGAACGGGTGAATGGGGATGATTGCACGATAACAACTCGTCCACCCACAGAATGCTGGCCGCTTTCAAGGCGCAGCCCATCAACGAGCTGAAGCAGCGCGACAAGTCCAAGATCGAGTCGCTCCTTGCGTACGGCGATCGCCTGCTGGTCGGCCTGAACACCGGCGCACTGCGCATCTTCCGCGTCAACGAATCCGAAGTCCAGGAGAGCAATGGAGATGGCAGCGGGAATGGTGATGACGGGGACATTGCTAGCGACCCGCCGCCGACCCCGACCAAGACCAAGACCAAGCCCGTCGAGCTGTTCCGCGAAGAAGACAAGTTCAGCAAGAAACCGATTCAGCAGCTCGCCATCGTGAAAGAGGCAAATCTGCTTGTCAGCCTGAGCGACACCTACATATCCCTCCACGATCTGCAGACGTACCAGCTGGTGGAGCGCTTGGAACGGACCAAGGGCTCTGCCTGCTTCGCCGTTACCAGCAATGTCGTCAAGGACCAAGAGACTGGCGTTCCCGGTCTTGTATCGAGGCTTGCGGTAGCCACCAAAAGGAAGTTGCTATGCTGGACTTGGCAGGATATGGAGATGCTTCCAGACATTGCAGAGATCAGTCTGGAAGCGAGCATAAAGAGCCTGAATTGGGCAGATGGCACCCACCTTATTGCTGGCATGGATCCTGGCTTTAGCGTGGTCGATGTGACGACCCAACAGGTCACTCCCGTCAACAAGCCAGCCCCCAAAACTGCTGGTAGTGTGGAAGTAAACACGGGTGAGCTGATCGGCGTACGTTTCGCCGCGGTGAGCAGCAGCGGAATGGGATACATGGGCATGGGGAGCTGGGTGCCGAAACCGATGGTAACGTCTCTAGTCAGAAACGAAGTTTTGCTGGCCAAGGACGTCAACACCCTCTTTATAGATACCGAGGGTAAAGCCTTGGAGAAGCGACAGGTTCCGTGGGCTCTTGCGCCGGAAGCAATCGGTTACAGTTATCCATATCTACTGGCGCTCAGTCCACCGGATAAAGGCACTCTGCAAATACGCAATCCCGACACAGTATCGCTACTGCAGACAATCAACGTTCCCGGTGCCACCATACTGCACGTGCCCCAGCCGAATATTAGTCTTGCTCATGCTGGAAAAGGCTTTCTGGTAGCATCGGACCGGGTCATTTGGCGAATGAACGCTCTGCCGTACCATACACAGCTGACTGAACTTTTGGAAAAGCAGCGCTTTGACGAAGCTATCAGTCTGCTGAACCTGTTGGAGGATACCCTCATTGACGACAAGCCCGGTCGCGTCCGCGAGATTATGACGCAAAAGGCAACAGCGTTGTTCCAGCAGCAGAAATATAGACCTGCGCTAGACCTGTTCACCGATGCTGAGGCTGCTCCGGACCGTGTGATCGCTCTGTACCCGAGAAGCATTGCCGGGGATCTCTCTAGTATACCTGAAGATTCGAGTGACGAACAGGCCGTGACAGACAATGCGAATTGCAAGGAAAATGACACCACCAAAGAGGCGCCGTCCACGCCCCAAAAGGGTATGCTAGGCAAGCTTCGCGGCAGTGCTAAGAAAGCAGAGCCTGACGCTGCTTCGAGCAAGTCGCCAGCTCGCGTCGACACTGATAATATGAGTATTCGTACAAAATCTAACAAGGCTCCTGACAAGGCTCTCGAAGGCGACGATCTTAAGTTCGCCGTTCGCTGCCTGTGCTCGTTCTTGGCTCAAGCAAGAGTCCAACTGCAGAAGCACATTGCACCGGACGGCTCGCTCAAGGAAGATCCACCCACTTTTGACAGTGAAAGTGGAAAGGCACCGTTTCACAATCTCCTTCCAGAGTCGGTGGTTAGTAAGCCAAGGGAAGACGTGGACTGGCAAGAGGCGCTTCTCAAGACCGCCCAACTGGTTGACACTACTCTTTTCCGATCTTACATGCTAGCAATGCCGTCACTTGCTGGTTCCTTATTTCGAATTGACAATTTTTGCGATCCGGATGTTGTTCAGGCGGCGCTTTATGAAGGCGAGCGCTACAACGATCTGATCGATTTCTTGCATGGGAAGAAGCTTCATCGGCAAGCTTTGGAGATGCTTGCGAAGTTCGGCAGAGGCGACGCGGATGGGGAAGTGCCCGAGGGCATGCAAGGACCGGAGCGCACTGTGGCCTATCTGAAACAGCTCCCACCAGAACTCGTTGACGTGATTCTCGAATTTGTCCGATGGCCAATGGAGAAAAACTCGCAAGTCGGCATGGAGGTCTTCCTAGCCGACAGCGACAATGCTGAGAGACTTCCACGGCAACAGATCATAGAGTTTCTTGCTGAAATTGACGAGACATTGGAAGTCCAGTATCTGGAGCATATCATCAACGAGTTGTGCGATGAAGAGCCCGACTTTCACCAACGACTTGTTGATCTCTACATTACCCAGTTGAAGAGAGAAGATATTGACGACGATCAGCGAACACACCTGAAAGCAAAGTTGGAGTCGTTCCTGCAGAAGAGCAGAAGCTACAATAAGAACAGGACATTTCGGCAACTTCCTGCGGACGATCCGGTCTTCTACGAGGCTCGAGCAATTGTGGTCAGCGCTATGGGCAACCACAAACAAGCACTCGAAATCTACGTCTTCCGGATTCAGGATTACGAGAAAGCGGAGAGCTATTGTAACAAGACATATCTGGAGCAGCAGGCTGATCAAGAGCCATGTCGTCTCGACAGCAATACTTCACATAAGAAGTCCTCTTTCAAGACTTTCGAGTCTGAAGATCTGACAGATACACCAAACGTATTTGCGATCCTGCTTGGTTTGTACCTCAAGCCTCCAGCCAACGAGGAGAAGCGCTGGCCGCAGGCCTTGGAGCTGCTGAGCAAGCATGGTGCACGGTTGCCCGCGAGTAGCACTCTGGAACTCATGCCCAGCGACCTCGCCGTGCAGGAGCTGCAGAATTATTTCCGAGGTCGCATTAGGAGTGCGACGTCGATCCTGCGTGAAGAGATGATCCTGAAGAGCCTGGAGGGCGTGAAGAGGGCGAATACCGAGCACGTGCTCCTTGTAGGTCCTGACAATGTGCCGGGCGGAAAGCCAATGGGTAAAAACAGACGTGTGAGGATTGGTGAGGATGATCACTGCAAGGTGTGTCACAAGCGCTTTGGGGCGAGTGCAGTGCGAGTATACCCTGACAACGAGGTCATCCATTACGGTTGCATCAATCGCAGCGGGAACAGAAGAGCGGGTGAAGGTGGTTTAGGGGGCGTGAGACGGTCTGCTGGCTGGGGATAGTTGCAATTCTTTTTCAGATGATACCCACCAATGCGCATGAGTATATGTGCTTCCACGACCAATAATTACGACAAATTTGCCACATTCTCCCACCATGGAGTGCTGGTATCACATTCTTATCTCTAGTCTCTAGTCCTCCTCTTCCTAGCCAGTGTGAGTGAGTGAGGTCACCTCACGCGCCATGCTCCTTCTTCCACTGCTCACAGAAGTCGTAGTCAATGTAACCCTGGGGACTCTTGGCATTATAGAACAAGTCCCTCTCGTACTTCCTCAACTCGATCCCGTTCGCAATCCTATAGACCAAATCCGGATTGGGAATGAAGTATCGCCCAAACACAACCGCCAAGTCGCGATCCTTGTACTCCTCATCCACCGCCCGCCGCGCGCTGTCCGGCGTGAACCCCCCGGCGATCAACACGGGGCTCGTCGCGCCCCAGACCTGCACCAGCGCATCAATCTTCTCCGTCGCTTCAATGTCCGCGTTGCCCGAGATGCGCGACTCGACGAGGTGCAGGTACGCCGGGCGCAGCCGGCGCAGCTCCGCGGCGAGGTGCGTGAACTGCGGCATGGGATCGGCCATTTTCATGCCCTGGAATTCCGAATAGGGCGAGAGGCGGATGCCCGTCTTGTGCGCGCCCACGGCGGCCATGACGGCTTTGGTCACTTCGACGCCGAAGCGGGCGCGATTGGCGATGGAGCCGCCCCATTGGTCTGTGCGCTTGTTGCAGGTGTCCTGCGTGAACTGGTCGATCAGGTAGCCGTTGGCGGCGTGGATTTCGACGCCGTCGAAACCGGCTTGGATCGCGTTGCGGGCGGCCGTGGCGTAGTCGGCGATGTACTGCCAGATCTCGGCCTCGGAGAGCTCGCGGGGCACGGGGGCGTCGGGGGCATAGGGGGTTGGGGAGGAAGAGACGACGTCTCCCGTGCCCTCGGCCGTCTTGATGCCCGGGTTCGCGACGCGTCCGAGAGCCCAGAGCTGGAGGTAGATGTAGGAGCCCGCCTTGTGGACCCTCTCGACAATCTTGCGCCATCCGTCAATCTGTTCCTGGTTCCAGATGCCGGGTACGTTGGGGTATCCGGATGCTCGGGGAGAGACGAGGACTGCTTCGGAAACGATCAGGGTTCCCGGGTAGGCTTTTGCTCGCTGTTCGTAGTATTCCTGTGCCATGTCCATCACAACGTGGTTGTCCTCTGCGCGAAAGCGCGTCAGGGGAGCCATGACGATGCGATTTGATAGCTTCATGGATCCGATCTGCAGAGGCTCGAAGAGCTTGCTCTTAGGCGGTGCGCTGCCCATGGTCAAGGCCGTATCAAGGAATGAAAGTGTGAGATAGCAGAGACAACAAAGAACAGATCTTCTTTGGGCGAGAATGGGAAATGTGAGGAAAGATACCTTACTTATCTATACGACGAGAGATCTAGCCGCTTCGCCCAAGTTCGATTTATCAGCGTCTCGACTCTGGGAGAGCGACTAAGCTCTGCGATGCGGGTCGACGCGACGAAGTTGCAAAGATTTGGGGGAGGCCCACCGTCAAGTGATTCGCCGCGGGCAGATACGCTGCGTAGATGGAATCGGAAAAATCGGAAAAGACTCGGCCCTCCCGCCGTCCAACTTGCCGATTACCTCATGGCCTTGAATCCCTGTCACATTCATAACCGTAACCCATAGAATTGCTCTTGTACTGTTGCTGTTCCAAGAAAGGCGCTAAAATGCAGGGACAAATCGAACCGTGGCGAATGATGCACAACATGCCTGGTCTACTGACCAGTTTCGGTTTCCTGCACAACGATTAGCAAACGCGACAGGAGAGTCCGGAGTTTGGGGACGACTTACAACACCAGGCTGTCTGCCATTCAGTCCGCCAGTGACCTTGTTCTTGAGTTTTCTGATCCCAATTACACCCTCATCCTTTGCAAACTTCAGATTTCTCGCCGGCTTCCACTGCATAAGGCCTCGCTGCTTACGCTCCTCGGTCCGCTTGTTCTGCTTGTTGACGTCTTTCTGCGACAGGAAGCTATCGTTGGTACCGGCGGTCCAGCCAGACTCCATGGTGCCTATCGACTTGCGGCCGGATGCTGGAGAAGAGCTGCCTTCCATGTTTGTTGCGTCCTGAATTCCGAGGTCATCGTCGTCATCATCGTCATCGTCATCGTCCTCGTCTGCCGTCAAGCCATCCGTTTCCTCACCCTCACGAGGAGCCTTGCCTGGCTCTGCAATCTTCCTGCCATGCTCGTCGAGAAAGGCCGCAGGATCGTCACCAAAAGCTCCACTCCAATCAGTGCCAGTCTTTGAAAGCCACTTTCTCTTCTCCTCCTCAGGAGCCTCCTTCAGTACGTCACGTCCTTCTGTGAGACTCTCCTCGTGTAGGGTTTGAACGCGCTCCGGAAGCTCCTTCTCAACCTGTCGCGTTCGGACACCCTCAGCCATGCAAGCCTCCCATGTCTCATATGTCTCTCTCGAATTGTTGTCTGCGACGAAGGCTTCGTGACTCTCGTCCATGCCAGCCTTGAAGCGACCAGTAAATTGCAAGCGACCGATCTCCTTGATGTCTTCGAGGCCTGGCAGATTGCCTTCTGCAACCATCTCGGGCGTGATGTAATTCTGCGTCAGGCGCTGGGGAGCCGCGGTCTGGTAAATAGGGATATCCAGGTCCTTGTCTTCGTTGTCGACAAGCTCTTGCAGCCACAGAACAGCGTATGCGTCTGCCTTGCGCTTGTTCGCAACATGCATCTCAAACACAACGGGAGATCGGTAACGGTACTTGACAGGCAGACGGATCGGCTTTCCATCCTCTTGGCCAGCCTTGAGATCCCAGTAGTATCCAGAAGTCTCGCCCTCTTTGAGTTGGTGGCAAGAAGAACGGCCGATCTTCCCCATAGATCCACCAGTCCGTAGCTTGATGCGTGCATGGTGAGGATAGTCTTTCGCAATGAGATTTGGAGATGTGAACATGAAGGTTCCAACATCCCAGCCGAGTTGGGTAGGTGGCAGTCGAGTCTCGATGGAGCGGAAGAGCAACGAGATGCGGATACGCCCAAACCCAATACCGCCATCAAGGGGATACCACCTCGTCACCTGACTGCTGGTCTCGAGAATGTCGGATAGCTTCAGTGGAATGACACCGAGGATCGGGTCGTGTTGTCGATTACGCTGGTCGCGGACGGTCACAGTGATGATGCCGCTTCGCCAGTCGCGGACAAAACGCTCGGTTCCAGCATTGAAGATGGGTTGGCTGCTGACTGCCTTGCTTCTGGTGCGGTAGACCAGCTCGTCGTTGAACAAGATAGAACAGTAGGAGGTCGGCAAATGGCTGCCTTCCTCGTCAGTCTGTTCGCCATACTCCTTCGCCGGCGCGTACTCGCGTCCGTTACGGCTACCTTGTGTGCCCTTTACGTTCTCCAGCTCAAGATTGACGATCTGGTGGATGACGATGGAGCAGATACCGCTTGGCCACAGTGGGTCTGGTGGTGTATGCTGAACGGCATCGTCTGTTGAAGTGTTTGCTTGGCCCTTCTCGTCTTGCAGTTCTGGATGATCGCGCAAGTTACTGGGCAGAGCCTTGTTCTTGCCGTCGGTGCGGAGCGCTGGTCGGAACTGAGGCTTTCCGAAATAGCCCACCTCCCAATGCAGCTCGCCTGGCATTTCTGACCCAGCATCCATACCGGCAAGTTTGGAGACTTGCGGATACATCTTGCCAGGGTGCTGAATCATCTTCTGCATGCTCAGTTCGACCTTGCCGACGATGTCATCTGCTGAATGGCGATCGCTGTCCCAGAGCTCAACACTCAGGTTCTCGTCGGCCTTGATTAGTTCTGGGGTCACCAGCAGAGCCGTGGTCTCCTCCCACACGGGGTTCAAGTCGTCGGTAATGACGCGAGTGCAATACATTGGCTTTCCGTATTTTGAGAATGTGAGGGTGATGTATGGGTCGCTACCTCCCCACTTGCTTCCCCTCTTGTCTTGCTTGCTGAGACCGACGGCCTTGTGAATGCGAATCCACATGACCCCGAGAGCCTGTGTATCTTTGGTTATGTCGTCTCCCTGTAGCATGGCTCGCATGTCCAGTGACATTGACTTCGGAGCAACGTACATGGACGCAGCTGCGCCGATCGCATAGTTCACGAATTGAGAGATGAGTGGCAAGTTGAGAATGTTCACTCCCTTCTCGATCATGGGAATACAGCCCGCGCTGACCTGAGGTACTCCCATGAGGGTGAAGGTCAAAGTCTTCAGAAACGGTGGTTCCGGAGTCATTGCCATCCGCAGGCGAACAGTGCCAACAAGCTCTTGCAGCTCGACGAAGATTGGCAGAGGAACGCCAAAGAGGCCCTTGACACCCAAGTAGAAGACCAGCTGCATGTGCATGTTGCGCGCCTTGTCGCTGGCCCGCTTGCCACTCGGCGCTGCGTGGTACGCAAAGCTAATCTCGAGATTGTAGTAGTCGCCTCCTTCTTCGTCAGCGGCTGCTTCTTGAGGATCTTTGGTCTTCTTGTTCTCTTCGTGTACAGCTTGCTTGATATCTTTGACTTGGTCGTCTGGCAATGCACGAAGACTCAAGATGCGGATTGGGTTGCTTCCTTGGCTGATCTCAGCCACTCGCACGTTCTCGATGATGCCAGGAACCGAAGCCTGCATGACATCTTCGAGGGTATCAGCGACGGCCTGGAACATGTCTGGATTGACCAGACCCCAGACAACGCCCAATAGAGTGTTCATCCACTCCACAGATTCTGGCAAGAGGTTGGCGGTGGCTGTCTGGCCGCGCTCCTTTTCGGAGGACCATTCGACCTCTCTCCCAGACCTGACAACTTCCTTGATGAAAAGCCAGACACCGCTGGCTACGCAGGCGGCGAGTGGAATCATGCCAATGTACTTGCCACCGAACGTACGACCGAGGATTATGATGCCAAAGAACAGACCTACGACCAGGAAGAGACCACGCTCCTCCAGACGACGGAAAGTCGGCTCATAGCTGACTGACGGAGTTGGGTGGAAGAGGATGTTCGTCTTCTCGCCGTGGATGGGCACATCACTCGTAGAGCCCTCCACGACCGGATCGGGAGGTGCTGTGATATCCTGCTTCTCCTTGTACTCCGCGCCGCTCTGCGATGCCTCTGTCTTGACCGGCGTGTCCTTGCCCAGGTTCGCATTGGGTACGGAGAGGACGGGATTCTTGGCCCGCTCTTGGAAGGCCTCGTTTACATCTTCGATCACGACCTGCCTGCCCGTGGTAGGGTCTGTGACGGTCTTCTGGTGGCTTGACTGTGGTTGGGGCTCGTTCTGGTGAGGCACCACCTCTCCATCAGTGCGACGTTGCTTGTTCTGCTGGTCGATATGCTTGTCCCGCTCCTTCTTGTCCTTGTCGAGCTTCTCGATGAACTGTCCCACCGTGGGAATCTTGTTTCTGCCGGAATAGGCACCGCCCGGAGCGTGCTGTTGCATCTGTTCGCCGTCCGCCATCCTGATCCTCCGGCGCTGCTAGTCCGCAGCCCGATACTGTCTCCCGCTGTACTGTACAAGGCTAGCTCTGCTTCTGATTCTAGGGAGGTATAGTCGCTCAACTTGGAGGAGTGTGACGGCTCGTGTGTGTGCTTTTGGGGGGGGGGAAGAGATGGGCTGTGGGAGGGAAGCTCAGGAGCCGTGTGTCGTCGTCGATGGGTGTGTGTGTGACGCGAAAACAGGAAGAGGTATCGAGCCGGACGGGACAAAGGCAGCAGAGCAGCAGCTAGAGCAGATGACATTGTTGGCGCTTCCAAGCTGCTGCAACGCACGCGCACATCAACGCGAGGCACGACGTCATCATCTGCCTGCATCCCATCTCATGATTCCCACCACACACCTGCACCTTCACGACCGCCGCCCCACTTCCTCCTCATCGTTGCCAGGCAAATTTCCATTGCGCAAGGAATATCGCGGACCCTTGCGGAATATCGCGGAAGGTCTTGCTGTGAAGTGACGGCGGGGAGGGTTGTGGAGGAGTTGGAAGGGTGAGGTGGCATTAATGGGGTGAAGAGATTCTACCGCCATTGCATTGCACTTCCTCTCCGGCCCGAAGCTCTGCGGCCTGATTCTGCCCGACACCTCGCCAATGCCGATGTCACATGCACACATGTGGATGAAGCTGCAACAGGGATCCGCCCCCCGGCCAAACCAGATCGCCGTTGATCTCACAGCACAGCCACTGTGCAGCCACATTTGCAGCAGGGAGGCGCCCAGGGAGTGTCTGTATCCCAGCGTGTTCATAATAGCTTCACACTGTGGCTTTGATAACAATCCGCCCTCAACACCCTGGGACCATGAGGTGATCTCCTGTCAAAGAAGCCGCGTGTCCCCGCAGTTGGACAGCTTCCCCCAACGTCAAGGCGCGTGGTACGGACATGGATGTTGCCAAGTCAATGCCGATGTCTCGTGATCGCTATGCTTGCTTCTCTTCATCCACCTACGAACACATACATGAACCTATTCGTCCGAATTCCCCACGCTTCTCTCCGTCTCCTGCAAACGTAGCTCAAAGGCCTGGGTATTAGAGCGCGGCAGATAAAGCAGTCTCTGCGTCGCTCTGCCGACTCATCCTAACATTACAACGCACATTGATTTTCGCAAAGTCTTTTCCCTCGGACATGCCTGTTCAGGGAGTAAACTTCATCTATTCTTTCCCAGCAGCAGGAACCCATGTCGTCCGCCCAGATACCGACGCCTTTCCATCATTAACGTATATCCCATGTCTCAGCAATAGAAATCGTGCCACACTCCGCCTTGGGGGAACTTGCTCAGGTGAAGATGGCTCGCATCGGAGAAACCTGGCCGGTGTACCCATGGGTCCTGCGAAATCACTCCGCCTGCGTGTGTCGGAGTCCCCTGCTGTTGCGGATCTCCATGCAGGCCGAATCGCGGCGACATGGTGGGCTGGACATGCTCGCCTGCATGGTGGCCGTGCACTCCGAATTTGGGAGCAACAGTCCGCAGTGGCATGTAGTTGTGCGGCGGAACGTCGCCTGCCAGCTGAGGTATGCCTCGGAAGAAGTCCATATCCATTCTCCAATTTGTCATGTCCAACAGCGAGGCTTCATACACCGGATTGAGCTGGTACAGCTGGGTGTCCGGCGAGAGGGTCAAGATATCGAACGGTTCGCCTCTCCAAGTTACCCGAAGATTTCGTACAAAGAATGCCCAGAACTTGTTTGTTAACCGGTCTTTTTCCGAGGCAATGAGGCGGTCTCGAAGACGGGGCCACGTCAAATGGTCTATCACGGGATCGTGGAAGAAGACTTTTTCTGAGAATCTGTCGACAGTCAGCCTAGGTTCGTCTCCAGCAGATCCCGAGGATACTCACTGTGGTCTGAACCATGGAGGCGGTGGACCCGCAGTGGGCAGATTTGCGTTGACCTCATACAGGTATCGCCTATGCAGCATCCTCAGACAACTGATTCGCTCCACCATCTGACAGTCTCGAAAGAGGTAGGTGTCGACTAATCGCAGAACATTCCATAGAGGGCAAGCCTGGTGATATCGAGCCAGCGTCTGATTCCATCCCTTCAGCACAGCTGTCACGATAAGGTCTTGATTGTACTGATCGTCGAAACACACCACGTTCGGGGGCAGAGTTCGGATGTAGTTGACCAGATTGTTGAGGAAACATGTCAAATGACGCCCGTCTGGTCGGGTTCTAGCGGTGCTTGTCACGTCCGTGAAATCGGGCGCGACCGATTGACGAGCGGGTTCTCCAATGGTCTCGTGAACGTCAGCGCCCTCCCTCGGCTCGAAATTCGCAGGAATCGCAGGCGTCGTTGCTGCATTGTTGTCCGTAAAATAGGCTCCCCTGGGAGAAGTCATGGACGGGGTTGGAAGTAGTTCGAGTTCGCCATTGTCAGAACCAAGCTGAGCACCGTCCTGGGCTTCTCCTTGCCTTAGCACCTCTGACCATGGTTTCACTTCAGAGTTCTTAACACACGTACCGGACTCGTTCCATTCTACGGCACTTCCAGAAGGCTGACGGTCGCCAGCATCAGGCGGGTCGGACACTGCTGAGGCAGCATAGTGAGCGTCTTCGTTGTCTTCGGACTTGGGAATGGCGGTATTGGGTTCCGACGAGGTTTTCTCCAATGACAACACCCTTGCCTCGAGCCCCGTCAGGCGATCCTGGACCTCTTTCTTCAAGAATCGGTTGGCCTTGCGATCTGCTTCTTGCTTCCGTGCGCGCTGCTCTGGAGTGAGAATCCGCCCGGACGCCCAAGGCTTTTCTACGCCGCCGCCACGTTTGCTGCCGCCTCCGCCGGTGCGACCGCTCATCCTATTCCAACGTCAGAGGTGCGAGAGGGATGCCGCGAAGATCCAGGAAATCGGGCGCATGCGGTGGAAGGAAGATGGAGGTAGAGAGTACAAGCATCTGGCGAGAGCGGGAGAGGCTCATGCACATGACGCTATGGGGCCGTCCACATCCACAACGCCTCCCTCGACGCGCCCAGGAGGAGAGCTGGGCGGCTGAGCTGAAGTGAAGTAATGTAATCTGAACGTGTGGACGCGAGAGTGTGCCTGTGCCTGTGCCTGTGCCTGTGCCTGTGCCTGTGCCTGTGCCTGGGAGAGGAGGACGAGGGCGTGTTCTCATGAGCGCGAGCAGTAGTGACGAAAGGGCGCGTCCAGATCTTCACTCAAGCCTCACTGGGCACCCACGGCACCAAGCACCTTTCACAGTTTGCTTTGGTCCCTCGACCACGCCGTAGGCTGCACGCTTCCCCGCAGACGTTTGGGTGGCTTTTCACATTTTTTTAGTCTTCCACGCTGCCAGACAAGCCAGAGCTGCTTCTGCTTGGCTGCTCCGACACGGAAGACGTCCTGGCCGGCGATCGTCAACGTTCGTACCGGCGATCCATGTCTTTTCGAGCCTAACGAGAAGCTTCTTCCACCTATTGCTCGACGTTCGCAAACGCTCTGGATGTCACGTGTCTAGATAGTAGGTGTGCGAGCGCACCATCCACGTGTTTCTGCCAAACCATATCGCGATATCACAGATTTACCATGGAGCTGTCGAATCGCAGAGCGTCTCTTTGTTCATCCTGCGCCGGGCGATCATTCCGATTCGTTGTGTGGTGGTGTGGTCGCACACTGAGCGTTAGTAATCCATAGTCCATATCAGCGCTCGACAGGCTCTCCCTTCGATTCGCAGATACATCTCTGCGCAAACCTGAGAGGCACGAACATGGCTCGTACGAAATGACTCGTGTGCTCTGCTCGAAGTTGTTGTACATACATGGCCAAAAGCCAATGCCGCGTGCGGGATGCCACATGCGCCAAGACAAACGCTAGACTTGATGCGACAGCTCTCATATCACGCTGCCACCGCGTGATACATTGTACGCTCTCTACTATCTTCACGAGCGGGCCATACCACTGGAAGGAGCTGTTGTAGCAGTCGCATTGTGTATTGCACTCCTATTCTGGCCGTCGCTGGCCGTCGCATTGCGCCAAGCCGGCCGGCCCAGCTGACTACATGCACCTCACCTTACGAGATGACCGAAGCGAATTGAGCAAGCAAGCAGGGCGCCCAGGGCTTCTACAATGTTTTCCTCTGCGCTGAAATCGTTCAGCTCGAACATTGCGAGCAACTATACCCTTGCCCCCCAGCCGAACAGCATTTCGGGACCATGGAGGATATTCGACGCGAAGAGGAAGCAGACTGGCAAGGCCGCGAGCGTGTTCGTGTTCGAGAAGAAGAATCTCGAGGCGCCTGGAGGTGGTCTGGGAGGGAGGAGCAGCGCAAGTTCGGTCAAGAGGGCGTATGAGGAGGTGCTGGAAAGGTTGAAGAGAGAGGCCAGCAGCCTTGCGAGGTTACGGCACCCCTCAATTCTAGAGCTGGCAGAGCCGGTGGAGGAGACGAGGAGCGGAGGGCTGATGTTTGCGACGGAGGCAGTCACCTGCTCACTGGCCGGGCTGCTACAGGAGAAGGATGAACAAGAGCGCGCTGGTGGGAGAGCGAGTCGCTATGTCGTGGAAGACTCCGACGGCACAAGGAGGCGGCGAGAGCTCGAGATTGACGAGTTGGAGATACAAAAAGGACTTTTGCAGCTCGCGAAGGGCTTGGAGTTTCTGCACGAGAGCGCTGGGCTGGTGCACGCCAATCTCACTCCGGACGCGATAATGGTCAATGCAAAGGGAGACTGGAAGATATCAGGTCTCGCATTCTGTGGGCCGCATGAGAGCAGCACTGCAGCAACGTCTTTGCCTCCAATCAGCCTTCATGAGGTTTTGAATCATGATCCGCGGCTGCCCAGAAGTGTGCAATTGAATGTCGACTACACAAGTCCGGACTTTGTCCTGGATAACACCCTTGCGGCATCTGCTGACATGTTCTCTCTTGGCTTGCTGATCGTCTCTCTGTACAACCATCCTCACACATCGCCGCTGAGTACTGGAGGATCACTCTCCTCATACAAGCGCATCTTCTCCAGTTCCTCCACCACACCAACTCGAAACAATAACTTTCTGGTCCCGTCATCGCACCCTCTCCCGCCCAAGCTGGCATCAGAGTTGTTGCCAAGACTGATAACGAGACGGCCGGCACAACGACTGTCGGCCAAGGAATTTCAGGAAGCTAGCTACTTTGATAACATCCTCGTCTCAACCGTTCGCTTCTTGGATGCCTTGCCTGGGAAGACGCCCAATGAGAAGATGCAATTCATGCGTGGTCTGCCCAGGATCATGCCACAATTCCCGAAGAGCGTGCTGGAGAAAAAGGTTCTACCGGCTCTTCTTGAAGAGATGAAGGATAAGGATCTGCTCGCACCCATCATGACCAACATCTTCGCGATGGTGAAAACGATGCCTACGGGAAAGCGCACCTTCACCGAGAGAGTGGTTCCTAGGCTTAGAGAAATTTTCCTCACGAGCAGCTCTTCTGAAAAGGACACTGCTAAGGAGGCTGGTTTGATGATCCTACTGGAGAACATGCAGACTGTGGGCGAGGTTTGTTCAGGAAAAGAGTTCAGGGAGGACATACTACCCATCGTAATGATGTCGGCAGAGTCGCCTACACACGCATTGGAAGATGCTGCGCTCAGCACACTGCCATTTGTTCTGCCATTACTAGATTTCAGCACGATCAAGAACGAGCTGTTCCCTGTTATTGCTAACCTCTTTACAAAGACTAGCAGCTTGAGTATCAAGATTCGGGGACTCGAAGCCTTTTGTACACTCTGCGGCGGCGCACCAGCGTCCGAAGCGGCATCTGATGACGATCTGAACGGCATTGGGGTTCCTGACAAAAAGCAAAGCACCACCTCAAGCAGTGCTATCTTGGACCGATACACAGTACAGGAGAAGCTGGTGCCGCTTCTGAAGGGCATTAAGACGAAAGAACCGGGTGTGATGATGGCTGCTTTGAAGGTGTTTCGACAGGTCGGGGAGGTGGCTGACATTGACTTCCTGGCTATGGATGTACTTCCTATTCTGTGGTCCATGAGCCTGGGGCCATTGCTAAACCTTCAGCAATTCCAAGCGTTCATGTCATTGATCAAGAACCTGAGTGGAAAGATTGAAACAGAGCATACTCGCAAGCTGCGAGACCTCTCGAATAATGGTGGAAATTCTGCGAGTGCGAGGTCAAATGCCGCTGGCAGGCACGTGGCAGGCTCGAGCGAGGCACACAACGGCCTTACCAATGGAGACGATGCAGACTTTGAGACTCTCGTGTCAGGACGGAAGCAAAATCAGAATGGAGACCTGATGAACGATTGGGGAGTAAACCGAGGCGCGCCGGCCAGGAGCAACGACGCACCAACGTTCTCTTGGCAGACACCCGCGTCAACATTGCAACCATCCACGTCGATAAACAGGGCTGTGACGCCGGATCTGGCCTCGTTTGCTGCGTTAACGCCAAGCAGTCAGTTCTCGCGGCCTTTACAGCCGGGACGAACGAATTCATCGACCCCAAGTATGCCACCAACAGGCACGGCGCAGGCGACGGCGGGCCTGACGGGTGGAGCGAGCATCGACTGGTCTGCAGCTGCGAGGAGCTCTCCATCCCCATGGAGCAGCCAGGCACCAACACAACCATCATCCCTCAATGGACTGGGGTCTGCGCCCAGAAGCGCATTCAGTATCCCGCCTCCTCCCACCAGCCCCCCCTCCGTTGGGCAAGCTCCTTCCAGCTACAACTTTCCCACTCTAGGATCATCCACCACTGCACGACCGCAGAACAACAGCACGTCGAGCGGACAAAAGAGCGGGCTGGACAAGTACGAGAGCTTACTATAGCTGCCGTAGGGGTTACTTCTGTACGCGTGCCATGACTTTCCTTTCCCAGAATTGTGATCAAAGGCGTGAAACCGTCTTCCGACGTCCACGCTGGCCTCCAAAGGAAGTCGCCTGTAGGAACAAAGAATCGGCCAGAGATGTTTTGTCCAGCATTTGAAATGTGAGTAGACAATGCATTGTTCAATTATTCTGCTCTGCTGCTAGCCTAGCCTCAAAGGCTTTGTCGGGGCAGTAAAGGATTCCAAAGAATTCCATTGTGATTTCTCTCAAGTGACTTCGCACAAAGGCATTATTTCTCTACAACGCATTCTCCATGGGCGGCAGTATATTAACCCTCATCGAGCAGGCTATGCCAAAATGCCAAATCCCATCCCATCCAAGCACAGCACAGCAACACACGACACACTTTCACGACACGATCTCACTCACTCACAAACAAACAAAACAAGAAAAATCACTCCATTCGAAATCCCCCCCCAGCGATCGAGAAAAAGCACCGCGACCCGACCTCGACTCACCCGTCATGCCTGTCGAGACACGCGCTGCTGAGCAGCGTCGCCTGAACGCACCACCCCCCGCCGTCCCCGTCCCGTTCACGTGTGTCGCCTGCATGGACGACCACCCAGCCCTAGCCATCGACGTGGCAGGCAACCCCATCTGCCCAGCCTGCTACCATCGGGGCATCGCGCCGCAATTCGAAGCCGCACTGCGGGACGAAGCTCGATACCCGCCGCGATGGGCCGACCAGCCCCTGGGCATCCAGCCTTTCGCAGACCAGGGTCTCATGACCCCGGAGTTCCGTCAGGACTACGAGCTTCGGGAGCAGGAATATGCCATCCTGGCCAGGGACCGAGTGTACTGCAGCTGTGGGCAGTTCCTGGGCGCGCGGGCGACGCACACGGTGCGGACGCGATGCGTGCGCGATGGGAGGCGGACGTGCCCGGACTGCTTGGGGACGTTTCAAGGTACGGTGCGCAGCCACATTTGCCATTCTTCTGAAGAGATTGACCATTTCCAGGGCCTCGTGCAGGGTCGCGACTACCAGATCTGCACGTGTGGATGCGTCGTGGAGCTGACCTCTGGCTGCAACCATATGACGTGTCGAATGCCAGCCTGTCGACGGGAATTCTGCTACATCTGCGGAGAGGACGCGGTCGAGGAGTCGAATCACTGGGCGCCGGGAGGATGTCCGAAATACCATCAGCCCGGGGCAGCAAATGCTCGGCATGCACTCTTCCACGATGAGGAAGAAGATGAGGAAGATGAGGAGTATGATCTGCTAGAGCAGGATGAGCAAACTCAGAGAGTGTGGCGTTTCTCCAACTTGCTCGACCACGAGCACATGCGTGTAGTCGAAGGTGATGCGGAGAATGCGATCATGCGAGCGATCATGGCAAGCCCCGAGAACCAGCTGCGAAGAATGCATGCCCGACAACTGCTGCGCATCCAACGACACGCCCATTCCCTCGCCTACACTCGCGGACTGGATCCTGACGTCCGAGTCGATATGGGGGTCGTCGGAGGCCTGCTCAACCTCATGCTAGACCAGAGCTACAATCTTTCCATCTACGTCATGCACATGATGGGAGGCGTAGGACCGGACCTCGATCCGCATGTCGTGTTTGGGCCTCTCGAGGTAGGACATCTGATACGAGTTCTGACGGGGCTGACACATCTTGGAGCCTTCCCAAACGTCATGCAGCGCCTGGCGCCAATCGTTGAAGCGTACATGCACGCCGCCGAAGGTCGTTTCGAAGCTCTCAATGGCATGGCTCGGAATGCCCTTCAGAACCATGCAGCTGACGAGTAGTTCCAACAATGAGCGCGAAGGGTGGAAGGCCAGGAGTTCTGAAAGGGTGTAATGATGTGGTTAGAGCAATCTCACTACGGCCGGTCTTGGGGAGAGGGGGGAGGCCATGGACTGTAGTAATTTTGGACCGCTGAAATCGAAAAGGGGCACGGATTGGGTGGCAATTTTTGAAGAAGGCTCGGGGATCTGGCGCAGGCAGGGTTCAAGAAGGCGCATGCAGCTCGCTTATGGAGTAGCGTCGGTAATAATCGAATTGGGAATTTGCAAAACACATATCTGGATGTGAATCATCATTCGTTCTGTGCCCCGTGTCAGTCAGTATACGTATGAAGGCTTTGGCAGATGATACTGTCCTGAATCCGTTCCAAGTCACGAGCTCTCAATCGTACCGCAGCTGATTACTCTGTGGCATTGGAGGGTCATGTGCTGGCGACAGTCGATGCAGGTCATTGCGGTGGCCAATGGTCATCTTGAGGGACGAAGCGCCGTGGAGAACCAAGAGCATGTCGAGACAGAAGAGCTCGCGCGCTTGGCAGCCGGCTGAGATGAAGCGAAAAAGAGTCCAAGAGCTTTTGTAGGGTATCTTCGCTATGCATCAGAATCAGCACGAACGCCGGCGAGGGATCTCTCAGTCGAGACCAGCAAAGCTGAAACTGCTACTAGCCGCGGGTCCCTTGCCTCGCTTTCTCTTCTTGCGACGCTTGCGCCCCTTCTCTCCATCGTCACTGCTGTTGCCTTCGTCTTCCTCCTCCTCCTCCTCCTCCTCCTCCTCCTCGTCGCTGTCGTGACTTTTCGCGCGTTTGACCATCGCAACGCCGTCGTCCTCATCCTCGTCGGCTTCCGGCTCGATACTTTCTTGCCAGACTTTGATAGTCTGACCTCCGCCAGATATCATCCTCCCGCCCACATCGAAGTCGAGCGCGACCACCCCTTCTACCTCGTCGTGTTGAAATTCGCCAACGACTCTGTTCATGCCCAGCCGTACTACACGCACTCTGCCATCTCCCATGCCGACCGCAATCTTCTTGCCCAGACCGCCGATGCCGTCCGGGATTTGTGCCATGCAGTCCAACGTCTCCTTCTCTCTGCTGACGGTGATGCGCTCGTCTTGATCGTCCCATTGCCCTTTCTCCCACAGTGTGATGACCCCATCTCCACCACCCACGACCGCTTTCTCGCCGGTACTGCCACTGCTCTTCTTGGCCGCGAGACCTGTCACGTACAGACATGACAGAAGTAACTCTTCTTGATCCTCACTCTTCGCCAGCACGCCCCGTCTCAGATCAGTCAGTGCGAGTGTGGTGCTGCCGGTCGTGAGCCATTGTTTGCTGAAGCCGGAAGTCGATGTGGCCGAGGGAGGGATGGGAGACAAGGAGGATATATAATCGGCATGTGGGTGGTAGGTCTGGGAGGGCGTGCCGGTAATGAACGCGGTCTTGGATTCGTGCACGGGCAAGCTGGGGGCTGGGTCGCGCAAGTCGTAGAGGTGCAGGGCGCCGGAGTCGGTAGCGAGAAGCAATGTCTGTGGGCTCAGCGCATGGACGACCGTGGGGGCATCGATGGTCGCTCTGGCCGCGGAGGGATCGTTGGGGATGGCGAGCTTGCCGGTGACCTTTCCCGTCTCGCTGTCCGCGGCCTTGACGAGTCCGTCGGTGCCAGCTGAGTAGAGCTGTCTCCCATCTACGCTGTATGCCAGATATCTGCAGCTTCCCTTGTGTCTCTTGGTGCGCCAGGTCGTGTCGATGACCTGGGTGCCATTGCTGCCGCGTCGCGCGGGCTGCTTGGTCTGGTCATCGTCGTGACCATTGTCGTCTGCGTCTACGTCTACGGGTGGAAGTCTGAGGGTTGCGACATGGCCGCTGCTGAGCCCGACGGTGACGAGCGGCTCGGTGGGATGGAGGGCCTGTGCGAAGAGCTCCGACGACAGCGGAAGGGTGCAGATGGTGTCGAACATGGGCTAGAGCATGCGGAGGTGGGTGTTGTTGGGAGAGAAGTAGTTAGTAGTGTAGCTTGGTGTAGGAGATGATTTCCCATTTTTGCCGGAGCTGTTCCGCACAGCACAGCACACACAGCTTGCTGGATGAGGTGCAAAGAGATGAGATGACATGCATGATCAATGCCAGATGACGTGCAGCACGGGAGATACTATGTACATCCAATGTACAGTATCCACTTCACTCGATCCTTCTTATTAGTAGCAGCAAGAGCATCCTCACATGTAACTAACTTGACTCGGTCGAGGTAATTACTCCTTCTATATTATTAATATCCCTTTGCCTCCCGTCAACCCTCCAGCAAGCATGGTTCTGAAGAGGACCAAACAGAATCAAATCTCCTTTGGCCGTAAGCCTCCCCTCCCCTCACGAGATAGACGTCCCTCAATGGCAACATCTCATCTTCGCAGATTGCGACACGCGGACGGGCCAGCGAGTCTATCCGCCGCCTCCAGTGTCGCAGATGACCGATCTGCTTCCCGAGCAGCAGCCGCCGGATCGGAAGCCTGCATTCCGACCCGAACCCGAGGACGGCGACGCAATCGACGACATGTACGTGAAAATCACCACCTGGCCGCCGCTTGGTCAGGCGTCCACCATCGCTCGTCACCAGCACAGCGTTCGCTTCACCGTCCTCCTCGAGACCGCCGCTCCCAGCATCGTGAGCCCGGAGGATCAGGATCAGGAGGAGCCTCAGGTTTGTGTCTGGCATAACCACGGAGGACACGACGCCTGGGCAGAACTCCCTCTCAAGCCAACTTCCACCTGCGACCATGTCCTGTTGCTGAACCGCCCGCCGCCTGGCAGAGGCATCTCGAAGAGGTACTTCACCGCGGAGCTTCCAGGTCTCCCCAAACATGGCCAGGTCTGCTCTTTTACCGTCAAGTTCTTGATCGATACCGAGCATGGTTGGAGGTGGATTAGAGACACGACTGGCATTCAAGACGGCCAGCTTCACTACCAGAGCACGGATTACGGCAAACATTCTGCCTACGACCTAAAGCACTTCTTCAACGGCATCAGCTCCGACATCGCAATCCAGAGCGAGCGGCCGGATACTGATGACACATTTCTGTATTCCCTTACGGCTCCTGTTAGTCCTGCTCAAGGTCAGCATTCTGGCTGGTCACATCACCAACTTGGCACTCCCAATTCTTCTTCGAGGTGGTTTAGCTTGGTCCGACTGTGGTCTCCATGGCTTGCGCCCCGACAAGGATCAGGAACATTTCAAGTCGACAAAGATGCCGTCTTGCTGTCATTTCTTCGGACCGACGGCCTCCATGTGGTCGTGCTTGGCATCAGTGGTGTCGACGACCTGATGACTACCTTCGTCAACGACAAACATGGCAATGTCATCATCAAGTGCCGGAACGATCGTACTAGCGCTGGAAACGCAACAGTATTGGCGGCCGTTGCGGATAGCTTCGAAGTGGCGAATGCTGCCGTCTTCTACCATGCACGAAAGGTTGTGGGTTCGTACACTAATGCTCCCGTTGACGACCAAGTACAGACTATGATGGATTCGATCAAGCCAGAGTGGCTGGAGGAATGGTACGATGGCCTGACTTACTGCACCTGGAATGCACTGGGTCAGAACCTGACAGCCCAAAAGATATATGATGCTCTCGACGACTTGTCCAAGAACAACATCAACGTCACAAATCTCATCATTGATGATAACTGGCAATCTCTGAACAAAGGAGAGACTCAGTTTCTCCGCGGCTGGCAGGGCTTTGAAGCCGATAGAGATGGCTTCCCAGAGGGCATGAAGGCTACAACAACTGAGATCCGTAAGCGTCACCCCAACATCAACCATATCGCTGTATGGCATGCTCTCATGGGTTACTGGGGCGGCATTGACCCAAACGGATGGATCGCGAAGAATTACAAGACAATTGAAGTCGAAAAGGAACCTGGTGTCGCGGGTGGCACCTTCACCGTAGTCGCAGCCGACGATATCGGACGCATGTACAACGATTTCTATTCGTTCCTCTCGTCCTCTGGCGTGGACTCCGTGAAGACCGATGCGCAGTTCTTCCTCGACCTGCTTCTGCACGCACCTGACCGAAGAGCTCTCACCCAAGAGTATCAGGATGCCTGGACCATTGCTCATCTGCGACACCTGGGTAGCAGAGCCATCAGCTGCATGTCTCAGACTCCCCAAATCCTGTTCCACAGCTCATTGCCGCGGAACAAGCCGCGTCTCTTGATGCGCAACTCTGATGATTTCTTCCCCGAGGTGGAAGCCTCACATCCATGGCATATTTTCTGCAACGCGCACAACAGCCTGCTGATGCAGCACATGAACGCTCTGCCAGACTGGGACATGTTCCAGACCTCTCATGACTGGGCGGGTTTCCATGCTGCCGCGCGATGCGTCAGCGGCGGACCGATCTATTTCACCGACAAGCCAGGAGAGCACAACATCAAGCTCTTGAACCAGATGACAGCGCAGACACCGCGTGGCAAGACGGTCATTCTCCGGCCGCACACCATTGGCAAGGCAAGTGACCCATACAACGCATACGACGCCCTCGCCCTCCTCAAGATCGGAACGTACGTCGGCTTCGCTCGCACGGGCACCGGCATTCTCGGGGTGTTCAATGTATGTGGTCAGCATCTGAGCGAGTTCGTCAGTCTGAGCGATTTCCCCGGCACAGAGGAAGGCGAATATGTAGTGGGATCCTTCCTCTCGGGCGAAGTATCGCAGCCGATGCAGAGGCGCGAGCCAACCGCCCTGGTCGGGCTCGAGCTCGAGACGGCCGGCTGGGACGTCCTATCCGCCTACGCGCTCCGCCGGTTCCGCGTTCAAAAGCAGGACGTCGGCGTCGCCATGATGGGCCTCCTGGGCAAGATGACGGGCTCTGCGGCCGTGTCGGGCCTGGATATCTACGTGGAAGAGAACGGACGCTTGCGGATCTGGACGAGCCTGAAGGCTCTGGGCGTGCTGGGACTGTACCTCACCGATCTCCCCGGGAGGTCTGTCGCGCAGGACATGATGATCATGATCTTCGGGAAACCCATCCCCGTGGGCTGTGTGAAGAAGCACAAGCAGGTTCTGGAGGTGGATGTGGAGCGGGCGTGGAAGGAAAGTGGCGAGGAGGCGGGCTGGAGCAATGAGGTGAGTATCGAGATTTTTATCCACTAGACTAGTGTCTATCGAGAAAAGCACGCGCGAAGAGAAGAGATGGCCAAATCATCCGTATGTTGCGCCGGGATGGAATAAAAGCCTTGTTGTTGTTGTTGTTGTAGACCGAAACATGACGATCAACCCCTGAAAAGAACTCCGAACTCCGTTGCCATGTTCCCTTTCAGTCAGTCGCGATAAATCCACAAACACCCGTGAAAATCCATCAGCCGCCACTCTCCCGCTTACAACGAGAAGACCATCATGGAGAACGTCCCTCTTTGCGTGGTCGTGCTTCATCCGAACAATTCATCCTCCCGCTCCTCCCTCCCCGCATTCCCATCACCTCCCACCTCCCGAATCTTGACACCGACCTCCTTATCCCTGTCCTTGTCATCGCCACTGTCGTGCCTCGTAGATCTCGCCAATTCGTCGAGACCGTAGTACTCGAGCGCGGCCGGCGGCCGCGGCGCCGCCAGACTCCTCCTCGCGCTCTTCTCGGGCGTAGGCGGACGGGGCAAGCTCCGCGAGCAGCGAGGTGACGGTGGACCTGCGCTTGCATTCGCATTCGCACTCGCACTCGCACGAGCCGCCGACGCCGACGCTGCCGCCGCCGCCGCCGCCTGCTGCTCGCCAACGAGACTGCCCAGCGTTTTCGCGATTTCGACGTCGCGTCCCCCATCCCCGGCGGCACTGGGAGGAGGACGACGACGACGATGATGCTCGGCCAGCGTTTCCAGAGACAGAACCGAGGTCGAGGGCCGACTGAGGGCCGTCGAGGGGGGGAGCGCGCTGGTGGAGGAGTGCTGTCGCAAGCTCCTCCGCTGTTGGCGGGCCGTGGGAGCACCACCATTTGGTCCTGCCGTCCAGTGGTCGCCTGATGAGCCGGGGCTGCTGCTCTGGCGCGGGAGCGCAACGGGTGCTGCTACCCCGTCAGCGGGGGCCGGGTGGTGCGCTTGTGGTGCGAGGGACGTGGAGAAGTGCAGACTCGTGTTGCTCAGATCTGAGAAGCGCTGGTGGTGATACCGATGTTGAAGGGCAACGGATGAGCGCGCAGCCTGCGCTTGCGTGGAAGATGGACTTGGTGGCTTTGCGAGCTGAAAAGAGTTCTGAGGCGATTCTATGCCGGGAGATGGCAGGCCGTGATTGCTGATCCTCTTCACCGTTCCTCGTGTCCACGTCGTTGGCTGAGGCGAGAGTGAGAGGAAGTTTGGCGTCCGCATGGTGGGTTGCGGATAGCGAAGAGTAGACATGGAGACGGGCCTCCGCAGAGGGGCGCCGCTCTTGGTGACAGCTTCGTCAGGAGGCAAAGGGCGCGACGAGGGATGGACATTGCGTGCCGTCTTGCGGATCATCGTCTCGAATTGCGCCTCGATCTCCATCACCAGCCAGGCAAACGCCGAGCGATGATCTGTCGCTCCTTGCTGAGAGATGATGGACTGGACGATGGTGTTGTTGTGCGTGGCAGCAAGTGAAGCGCGGCATAGTGGTTGGCCACCGGCTTGGGGAAAGAAGAGCTCGACGCGACAGGCGGAGATGTTGCGCAGACCATTGTCGGAAAGGATCAGGAGTGTCATCCCTGTGGAGCAAAGTTCTGGTATCAGCTGTCGCTCTCATGAAGCACAATGATAGAGCGGAGACTCACGGATGAAGCTCTTGCGGGCTGCAGTTGTTGGGAAAGCGCCCCGTTTCGCGCGATAGCGACCGACGCCAGTGTGCGCATTGTCCGCAGGTGGCAGACACTCCTCGAGGCTCTGCTCAGCTAGACACCGAGAAGACTGTGGCCTGTTCGCCGTTGGTTTGGGTGCTTCGCGCGGTGGCACCGATTGAATGGCCGACTTGCGGGATTTGCTGGGGATGCAGCCCATCCTTACATGTCGTTACCCAAGGAGAAGTGAAGGGTGAAGGGTGAAACGAAAGAGAGGAAACAGTGGCTCTACGGTCTCGCGCTGTGATCCAGTCACGACATAGCTTAGTAGGAACGAGGAAAGGTAAGGTGTGGAGATTGACTTCGTTGAGTGCGAAATACTTCCAAGTTGCGTAGATCTGTGTGGGTGGTAAGCAGCTCAACGATGGGACCCGCCAAATGTAAACATACGCCCAATACGTTCTGTGAAGAAGCGAATACCTGCCAAGACATTGGGTGCCCCATGGCCTTTGTGCCATCTCCAGACATACCATGCAGCGCAGCCGACCACAGGAAGCAGAGCAGATCCCACGATGCCCTCAAGCAGTACCTGCTTCTGCCTCGTTACCACCCTCGCCACTTCCGAGTATCTCTGATTGCTGAAGCTGACTCTGCTATACTGTGTCGCAAAGCCAGAGCTTGGCAGCTTGTCGGAAAGGAATTCCTCGATCTTCTTGCGCAGCAGAACAAGCGGGGAGCGCACGCCTACACGCATGTCCCAGAAGTTGCCGAGAGAAAAGTCGTTGATGGCGTGCGCATCCGGGATGCGCTCGGCGTTGTAAGATGCAAGTGCCTTGCCACGTCCTTCTGCAGTGGTGGACTGCGAGTCGAGATGGGCGAACAGAACACGCACATCCTCGAGACCAGCATTCATGCCCTGACCATAGAATGGCACCATCGCATGCGCCGCGTCGCCCAGGATTACTCCGCTGGAGTCGAAGTAGTGGGGTGAGCACTTCAGACTGACAAGCGGTAGGTGTGGATTCTCCTCGAATTGCTTCTGGACCTCACTTGGCCCAATGAGATCGACCGTGCCCGGGAAATGCTTATTGAAGAAGAGCTCGACCTGCTTTGGATCCGCCTCGAGAGCCGCAAAATCATCCGCAGACGCAAATAGCGTAGACGTGAAGCTCTTGTCGACGCTAGGGATGGCAATGAACATCTTGTCGCTGCCAGGCCAGATGTGAAGGTGGTTTGGGCTCGTAGCGAAGCCGTCTCTCGCGGATGCTGTCTTGCTCGTGTCTCCCCGTGCCGGCGGAATGTTAAACTCACACCACAAGGTGTCAATATAGTTTTGCTGGTAGTCCAGGCGCACGAACTTCATCATGTGAAAGCGAACGCTGCTATGCGCACCGTCGCAACCAATGACGAGATCAAAGTCGATTTCGATCTCGTCCTGTCTACCAGGTCGCCCGCTACGCCGCAAGCCATCGTCGGAGCTTCCGCTCTGTCTCCTAGACGTTGCCTTCTGCTCCAACCAGGCCAAGCGTCGCCGGAAGTCCACACCAGTCAGCTTGTGGTTGAAACGAAGCTTGACGTTGGGAAGACTCTCCAATTCGTCTAGTAGGCGTGCATTGAGATCGCCTCGATCCACGGCCAGGATTGCACGGCCGTGGACATCGTATTGCTGAGCATTCTCGGTCAAGCCGCCCTGAGAGTCCTGGCCGTGGATCATGCGGCCGTACATAGGAATGGTCTCCGCCAAGATGGCCTCCAGCAACTTGGGGGAGTCAGATTGACGCAAGGCATTGATGCCGCGTTCCGACAGGGCTAAGTTGATTGATTTGGTGAAGTTCAAGGGTGTCGTCGACGGCTCTCGCAGATCTACGACGTGAGTGAGTGGTTCGGAGTGGCTGTGGCAATGGCTGCTCACCTGGCCGCAAGTCGTAAATCTCGACTTCCCACCCTCGCCGGGCGGCGTAGAGAGCTGCAAGAGCGCCCACCGGGCCCGCGCCGATCACGACACACTTGAGGCTCATGCTTAACCGCGTCCGAGGCGTGCTGATGGGAGAGTGAAGCAATGCGTGTAGCTCATTGGCCTGCTCCACCGTTATCGATATCGATTGGAGGTGATGGACAAAGGAATCAACGGGGTAAACGCACGGAACCGGAAACTGTGTGTGTTATATTATATGGGAAGAGCGCGTGGTGAGTCGACGAAGCAGTCTCGACCGATCGGATCGACTATGTCATCCAGAAATTTGTGATCGCGTCGCGTGCTTCCACCCGCTTCGAGCCTTCCGACCGGACCTGTCGGGTAAGTGTGGCGCATGGCTGAGGTAAGCGAGTAATCAACTCCACAAGGATCCTTCATACCTCCTCCCACAAACACATCCACAACAACATCTACTCTCAGTTCAACTGTATACTGTCGGCTCGACCACTTGAAAGCATCCAGTCCATGTGCTGCTCCACCGCCTTCTGCATCGCTGCCGTCGCCTCCTCTACCAGCGAGGTCAGACCCGTCCGACCTGCTCTCCTCTGGAGGACCTCGATATATGGGCCATTCACTCCGTCATTCACGTTGCATTTCGCGATGCCGCATTTCATGCACTCGGCAAATCGCTTCTCATCAAACCAGGCCGCGCCAGCACCGTGCAATACAAGGTGGACCCTTCCTTTCGTGGACTCTCGTATACTCTCGAGGCGCGGATAATCCAGCTGAGGGCCCTTGGGTCCATAGTTGCCGTGCACATTGCCAAATGCGGGTGCGAGCCAGTCAATACCTGCGGCGAGAAACTCCTCAGCCTGATCCGGAGTTGTGAGAACCTCTTCGAGATCGGTCGTGTCTGCAACGCCATCCTCTCCCCCATTGATGCGGCCCGGCTCTGCCTCGGTGATGATTCCTCGAGCATGGCAGTAGTCGGTGAGTTCCTTGGTCTTTTGGAGATTTTCCTCTTTCTCAAAGTGGGACATGTCAACCATTATTCCGTCGAAGCCACCCAGATCTGCCGCTCGTTTGACCATTTCCGGATCCTGACAGTGATCCATCTGAAAGATCAGTATCGCATTTGACTTCGCAATGCCTTTCAGCGTGATTACTTACATGCACAGCCACTGGTACTTTTGCGTTTCGAGCCGCCTCGGCCGCAGCATGAACGAGGAGCCCGTCGGCGTACTCAACAGCCCAGGGAAAGAACTGCAGGATCACTGGGGATGACTTGGCCTCCGCAGCTTTCACAGAGGCTATGACACCTTCGAGGTTGTATAGGCAAATCGCTGGAATTGCATAACCGCCCACCGTGGCGGCCTCAACCATTTTCCACGCTCGGTTCTGCTTGAGTTCTTTCATTTTTCTAAGTGCTGGGGGCCTGTTAAGATTCGAGATCAATGTAGTCGCACGAGACAAAGGGAAATGAATTTGGAGATATGGCTGACCAAGTCTTGGACAGTTGCCTTGACGAACAGTACCAAAAGGTCTCGAGTTTAACCTATACATTCGAAAGGCCCCAATCAAACGCCGTCTCCAAAAGCCGTCAGGACATCGGGCCGAGCTCACCGAAGCATTCACCGCAGCGATTGGGTGGAGATCTACGCCTCCGCGATGGTTTACACTGCGACGTTCTCCACGAGCCAATGCGACTTACTCAAGCACTGCACAATTGCACCCGCGGCATTTGTCCTCTCAACCTTTCACCTGGGTCCTCGCGTCTTGCCATACTACAGACGGGCCCGCTCGACAGACAAAGGCGTTGTAGGCACCAAATGATCGATGTCTCGCGTATTCAGCATGCCTGGATGCAATTGCGAAATGTCGGTGACGCCAATCAACTTCATTGTGGTTTCGAGCTCGTCTTTCATGACTGGAAATTGTCAGTCACCATCGATCAACGGACACATAGGCCATTTTACTCACTGGAGATGAGATGCTCGACACCTTCTTGACCGTACTGTAATGCGTAGAGGAATGTCCGAGCAATACCTACCGCCTTTGCGCCCAGGCACAGAGCCTTGAATATATCAGTTCCCCTGCGGATGCCTCCATCGATGTAGACCTCCAATCGGTCAAATACTTTGGGACAGTGCCGATGCATCTCCAGCAATGTCAGGATCGCAGGCGATGTTGTGTCAAGACTTCTCCCGCCATGGTTGCTCACGACGATCCCATCAACCCCGTAAGAAGCTGCAAGCAATGCATCTTCAGCATTGCCAATCCCTTTCAACACAATTGGCAGTTTCGTGGCCTTTCTTAACCACACTAAATCCGACCAATTCAAACTGGCGTCGATGTAGCTTCCCATGGTACGCCCGATTCCGGCACCCTTCGAGTCTTTACTCGCAACAGCACCGCTCATGGGCGCAAATGTAAGCGACTCGTCTTGGTTGTCATCTTCAGTTCGCTCATCTGCCTCTCGTTTACCGGCAACCGGCGCATCGACGGTGACGAACACAGCCTTGACCCCAGCTCTTTCAGCTTCCTTCAGCAGCGCTTCGGAAGCAGCGCGGTTCTTGTTGACATATAGCTGGAAGAAGAACGTGCTGCCTGGTGCCGACGCGACTATCTCCGACATGTGATAGGAGGCATTGCTAGAGATCTAATTGACATTAGCTTTCGTTCGACAGTCGACATGGCCTGCCGAACGCACGCATTGGCCAACATTGTGGGTCTGGCATCCTCTCGCGATCGCCTTCTCCCCTTCTGGATGTACGAGTCTTGCCATGGCTGCTGGAGAGACAAATAAGGGAAAGTCCATCTCTTGGCCCAGAATTCTTGTCCGAGTCGTCACGTTCTCGACGTTTCGCATCACCCTTGGTCTTAACCAGATTCGGCTGAAGAATTGCTCATTGGCATCTCTGGTAATGAGGTCTGTGGCTGCTGAGGAATAAAATGCCCATGTCTTCCTGGACAGGTTCCGAGACGCGACCACTTGGAAGTCGTGACTGTTGAGGATGGAGGAAAGAGGTGGCTTGGTATTATTCTTTGGACAAACATTATTCGGCTCGATGTCGAGATGGCTCGAGGATGGTTGGTCAATGTCCATGATGTTTTTCCGCAGAGTACTGAACGATTCACAAAGCCGTGAAGCTCAAGCAAGAGATCTTTCTCTCGTCTGGAAATACCTACTGGGTTGAATACTGCTAATCTCGTCCGAATTTCAAAAGCCGAACTCGGTAAAATGATTAGCAAGATCTTCTCTCCGCATCGTACGACGACCTCTTTCACCCAATGATGTGATACACCATACTGTCAGAACATGGATTCAAAGGCCGGAAGAACGTCGCAAGGCGATTGTTGTGACACAGTTTGCCGACAGTGGCCAGTCACCGCCTTTCAGGCTCCTGGGTCTGTGCTCGAGAGGTGATGGCAGCCATCTTCAGTCCAAGCTGCCTGAATCGGCTCGTTGTAATCGTGGGAAGACCTTCGAACTTTTCTCACGAGATTTTCACATCCACGCCTTCCCAGATCTCCGTACTCTGTATAGATATCGCTTAGGGGCCTTGGAAGGCCATCCGTTTCGCTCATGAGGTCATATCAAAGCCCGTCAGTAAGGTGTCTGAAGCCGTTCGGAAAGAGGGAAGAGCGAGTGTGGCGCAATTGTGGCGCTAGGAACTTCGCGTCTGTGCGTTTGCTTGCTCGTTCTCTGCTACCTTACACCAACGCTGTCTGCTCCAGGACGACAACACCCGCTCTTCCAACTGATGCACCCCAGATCTCAGCTCTTCCTAGCCAACAAAAGCGCGACAGTATATCGTCTGCACGAGCCTTCTCTGCATTGGACACAGTCCTCCCTCCGGCCACCTGCGCCCAACACGACCACTCATATCAGATACTGGCAGAATGGATCAGGCACCGGCAAAAGAGGTGACGATCGAGCAGAAGCGGAAATGTGAAGGCGCAGACTGCGAGAATGATGCGGGCTCTCTGCAGTGTCCGACGTGTCAAAAGCTCGGGAAGGACTCGTACTTCTGCAGTCAAGATTGCTTCAAAAGAAATTGGGTAGGTCAGTGCTTCGAGTCGCGAAGCTGGCACAGTCGACATGGGGGACAGTCACATGCTGGCGGTTGGGCTAAGGTAATGGCTGACTGATGTCCGCCGTAGAGTACACATAAGACGTTGCACAAGGCGCAGAACAGTATGCTCTCCAAAGTCATCCCTCCGCGCGTCATATCCTTACCAGACGCAGATGGTCATTTCAACCCATTCCCGTCATACCCTTTTACTGGTCCGCTCAGACCTGTATACCCACTCTCTGCACGACGGACAGTCCCAGATCGGATAAAGCATCCCGATTATGCGTCCAACGGCATTCCCAGGAGCGAGCAGGTAGGCTGATACGAAAGAGTCTAACGACAAGGCGGCCAGAGCTGATTTGAGCAGATGATTGTCGGTCGCAACAAGGTCAAGGTCTTGACGAAGCAGGAGCAAGATGGTATGCGTAAGGTGTGTCGGATGGCTCGTGAGGTGCTCGATATCGCTGCACGGGCGGCGAAGCCTGGTGTTACGACCGATGAAATCGATAAGATCGTTCACGATGCGTGTGTAGAGCGAGACGTAAGTTCTGCGGCAGTCTGGGCTCGATCTACGCTAACGAACATCAAAGTCCTATCCCTCTCCGCTCAACTACTGCCACTTTCCGAAGTCGGTCTGTACCAGTCCGAACGAAGTCATTTGTCACGGCATCCCTGATCACCGGCCGCTTCAAGATGGCGACATTCTCAATATCGATGTCACGCTTTACCACGGAGGCTTTCACGGTGACTTGAACGAAACGTACTACATCGGCGAGTCTGCGGCAAAGAATCCAGATAATGTACGTGTGGTTGAAGCTTCACGAGACTCCCTGGATGAGGCGATCAACCTGGTGAAGCCCGGAGCGCTGTTCCGGGACTACGGCAATACGATCGAAAAGGTTGCCAAGTCACGAAACTGTCAGGTGGTCAAGACGTATTGCGGACACGGCATCAACCAGCTGTTCCACTGCGCACCAAACGTGCCTCACTACGCAAAGAACAAGGCTATCGGAGAAGCGAAACCAGGCATGTGCTTCACGATTGAGCCCATGATCACCCTAGGCACATACAAGGACCAGACGTGGCCGGACGACTGGACATCTGTCACTAGGGATGGCACGCGCACGGCTCAATTCGAGCACACATTATTGGTGACGGAGACAGGTGTTGAGATCTTGACGGCACGGCTGGAGGATTCGCCGGGAGGGAAAGTGCAGATGCCTGAGGGTTTCTCGGCCGACGGCAAGAAAGTCGAGGCGAAGGGCACCGCCGCAACGAATGGATCAAATAGCTGAGGCGAGTCCATTCGATGATAGATGAAAGCAAAGTCATGCTGAAAGAAGTCACTTATCTTGTGTTGGTCTCTTCTCCTGAATGATCCTGAAGTCTTGGCAGACGTAGCTCCAAGCGATGGCTGTGGCTGCACGCTTACAGGGTTCCGTGTTCTCGAAAACAACCTCCCCCCGAAGCTCCCACCTCGCCCGCCCACTGACAAACCTTTCATCCAAGCCGTCCGCATCGCAGGCATCAGCATCCTCGCCCACTAAGAGATACTTCGCCTCGACACCACACCCCTATCCTCCTTCCAGCGCAGCGTGCGAAGAAAGGCGGCTGTTTTCCGGCAAAGTTTGCGTCGCTCCACTGCACCAGCCCCAGCCTCTCAACAATCGCAAGCGAGAGATACCTTACCTTACACACAACAACGACACCCACACGAGCATTGTCAAGTCGGAACCAAGTCCTGCGCAGCGCAAGTTCAGCGTTTGCACCGTCCCTAGCACACAAAGCCCAGTCATCACGAGGCGAGCAGATTCGCAGACAAGATGTCGGGCGAGGCGTGGTATGTGCGCGATTCATTCGGCGGACAAGACACGCACAGGCTCCAACCTCGAAGCTGTTGTACTGACTGTACCAAATGCAGGTTGTTCCTCCTCGCCGTCCTTCTCAATGCCGTCAATCTCTTCCTGCAGGTCTTCTTCACCATCATGTACTCCGACCTCGAATGCGACTACATCAACCCCATCGATCTGTGCAACCGCCTGAACATGTACATCGTCCCCGAAGCCGGCATTCACGCTTTCCTCACCGTGCTCTTCCTGGTCAATGGATACTGGCTGCCGCTGTTGCTGAACTTGCCGTTGTTGGGCTGGAATGCGAAGAAGTAAGACAATCCCCCGAAACACACGTCAACTCAGGACACATTGGAGCAGGCACGATTGTGAGCGCGAGTACTGATATACAGGGAAACAGAATCTTCGAGAACCAGCATCTCCTCGATGCAACCGAGATCTTCCGCAAGCTGAACGTGCATAAGAAGGAGTCGTTCATCAAGCTCGGCTTCCATCTGATCATGTTCTTCTTCTACCTCTACTCCATGATCGTGGCACTTATCAGGGACGAAAGTCGGTAATAGCCTTTTTGCCGGTGTCTTCAGCGCGCAAATTGGGCTAACGTGTGTCTTGTTCATAACTTGCAGGCGGCCCAGCCAGGAACGCAAGGCTTCCACAGTGAGTACAGGACACACGATTACGAGGCGACGCGTGAACGTTGGCGGATGCAGCGAGCAGAGCACTGTGGGCAGCACGAGAGCAGGGAGCAGGAGGTGCAGGGTGGGAGAGAGGTCTTGGGGAACTGTGGATAAGGACACGACTAGGGAATGTAGGCGCACGGGTCTTCAAGCGTGTGCCATGTTCGTTACGGCAGAAAGTATTCTTGACGATAGATTGGTTCGCAGAGCTGATGATACCCTACGACGGAATGTCAGAGCACATACTAGAGCTTCAGCTTTCAACAGGCGCGGGTCTGCTTCCACGCTCAGCACTGATCTGACGAGGCTCGCATCATTCATTGGCCGAACAAAGTTGACCTCGTCCGGTATGTCTCGCGATCACAGCTCCTCCGTTACTCACGTACTACTGAAACTCGGCAGAGCTCCCTCCGCCTTGAACACCTTCAGCCTCCAGCCTTCAGCCTCCCATCGTTTGCGTAGCAGGCAGGATATTGGTTCCCTGCTCGAGCACCAACCAAAAGTTAGACCTCTCCCTGCCGCTATATAGCACGACTCTCCTACAGCTCACTTCACGGTCTTTGAACTCCAACACGCGTCGTCATAAGGTACAAGTATCCAAGCCCACATCAATCTCACCTTTCAATTCCTGCATTGCTTCGTCTGTCTCCGTGCATGACTTCTCCGCTCAAACTAGATGCCTACCGACATCATCATCGGGGGCGGCGGCAGCGACGGCGGCAGCGAGGCAGGCTGCGGTCCTCGCCACTCATTTTACAGAAAGACCCCAAACTCCCAAGTCTCAATGCTGGAATCGTGCATGGAACGAGCAATTGGAGGGTAAACAGATACGAGCATCTTTTCCATTGGGCCGCGAGGGAATATCATGACGAGCGTCTACGCCGCTGTCGAGAAAAGGAGCGGGATATGATCAAGCAAGACTTGGGCGATGAAGCGAAGGAAGAGGGGAAATGTATGGGTGCGTTATTTTGTAATCTTTTGATATTTTCCCTTGGCCTGTAGCGGCTGCGTCAGACTGTGCGCTTTCTGCTGCTTGGTCATCTTTGGTCACTTCACAGCATGACAATTCCCACACCACCCATCTTTGTAGTGTCGATCTGATTTCTGTGGTCGATGCCGCCGGGCAAGAGCGCTGTGCGCCAATTGAAGAGGTAGAAATGCAATTTACCGTCCCCTGGCTCGAACTTTTGCTCCTTTAGGAAGAGCGGGTTGTCCAGTAATGTGAGCGCGTTGAAGACGTGGAAACCGTCTTTCGCTGCAAGGATGAGTGCATCATGAACGAGGGTCTGAAGTCGTGCCTGGAGAGCGTCCTGGGCATCATTTGCCTTTGGTTTGGGATTCCCGGGGAAAGCCGCCTCGGTGGCATAGTAGTAAAGGTAGGCAGCGCGGATATTCTCTCGCTTCTGTGAGCGAAGTACAGAGGACTAAGTCAAGGTCAGAATAGCTCGTAGGTTGTTCAGGAATAAGCATACCTCGAGTAGATAGTACGAGATGAAGTCGGTGATCTTGTCGCCTTCCTCAACCACATAGCTCGTCACGACACTCTTCGAGACGTCTGAGCACAAGAAATGCAAAACCTCCTCCTCCGTCCATTCCTGCCGTAGATGGAACCGCTCTGAGTAGCGAACGAGCAGATCTTTGACGCCCTGAACGTCAGCCGGCTTCATTGGTCGCAGACCCTTGGTTTGTGTGTGAGACTCCAGCTTATACTTGTACTTTTGCCTCAAGGCGGAAGAACCTGGCGGCATGTGGCTGAAGCCAGTATTGTATAAATGTTCCCAGTCCAACGATCTGTGGAAGTAGCGGCACGTGCTGATCGGCGTCGGCAATAGAGTGCCGGCCGTATACAAAGCCTGGTAGATGCCATTGAGGTAGCACCGCCGGGTGACCTCTTTGATTAACACAGGCGCGAGACGCTTGTTGCGAAGCTTCCGATGGATTGCAAGGAAGTTGATCTCACTGGCATCGAATTTCTGACCACGAACCTTCAAAGTCACTGGAATGCCAGTGATTGACGCAACCAACTTGCCTTTCTTGCCCTCTCCCGTTGATTTGGTTCGCACGCCAATGTGCCATTCTTTCTTGTATCCCGGTGGCTTTAGAGCCCATTTCAAGAACTCCGGGGAGTAGTTGAAGCGGAAGGAGCCGTCTGTGTCTTCGACGTAGTGGTTGTAGAGTAGGTCGTAGAACTCTTGCAGCTCTTCCTTGTTGTCCAGATCGATCAGGCACCACTCAAAGCCGTCGACAAGCTTCTCGGGCTCAGGTTTTGCACTGGCTTGGCACACCTGGTTAGGAAGTATGGGTCCTTCTGGTAAGGTCTCACCCTCACCACCGCTAGTGGTCTGCAGCAAGTTGGGCTCCTTGAATCTGGGCACCGGCTGCGTGTTCCAGAACTTGTAGTCTTCCGGTGCTTTGCCTTCCTTCTTCTGCGGCTGTGACATAGCCAGCTGCTGCAGCAATGAGGGTATATCGTGAACCACCGCCGGTCCGTTCTGTTGAGGCTCCTTTGCCAATGCGGACTCTGACGCTGCAGGATCCGTGGATGTAGCCTTCTTCTTCTTCTTCTTCCGCGGCTTCCTCTTTTTCTTGGACGAAGCGCTGCCCGCAGCCGCACCATCTGCTACCGCCCCATCATCCTCGTCCTCGCCTTCGTCTTCGTCGCCGTCTTCGTCGCCTTCACTCGCGAGATCGTCGGCGGCTTTGGAGGTTTCTGTCGGATTCTCGAGGGACATGTCGGCGACGTCCGAGGCAAGTTTGGTGTCCGCCGACGTCGACGCGGCTCCATCGGCCATGACTGGATGCGGGGTGTGCCGCAACTACTTATTCTTGTCGTGGTTGTAGACTCTGCAGACAAGCAACTAGACAAAATCGTAGCTCACAGCCGTTGCAGCTTTTACGTTTCAGTATACCTAGCTCGAGCAGCAGTCAAAGCGCTCGCGTGAGGTCAAGGTGGGGCAGATCGCTTGGTGCCTGAGGCTCAAGCCAATTTCGGCGGCGTCTGCGCACGAATAACAATAATATGAGCGCTTGTCAAGACAACAATGCGTTCTCTTGTACCGTCTCTATGTGTCCCCTTCCAGTGCCTGACTAATCCATAGTCCTCCATCGTACAACAAATGCCTCCCAGGAGGCCCTTTGTGCCTGTCCTGTCCTGTCATGTCACGCCAGAGCAAACATTCCATGCATTTCAGAAGCGAAGAGCCATCTCTCGTCCCAATCATCAAAGCATATGCCGCTCAATAAGGTATATCGATTCCCCGCTACCCTCCCAATCCCAAGTTTCCTCGTTGCTCAAATCTTGCGCCAGCGCCATTCCCTTTGTAGAGAAGAAAAAAAGGTCCTAGGATAGACTGGTGTCTCTACTGTCATCTTGTAAAGTGTCCGTCATCGTGGACCCTGTTGTGAAAAAGCTCATTCCATCATCCCCAGCACCATCCTGCAAACGCCGCAGAAAAACTTCCGCTGCGTTCAACTCGGAAAGGGAAGCATCTGCCGCTTTCATGGCAGGTTCGATTCGGTCGGTCCTGGGACGGAGGTGGGACCGGCACCCTCGAGGCCCGACGCATCTCTTTTTCTCCTCCAAAACTTGAGCCCTCGCAAACGACTACGACTGCGAGACTGACGAAGGTGCGATTCGGAACCAGTGGCATCACGGGGGCTGTATTCACCACTCGCCATGCGCGCTATGATCCGCGGCGAGTCTGGTTTGGCTTGTTCTGCTTCTGGTTCTGTGGACGTACGTAGCAGTGCGGCAGGGGCTGATGACTGGTGGCCGCAGTCCATTCCTGGCGTCCAATCTGTCGAGGGCACAAGTGGATCTGCACCGCCCCCAGGGATGATACTGCTATGCATCGGTGGTATCGCGTCATCGTCCGTAGTTGCGAGCGATGAAGGTTGTGTAGATGCCGTCTGCAGGTCGGTCGTCACTGTTGGCGAATTCGTCGTCTGGGACTTTGACGAAGCGGCCGCAGAGCGAGCAGTGCTAGACATCGGTTTTGTGAAGCTGTGCCGCTTGCTAGAACTCGCCGCCTTACTGGGCGAGGCAGACTTGCCAACTTTGGGCGACGGGGGCACGCTCCGGGAGGCCGGGCTACTGCCTTGGCTCGCAACCAAGATCGTGGTCAGACTCTCTTCTTTGCTACCTCTTCGAGAGCCTGGGTAGTTCTGGTGAATCTGCCATCCCGCATCCGCCGATCCTCGCCTGGAGCCCGCTGTCGCCAAATTCTGCTGCGCAATCGCACTCAGTTCCTGCAGCTGATTGAGGGCTACGTCTTTACTTGATCTTCTGCTAGAACCTCCAATGGCGGTTGGAGAGAGCTGTGTCGACGAACCCGGCCAGATGACGGGCGTGGGAGCCCGAGTTTCGTCCCCGGCTGGCGGAACACCATGTTGGAGACGTTGGCGTTCATCGGTTCCCGGATGTCTGTTGGGTGTTTCTGAGCGATCTAGACCTGGCTGCCGTTGATGGGGCTCAGACGGCGTGTGTGGTACTGTGCTGGGGACCGCTGTCGGTTCGGACTCTCTCTTACGCATTCTTGCCTCTTCAACCTCCTTCTCGGTGACGGAGCCGTAAGTCCTAGATGATCGTCTACCATCACCGCCAGCTTCTCTTCGCACCTTCTCATCGCTAATCTTCTGCTCCCATGTGTCCTTGTTGTTCTCTAGACAGGGTAGTGAGCAGGAGATGTTTGGCATGATCTCAGCGACGCCTCGAAAGAGTGGGAACCCGAACAGGTTCAAAAATCCCTTTTGACTCTGTGCTGCAGCCAACAGGTCTTCTCTGTCCGGCGGACCGCCGAATAGACAAGTGGGAATTTGCAACTGATGCTCCAGCTCGCCTTGACGTGAGAATTCGTTCATCAGGATCTTGGCCCATCGAGCAGCAATCTCAAAAGGCCTTGCGACGTTCGAGATATCAGCAGCCTTGATCAGCAATGCCATAATCAGTTCTCGGGCGTGCTCCCTGTCTTTGTCATTCCAGTCGGAGAGCCCTTCCTGACTGTTGTCGACCTTCTGCTTGAGGTCTTTCAAGTGACCCATGTATTCGAAGTGCCTCTGCATATCAGTTGCCAAGATGGTCGAGATCATCGAAGGTCGGAAGTGAGGATATGTTATCAACGCGGGCCAGTGTCGGCGGAGGAGTTGAGAGTACGCTGCGCAGTGATAATTCTCCAGCACCGACTTGTCATTGTAGATCTGCGCCAACTGATGGCTACTAGCCACCAGAAAAGCGTTGTTGACGCCGGGGTGTCCAACATCGTGACCGATGGCCGATACCAGGAGGATTAGGGCATCGATAGGGGAGAGCAACCTTTCGACGGCACCAGCTTCTTTTGGTATTCTCGGACTCGACTCTGATGGGGGGCACAAACGGACGTCACATAGAAAGCAATAAAGCGATTGCGTGACGTCGACGGCATGCCGCCAGTTGTGGTAATGTACTACTTATGTCAGAATACAATGGCTGTGTGAGCTTGGAATGCACGGGTACATACCCTCTCGCTCGTGTTTGTATTCGCGTCGCACCGCTAACAGGAAAGTCATCAATTCAGACCGAGACAGTCGATACGGCTCCAGCACCGGATTTTGGAGGACATGTTCCAACATCGACAGCGCGCCATACGTCAGTTCGTCCATGTCGAAGGTGTGAGCAGGAAAGCCCCATTGCGCGATAGCTTCCTCAACGGCGGATTTGCGTTGCGCTGAGAGGATTTCGTCTGGGCGATGTGTAGCAGCACGGGGTTTGTTGGTCTTGGCAAGACTACCCAGCAACCTGGTGGCCATGTCTGCACCGAGAAGACGAGCGCAGGGGCGCGTGGTTCCTTTAATATGTCCCATCAACTGATCCATCGCTTGGGGGCACAACGGACTGCGCATGGTGTCGATAGCACCTGCGCCAAGATTACTTGTGTCATGCGATGAACCGGGTAAATCGTCTGGGCTGCTTGTCGCCAAGAGAATGAAGGGCATTACATGATGGTGAAAGTTCGGCTTCTGCGCATCGGGGGAGAGAGCGCGAAGAAAGGTCGAGGCAGCATCATGTTGGAGAGTGGCGTCGCTGAGCTCAATGAGTACAGCGGTCGGCTTTATCTTGGCAAAGGATTCGAGCGTCTGAAGACATTCCTCTTGGGATGAGCCCACGAATACTGGTCTCGGTGAGCAAGAGTGAAAATTAGAGAAACATAGGGTGGTAGTAGTCACCTCGATCGAAATCGCCCTGGTCTTTGTCCAGAAGGCGGCGCACGTTGCCATACACATTATGCCGAGAGGCTGCTGACGGTTGCTGGCCATCTGGTGCCACCGGCGCATGGTCAGAATCGAAGAGTTCCGAGAAGGGCTCCTCGGTGACGGGACAAAAGTAGACAACACTACATGTCCCGTTGTCGGTCTCTTCCATTTGCCAAAGCGACAACTGTCGCCGCCAATTAACGGTGTCGCCGGGTGGGAGGAGTCTTTCGCGCGGTGGTGAGAGGGTTCGGCGGGCTCGATGTGAGCAATTAAGGGAAGATGCCAGCGAGGGGCAGATGGCGACGGTTCATCGAAGGAGTACGCGGCGTGGAAGGAGCGGGAGTCGCTATCGGGCGTGACTGCTTATGGGGGGGAGCGTCGACATGAGTGCTGCACTGGCGGCAGACGTGAGGGACCGAGCGAGGGCAGCAGGAGTACGAGTGTGCGTATGAGGTCGGAGAGGTCGTCAACACACGCGGTCGTCGTCAGTGGTATGTGGTACCGTCGCTGGGCATGCGAGATGGGGTGTGGAGGGGGCAATCTGGTGTGGAATGCGATTTCTCTTGTCTGTTCTGCGCGCGGATTGTGTCGCTGTCTCACACATGCGCCATGTCGCGGAGGGAGTTCGTTGAGTCGGGTGTTCGGTGATATTGGTGTGGAGGGTTCGGTTGCAGCAGCAACCCTAACCCTACCTTAAGCTTTAATTAAGGTAGTTGACGGACAGAGTCGTACACTAGATAGGTACCCTTTTAACATTACCTGCTAGACCGCTCTAGTATTAAAACTCTTACTCTACTATAGAAATAAAAAAATAGAGTAATATAGTATCTATTATCTCTAGTATAATATAGAGTATAGATAGACCTAACTTACTATACTAGTAGTATAAGTAGCTCTACTTTATTTAGTATAGAAGTATGTTTATAAATAGATACTAGTTTATTAAGGTATTCGAGATAGTAGTTTCTTTATAGTATATAATAGACTCTTTAAAGAGATACTAATTAGATTTAAATTATTTAATTAGAGTCTTAAATAGTAAATAATATTCTATAGGGAAAAAAGTAACTATTAGGCGATAAATCTCTATCTAATAAGATTAGCTATTTAATATTCTAGATAAAAGTTAAATCTCTCTAGTAAGTATAGTATAAACCCTACTTCTTATACTAGTACTTCTTTCTAGTCTTAGATACTCTATAAATTATTACTACTATAACTATAGTTACTACCCTACCTATCTATTATATCTTTTATAATATCTATATAAGTTATCTCTTTTATAAGAGCTACTAGTACTATTATTACTACTATAGACTATAGTAGTATATCTAGACTCTCTATAACCCCTCTAAGTACGACTACTACTACTATATCTATAAGTATTAGAGTAGTTCGTCTAAGAGCATTACTATTCTACTAAAGTATTATTTACTTAAATAGTACTTCTAGACTTACTAATAATAAATAGTAAGTTAGTCAGCCTTATATATTAGTAGAATCGGTAGTACTAGATAGGTCTAGTGTGAACACCCCACGTGGTCTGTGCGCTCAGACTAGATACCTATTGGCTTTCCTGGCCAGAGGAAGTACCTAGGTACCAAGTAGCAGTACAGGGCGGGAGGGCAGGACACGCTCCACTTCTTCTCGAAAGACTGTGGAAGGCTGGAGTGTGAGGGAAGGGCGTACCCACCCGCTCACCTGCGCACCGCCCTGCCCAATCAGCGGCCCTGGCGTGAAACCGGCCGTCGTGGTTGTACGCCCTCATCATCTTACATTAGGTACTATCATCATCCTACATGAGCATTATTACACGCACACCTCCCTTCGTATGACTACTACTGCCATTGCTGACCTCACCGTGACTGTCTCACAGACCTCGAGACTCGATTACTGGTACGGCGTATCACTCATCATTCATACCCACGCGGCTTATGCCGGCAGCCTGCGTGCGTCTTCCATGCCACCTTCCGTGCTGCCTTCCACGCTGCCTGCCCTGTCTAGCCCGTGTGCTGTCTGTTCCCCGCCGGCCTCTGCTGCCTCGGCCACGCTCTCTGGCCTCTGTCTCCTGCGCCTGCTCGAATCTTGCATCCATGCCATGAGGTGGGCAAGGTATCGCACCATGCCATGGTTATCTTATCGCCGC